AAGCCATACTAATCAATTCACTTAGGCTAAGCGAAACACTTAGGCTAAGTGATGCTCTCCGAGGCAGCTCCTCAACAGCAGAAGTCTCAAGTATCCTCAACAGCACAAGACAACAAGTCAAGTCCCTGCAGCAAGCACACACACAGACACAAGGAGGCACTATCACCCATCATGCCCCCACTTTCAGCTTCATGTGAACTGCTCAAAGAGCTTCACAAAAAAGAGTTAATTGGGTTACAACAGAGATTCGAATTCAGGTTGCAACTTCCCTGGAGGATGACACCACTCATACTATTAATCTGGCTTCCATAACCGTCGGAAAGAAGTCATTTTGGAAATCAATATTGTCGTGATGTTCCTGGTTGAACAAGCGTCCGTAATGCGTGGAAGGGTCGACCGTCATAGGCTTGGTGCTCTTGGTAGGGATCAGAATCAAAATGCATAGACCTGTAGATGCTGTGATATTTTCTTGTTTCCGCTTTCTGTCATGCTGTTTTGTGTGCTCACGTTGCTTCTCTTTCTTCTTTTCTTCGGAGTCAACAACTGCTCCTATGACATGGTCAATCTCAGACCCAAGCTCAGACTCAATCAAACCATCCTCACCAACACTATTGTTGGTGTTGGTAGCGTTGGCATTGTTGGATGCACCATTGGCCTGTCCTTGTAAGAGTGGAAGCTCATGGTCGTGATTTGTTTCCATTCTTAACAGTTTTTATATTGACATATCTCAGAGGCAGAGTTTTCCCAGTGCCCCTGAAAAAATGAAATCTGACAGATTATGAGCTGAGAAGCTGCCACGAAAAGCATCACTTAGGCTAAGTGATTCACTTAGGCTAAGTGATTCACTTAGCCTAAGTAATTCACTTAGGCTAAGTGAATCAAATGTGACTGACTACCTGGTAAATCAAATAAGACTGAATTTCACTTAGGCTAAGTGGCTCACTTAGCCTAAGTAAATCAAATTGAATCACTTAGCCTAAGTGAAAATTCAATCACTTAGCCTAAGTGAAAATTTGTGAGGGACAAATCACGCTACCCTCGTACGGTACTCCAATTGGTACCGGTACAGTAGGGGATGAGCAAACTTGCTTATGGGGCTACATTACATACATTGCATTGCTTTCTACACTATTCGTATCGTTTAAGTTACCGGTATATTGAAATATGGAACAATTGACTTAATACCAACCTAAACCGTCAGTTAAAAATTAATAATTCGCATTTTGGCTGGCAAATGAGTTCAATTGGATTGGATTGGTTTGAATTGGATTGGATTGGATTCAATTGGATCCATGAATGTACTGTTATTTGTATAGTAAATACAAATTCAATGCAATCCAATCCAATTCAACGCAATCCAATGCAATCCAATCGAACAAACCTGCCAAAGTAAAATATTGGCTACTTTTTGCACAAAACTGTACTGCTTCGTGTACCGTACGATAGTAGTATGTGGAATTCACACCCAAACTAAATGTATCATTTCTACGGTATCGAATCGAGTACACTACAGCACTATAGCAACATTTGCCCGTCCCCGTAGCCACCAATGTCTCCAAGAGCTCAATAGCTCTCCAATTGGGTCACAGCATAAGCCCTCCCAAAGGAAAGAGAGAAGCCAAATTGTAATGCCCTCCCAAAGGAAAACCTTTCACAAGAACCTCAAAGGACCATCTGATGCAGTTCGAGCCAAAATCAAAGATCCAATCAACAGTTGTGAACCTTTAACTGTCGTTAGCCTGTCATGCGGAAATAATCTAAATAATCGATGAGGCTTACTCTCAGACGGTTCACCGACTCTCGATGACTCCCACTAGGTCTCACTAGGTCATCACCAGCTTCCTTGTAAACGCGAAAAACTGCATGCCAATGATACCTCAATCAAAGGTCGATCCTCCCCCTCGAGCTCGAGGCATCCAAAGTTTTTCCGAGCCCAAAGCCACCCAAAGGACGCCATGCAAAAAGGCACGAGATCCCTCGATTCTGTCCAGGTTGACCTCTACGCATCAGCCTCCAAGTCCTGCCAAGCCAAACACAACAGCACCGCCTCTAAGATTCAAGCCTATCTGGATGAACTGCAAACCGAACTTGGCCTACCCAAGTTAAACTACAACGACATAGGTGAAACTGGAGGTTCTTTCTCAGACAAGGACGAAGATGTAACAAAATGGTGGTATACTTTCTGGGAAGGTCAACCAGCCTTTTGGTTCAGCCTCAAGAAAGCAAATGGAACCGAATATGCAGTGGGAACCCTGGAACGCTACATGCCCGCCATCAAAAACCAACTGAAGAAAAAATTCATGCTGTCCCGCTACCTTAAAGTTATCGAAGAAACCTATGCTTCTGCTTTCAAGTCCTTGAAAACCATGATCAAGGATCAGAAGAAAGCTTCACCCCCACCCAAGAATAAAGTATACTCCAGCGGGGACATTGCATTCATCCTGCAACGTTGCCTCTGGTTCAACTTGGAAAAGTACATTGACTTCTACATCTTCCAGACCGCCACCCTCCGTCTTTGCAGCAGAGCCACCGAGACCTCTCGCCTCACCGTGCAGGATCTTTCTATTAGAGAGCTTTATGAAGGATCTCTCAACAACATCCTTCAGTGTTATCTTGTACGTGATAAGATGGGAGTTGACAACAACCATCCTTTGATTCCCAACAAATATGATGTTTTTGGTGACCTTGTAGTCGCCATCGGCCTGGCCATGTTCATCCGCAATGACAAAAACCTCATGCCATCAATAGCCAACACCAGTGATGTATCATCCCATTACGACGCTATTCTCAAGATCATCTGGAAGCGCTACCCTCCTGCAGAAAACACCACGGTCCGAAAAGGCACGTCACACTTCGGCAAGCACACCGCCCAGTTCCTCCTTGATGGTAACAAGCTCCATATTGCAGCAGAACTTTTCGGCGGATGGAATGAAGGGAAAATTTCAGGACCAGGAGCCCGTGCTGTGTACTTCTCAAACCCTTTTCCCTACCTTCTTGATGGGGCAAAAGCTCTTGCAGCCTGGTCCAAGGTTGGCAGTGACTACCAACGCGTGACCATCCCGTCATATGACACCATCTCGAAAGACATAGGCCACAAAATCTGCTCAGTTTTCTTCGGCCACATACCTGAAAAGCTGCTCTGCATTCAAGTGAAGCAAATGGTTCTCATGTGTCTCCTTTCCAAGTGGGATCAGCTATTAGACGAGATCCGTGCAGAACCCAATGGTTTATTCAAAGATCCAAAGAACCATATTCTTGTCGCAACTCTCACTCAACGACTCTCTCAAGAAGACATCGAACCAGCTGAATTCAACGCGTTCAAGTCGGCATGCCAAGAGTTGTTCACCAAGACCAACTTCATTGACACCGTCGTCCCAGTACCTTCTCCTGTCACCTCCTCCATTACCACCGCTGACTACACCCAGTCCCCATTTCAGTCTGAATTAAACATCCGACCTATCAAGGCACTCCTTGATCTTGTTACAAGGAACACTGACCCCAGAGTCGTCTTCATCAATTTTTTCGCCTGTAACTTCATGGAATCTTACAAATCCACCCCCAAAGTTGACAACCGCATGAGATGCAAATATCGAAAGGTTAAGGCAGCCATCAGGGTCATGGTACGCTTCCTTGATAACTACCCCACCACCACTCCATCCATGGAAGACGCTAATGTCATGATGCAACGCATCAAGAGTGCACTGTTGAGTGAAGCTTCAAGCGTGAAGACACAAGGTAAACACCCATTCCATGCTTTGACCACACCTCATCTCACTATAATCCGCATGAACGAAGACCTCCTGACAAACAAGTCCAAGTCCTGGTATCGTCCCCTCCCACCCAATACTCCCCACTCCTTCATCGAACATGTCTATGCCCACAAGATCTACCAGACCTAAAAATTAATTCACTAACAGATCATTAAAGCTACGTCGCTGCGGTGGTCGGTACAATTTAGGCATGGAGCTGTCGACGGCTGGTAAACGAAACAACCTCATCATTCACTAGCCGACTGCAGGTCAAGCAGCCTTCCAGGCTTCCCAGTGCTCAAGGAGCCGGAGTGTGCCGCGTTAACCAGGACAGGAGGCGCCCCTTGGACCGGCCGCGACTGAACGCCCCCGATCCCGTTCCCGTTAACAAGTCCGCTGTCAGCCTCTGCAGTTCCTCGGCCGTGCTAGCCAGTTCCACCTGCTGCGTGCAGCCAGTTGTTCGCTCAACCAACCTAACTATCGACACGGTAGCGTCAAGTGCAACTCTGCAACTCTGATTCACAAGAAGTCTTGATGCTCAGGGGGCCTCAGCCTAGCCGCGCCTTTTCACTGGGACAAAAGGTTCTCAGCCGAGCCGTGCCGTTTTTTCAATGGGAAAAATGCACGCCCGCGCTGGGACTTCGTTTCATCACTAACTAGGACTTGAATCCCACCTGGCGCCCAGCGAAGCGCCTCAACAGAGTTTTAGCTAGCCTAGCTAGCTAGCGACTCTCACGTGCAAACTCTGGTGCAAGCACACCCTGCCTCTGGAAAAAAACGCCCAAGAGCACAGCAAGACCTCGACTTTCAAGGTTCCTTAAGTAATCGTATACACACGAAATTCCTTCTAAGTAACCTTCCAACTCAGCGTCCACGCCGGGCGTACCCCGTAGCTAGCTAGCTAGCTAGCTAGGTAGCAAGTGAACACATGCCGACTTACTGGCGTATTGCACGTATGGCGGCATACTGTTTGCTCCGCTCCACAGTGTACCACAATCTAGCCTATCCAAGATTCGATAACCTTGGACAGACACACAAATGCACGCGTACGCGCACCTCGATGAGCCGTACCAAAGAAAACGATGTGGAGTGCCTCGCGCGAGGCATCGCTGTTCTCTTCTTCGCTCTTCTGCCTCCTGCCAAACAGCCGTCGCTCGCTGACCCAGTCACTTCCCACAGTTACGTTCACCGAAAGACGATCCGAGCAGCAGCTTGTTCAAGACTTGCGCTTCCAGCCAACTCTTGGCCACCATGTCCCTGCTGAAATCCCCCGTCGCCGCCTCATCGGGGAAAGACAAAGCGCCGTCGCCTACCCGGAAACCGGATGGGATACACCTTGACAAAATACACTTGTCGCGAGGGGCCACCCTGCAGCGAATTTACAATCATGCCAAGAAAAGCAGCTTTGTCGTTCTGGGATCTCCACCGTCCACAGGGAAAACCTCACTGTTGGAGCTCCTTCATGAGTCTCTTGACTCGAAGAAAGCTAACGTGATCCGATATCCCATTCGATCCGATGATCCGGTGGAGCTTATCAAGGATCTTGCCGATAAAGGAATCACCAAGGATAGAAATGCTTTGAAGAAATTGGAGAATACATGGTTGCTAATTGACGATGCTCAGAACGCCTATGAGAAGAAATTCAACAAATTTTGGGAGATTGTCGTGAAGGACGGTAGCGCCGCTTCTTCAAAAGGCCTATTTGTGGTGATTGCCGCGACCTACGACCTCACTACGACCGTGTCGCCCGTGCATTTTGGGACATTGAAGCATGTTAATCCAAACATCAACGAAAAGGAAGCAAGCCATTGGATATCCGTCCATCTAGAGCATTGGCAGGCAAAGCATGGGTATGAATATGGAAAGTGGGAGCGGTTTAAAGACCAGGTTCTTACACTTAGCAGGATCTGGCCGCTGGAAGAGGAAAGCAACGAGGAGCCGGAGGAAAGCAGTGAGGGGAAGAAAAGCAAAGATGATGAGGAAAGCGACGACGAGGGGGAAAACGAGCAAAAGTATCATATTGGAGTGATCATGGCCGCTATCCGAGCCGTAGAAGACAGGCGCGCGCAAAAAAAAAATTTTTCGGAAGACGAGGCACTTGATCATCTGAGAACACATTACTTCACAACATTACTCGACAGGTGTTATGGATTTGACATGGATGAGCTGACAAAGCATATGAAGAAGTACTTGCAAATGGCCCTGGTTCAGAAACCAGGTTCGGAAAACTATTCTGCTTCACCCATCTTCCCTTTAATCCGAGCTGGAATCTTGAACAGTGATGGAAAGTTCGCGTGTTTCGCAGCAAAGTGGTACTACAACCGGAAGTGCTTCCCCGACCGCCCCCTGGATCCTCCCAAGTCACTCCGAGAATTAATCATTGAGTCCATCAAGACAATGTCGGCAACGAGGCTGAATCAGGCTGTCCAGAATGGGACGTTTCCAAAGGAAGCAGCCTTTCAACAGCTTATGAACGAGGCAATGTCTATGAAACTACCAGCCAGACATTCAATTACGCCAGAATTTGGTACCATTGCTGTCGACTCTCAGGATCCCAACGCCGAGCCTGTGACTGGTGAGTTGGATTTTTATGTCAATGGTGAGATGAAGTGGTGTATTGAAATGGTTCGACAAGGTGATCGCATAGGAGAACACATGCATCGCTTCAAGAAAGTCCAGGATTCAAAGGGTAACAAAGGCAAATACCGGAAAGTAGAAATGAAGGAGTACTACGTTGTTGACTGCCGCTCCGCCAAGAAGGGAAGAGGAGCCAGCCTGGAACGCCATAAATGCGTTTTGTATTTTGCGGACGATTTCACAACATGCACGTGTGCAATGCAGGGGCATCCAGAAGAAACGATAAATCTACAAATGTAGTCTGTCTGCGGTAAGTCAGTCTTAGCCTCAGCCTTAAAACCCAATTGAATCCTCAACTGAATTCCACCATGTGCTTTCCGCTCAGGCAGGCGGAATGTGCATCACGCGACCCTCTGTTTGGGAGACCCCTTTAGAAGTAATGACTAAGTAATTCACACCATTCGTGGAATGAAGTCAAAGTGACAATGAACCTCCAGATCTTTTCCGCAGATCACAAATCCCCATGAGTGGTCGCCAGAGGATCTAGCCGCCAAGTCCCCATCCTTCCTTGAACGTCAAAATGAAGATCCTCTATCTTTACACTGATAAACTCTTAGTGTCGGAATGGTTGGATTGACTCGGAATCGGCTCCGATGATCAATCGACTCTTCAAGGCTCTCAAACCTCTGCAAGCTCCAGTCCAGTTGATTTTAGCTCCACTCCTCCTCGTCTCAACTCGTGAACCATAGGGCTCCAGTCTTCATGCAAAGCTGTCTGTAGAGCTGTTCTCTAGCTTCGTAACGCATGAGCTAGTAGAGCAATAGTATACCTTTGGACATAGCCATGATGATCCCAGCCCGTACTGGTAGCTGTTTTCTAACCAACAATCAATCAGCTCAACAGATTTAAAGCTATCCACAAGCTTGTCGCGCACGTGCGGGACCGTGGTGAGATCACTCTCTATTATTACCTCACCTCGGTCCCAGGTCCCAATTACTTTATTTTATATAGTAAAGTTTTAGTTTGGGACCTCCATTAATTTAAGATTCCCCTGTCCAATTACCCAAGTACTGCTATTTCTTATAGTAAAGTTTCAGTTTGGGACCTCCATTAATTTGAGATTCCCCTAGTGGTTAGGGGTAGAGATATCACGATATCACGTGATATCTGAAGTGACGAATTTGATCGTGTTCTAAGTTTTGACAGAGATGCCCGATTCTTATTCTGTTTGGATGAAATGAAAGAGGAGAATTAGAGGATATCGATAGATTCAACAAGCATGAGAATCGGACACTTCTGTGAAGAATTATTTGGCTACCAACAGAGACATCACCACAAATAGCAACCGTGTTGTTTAACTCGCTACTTTTATTACGTGTAATTTACCAGTTGACCATGACAAACAACAGCGGCCACAATGACACTGCCGCTGCTGCTACTACTGAAAGAAGATGGTTAACGGCGACTGCGGCGTGGGTGTTGATTGATCTGATCGCCCTTGGGGAAGCACTGTCCATTAACCTTCAGTTCGCCACAACCAAAGGCAGCATCATGACATGCACCGAAATGAGTATCAACACAATTCATTTCGCGACCTTCAGGCCCAAACCTTTTCTCTTTGATCCTATCTTTGTTGCACAAGGGAGCATGGCAGAACTTGCACACATGGATGTCCAGCATTGGATGGGGTTTCCCTTGTTGTCGAGATAGCCGCGGCAAACCCAGCACTGTTTGGTGACAGAGTTTCCAACAGTTTTCCCCTTTCGAAGCTGTGCTGGAGTTACCTCTCGAGTCAAGTTGCCGTGGGCATCCCTGCATCGCTCAATGCCAATATCAGAGGACTTGCCGAAAGAACGTTCAATGCGCGGTCCCATCCAAGGCTTCAATCCGGCACAGACCAAGTCTGCCATTTTCATAATTCGCACTTGATCTACAGCTTCACGACGATGGCCCTTTTCCACAATTCTGTGGTAGCGGTAGTACCGATGCAAATCAACCAAGGCCTGTCCTGTAAGAGACGTGACAATACGCAACCATGGGTTCTTCGTCTGCCAGCACTTTTCAAGTGCCAGCAGTTTTGTCTCTGCTTGTTGTGCTCATCGATCAAGGGCAAATACTCATAAATGAAGTGACATATCTTGGGGCGATTGATCAGCTTGCTACCAGTGTTGCCCCACTCATCCTCGAACTTGGATTCATACTTGATCTCGACGGTTCTGTAGATCCACAAGAAGAAATAAAATAGGATACCCCTTTCTGAGACCATGCATAGGCAATTGCCAATAGGTTGACGCCTTCAATAGTTGTGGTCATGACAACCCAATGCCCTGCCGGTTTGTCACCATGTCGCGACTTCAATACAGCATTAAGCACTTCCATTGGGAAGAAGGCTTTGTTGTTCTTGACAATGAAAGTCGAGAAGACACCAAGACGTTTCTTCAGCTCCACACATGTTGCCACTGAACCAAACCATGCATCTCCTCCACACCAACCACCTCGGACAACTTGCGCATCCTCAACTTGCCTGATGACCTCAGCTGTGTGTGCTGGCATGTCAGGTTTACCGGGGAGCGATGACTTTTGGCGAATTTGTTCTTCCTTGTCAGCATAAAGATGACGCTTGAAGTTCTGCCTCTCAGCATTCATTGCAATGTCTTGGTTCACAAGACAGCCAGTGATGCACTCAACCCCATTCCTAGCATCGTTCCAAGAGGAACAGGTTTCCTTGGTTCATAAGTCAGGTTGGGCAAGCCTCCTGTCTTGGTGGACTTAGGTCGCCACCCAATCATACTCTCATCCAACATGAGAAGCACGACATAGAACATATCAGTTCTCTTCTTGTTGAAACCGGTGACTGCCGGCACAATGACATCCCAAGGGACATCTCGCTTGTCCAGATACCAGTACTCTTCAGGTCCAAAGCACACACCAATTGCACAACAGAATGCTTTCCAGTAATTCAGGGGCATGTACTGACCGAAGTCAGGGTATTCCTTGCGTCCTGAAGAAGGGCCTCGCTTCCACAGATCAGATCCATTCTCTGTCTCGAGACATGAGGCAATTAGAAGAAGGAAGCATTGCTTGACCATCCAATCGGCATCCATGTTTCCAAAGTAGCCAGTGTCATCATGAAAGACAATTCGATCTGACTTGACCGTCGAGTGCATGGGACTCCGAATGGAGGAATGGAACTTGTCGATCTTTGCTGCCATTCCAGTAAGATCTGTCATAAAGTAATCGAAGAACACTTTTGCAAAGTCACAACCGGCATCTGTTGCCCCAAGATCCACTATCTTCTTGAACGCGACGCCAGATGGATAGTACATGGGATCTTTGTCTTCTGGGATGTGTTCTCCATCAGCAAGAATTTTCCAAGGAACACCAGCAACTTCTTCATTGGCTGACCAGTGCATGTCAAACGTCTTGGCTACAGACTTTTCAGTATTATCGAGTGCAACAAACTTGTCATTACAAACTTGGAAGGGTGAGAGCTTTTTGCTTTTCTTTACACGTATTTCTGCAAGCTGCTCTGGGTCATCACTTGCACGATCGAATGTTACCTCTTCTGATCCTTTGGCGACTGCTGTCAGATTCTTTCTCCTAACGAACACTTCCTTTTGGTCATTTGGCAAGCAATCAAACACCACGTTGTATCCCTGATTTGAGCTACCTGACTGATCGTGCATAGCAAGTTGTGGTTGTTGTTGAAATCGCGAATGACATCCTTTTGGGCCTCAGTCGACAACAAATGGAACATCTGTCCTCTTGTTGTCTTGCATCTACCACCAACAGAGATGCGAGGAGCTCCCTGCTTTGCCTTTGTGTGTCGCGATGTATTTACTGGAGTGGGGCGTTTTGTTCCTCCAGCATTGGCTGTGTCGGATTCGGTGGGCGATACCTCTGCATCAGCAATAACTGGTGATGTAGATCCATTTGCCAAGGATGCAAGAACTGCAGCAGTCTCATGGCGAGCGGCGGAGTCAATGGGAGATCCACCACCAAGAGCATCAGGCGGTGTTCCCACAAGGTCGACAGCCATCAATCCACCAACTGGAGTGGGGGATGTTCGTGGTGCAACAGCAGGAGCGGAATCATCATCATAAAGCTCATTCCCATCTTCATCTTGCATCACTCCAACAGTAGGCCGCATCTTCGCGGTCTATGCTAAGGTATGCATTATCCAGCGGCGACCAAGGGATAACAGAAAGCATGCAACTCTTTTCTTCCAACCAGAAACCTGCACAAACGCTGTTGTTCCATTTTCATTGCCCGATCTCCACTGTTGACCAGTGCAACGTACACAACAAATGAGGCAATTCTGCTCACATTATCCAATGAATTTCTGCCTGACAGAAACAAAGCTGTGGCGACAACCACTACACCGAATACACTCTAACAAAGCACAATCGACAGCTCTATACTATAAGGAACATGATACTTCATACTAATGTTGTCCTATCTCTTATGGTTATCGAGTTTGCCTTCTTGCAAAGTAGCTATACAGAGGCATCATTTGCGACATCACGTGACAACTCTCGTGATATCTCTACCCCTAACCAACCTAGAATCAAAGAGGTCTCAAATCTGTCGCAGTCTGAGGTAATACTCGAGTAGCCAGTAATAAAAGCCATTCTGTAGTGGCCCAACGCCCCCTTTGCAGCTCACGAAACAGTAAACTACGACTCGAGCCGATCTACGGCAGGGAGCCCTCTGTTGCAACTCCGGACTCCACCGGAAGCAGCAACGGGCATCGGCCGATCCAACAACAACAAACGAATACCGGTACTCTTCGGCCGATCCAACAACAACAAAGATCCTGGAACGAACACTCTTCATCAAACGATCGCCTCGCTCTCTGCAAGCGCGGCCAGGATGGGCTGCTAGCTAGCTAGGCTAGCTAGCTAGCTAGCTACAAGTCAGCATAGCTGTGGAGCATAAGGACAATTTGCCTCTAGGTCGCAGACCCGACCCCCCACCAAGGGGGGGGGGAGATTATTAAAGGCAAATTGTCACGCCTCGTAGAGGCTGGTACAATTCTTACGCGTGAAGTGTTACAAGTGCTGTCACTTGTGACAATCCTTCTTGTCACACTGTCACACTAACAAGTTGTCACTCTACACGACAGCACATCCCACTTCACGCGTCCCCGATCGTTGCAACCTTGCACCTTCAGAAGTTGCAACCTACAACCTAGCCCAGCGGCGACTGAGCCTACAACCTAGCCCAGCGGCGAGTGAGCGACCTACAACCTTACCTGTGCAACCCTTGCAAACAACCACCCACTGACCGTCAATAATCAGTGTTCCGAGTATCCGGAACACTCACTCAGTATTCCAAGCATTAAAAAAACTAGCTTATTGCAGTCCAGTCTATAGCTAGCCTGTCCATCATCAACGAAATCAAGGAGTATTTCGCTTAAGGTTAGAGATTTCACTCAACGACTCCAAAATATTCCCAACCCTACTCAGAGTATGAACAAACCTCACCGGTATAAATGAAGACTCCAACTAACTAGTGAGAACCAAAGTCCCGGCAAAGAAAGTTATTGAATTAAGCGACACGATCTACTCAAGTAACTAGTGATTACGCCTTCCAAGTCAAATCGGCTGTCTCGTAAAAAGGTTTAATTTATTTCCGCTACTGTGGACTAACTGGTGACTGGATTTAGTTCCTGAATCGCAAACCTTCAAAGGTCCTGTGCACCCTTAGTCAAGAGGAAAGAGAGAAGCCAAATTTTATTGTCTTCATTGGTTCCATGAAGTCTTCGATAGGCTCTTACAATTAAGCATTTATTCTGCACTATTACTTTTGAAAGCCTTTCAGATTTTAAATCTTTAAATCTCTTGTACGATGGACAAACCCGAGGGCACGAGCGTTAGGCCTCTTTTGTAAAAAACCAAGATCGGTTCAGCCACATCCAACATCCAAGCTGTCCCCAACAACTGCTCTGGTTTCCGGTGTCCTTGCATCCACAGTTACTTTAGTTCTCCAATCCTGAGAGATATCAACATCTCATAGAACTGGATGGCCGAAGGCCGAACAAGAACATGAACTCCACCGATCACCTCACCATCTTTCAAGCTTGTCGGGAACAATATAGTGAACCTGACGATGCTTTGCTGCTGATGCAATGTGTGGTAATCCACTTGGAATCAGATCAAAAGGTGACTGCTCGCAAGATGAGATCCTTTCTGTTGGTCCTGAGGTACGGTTATGCATCGTGTTCCAATGGATTTTTGGCTTCAGATATTACATGGTCTGCTCACCATTCATGTCGATGAATGATTCAATCGAATCGAATCCGTTTGGGTTCATTAGCGGAGCCCTGGTGTTCTTTATGCAGGCTGGCTTTGCCATGCTCTGTGCTGGAAGCGTTAGAAGGAAGAACGCTCGAAACACCATGCTAAAGAATCTCCTAGATGCTGCAGGCGCTGCCTTGGCCTACTTTTGCTTTGGCTATGGATTTGCATTTGGAGGGGATCATTCCCGGAGCACCCTCCGAGAAGGTGCTTCCACCACTGCCACCTTTATGGGCTTGGACAACTTTTTTGGAACTGGTGACATGGACCTGGCATTCTTCTTCTTTCAGTACACCTTCTCTGCTGCTACAGTCACCATTGTGGCGGGCACTCTTGCAGGTAAGTTGACAAGGTTGAGCTACCACGTATTATACCGCTTCATCCTGCCTCCTCACCTGCTCTTCCTGCCTGTCATCTCCAAGAACGATGCCAAATGATGGCATATCTCTGCTACTCACTATTCCTGACCGGCTTTGTGTATCCCATTGTGGCCCACGCAATATGGTCGACGCACGGATTCCTCAGCGCGACATTGTCTGAGCCATTCCTTGGGGTTGGAGTGATTGACTTTAGCGGCAGTGGAGCCGTACATTTCACAGGTGCGACGACTGCCTTGTATGCGGCACTCATTTTGGGGTCCAGACGAGGACGCTTCTATGATGTGACAACGGGGGAAGAGCTCGAAAAGCCAAAGCCATTTCCCGGGCATAGCGTTTCCTTACAAATGCTTGGTGGTTTCATCCTGTGGTTTGGCTGTAAGTTCAACTCTCGTTGTGTACTGTGCAATCAGTCCTCGTGACACATGCCGCGACACTAACGAAACGAATGGTCCTTCCGCTTTCTTCCAGGGTATGGGTTCAATCCTGGAACCGCTTTGCTGCTGGACGACAATCCATACCAAGCACAGATTGGTGCTTTATGCGCGGTAAACACATTCCTGGCTTCGGGAGGAGGCTGCGTTTCGTCGTTGATTGTCAGCATTATTGCCCACTACCGAGAAACTGGGGATGTTGCATTTGATTTGATGGCCGCTATGAATGGTTCCCTTACCGGCCTGGTCTCGGTAAGTCTTTTGTCAGTTCCGGTGTATGTCATCAAGAATATCGCTGCAGATGCTTCACCCAACTCACGCATGCACCTGATATGTCCATGGATGCTTTTGCATCAACAGATCACAGCAGGATGTGCGACACTGGAGCCCTGGGCTGCCCTGGTTACCGGACTTGTAGCTGGTAGCCTCTACCCGTTGGGATCTCATCTTCTTGTCAGGTGTAAAATCGACGATGCAGTTGACGCAATTCCAGTCCACGGTTTCGGTGGAAGCTGGGGGCTTCTCTCTGTAGGGCTCCTTGCTTCACCGGAACGATTGCGACAAGCATATGGACACGGGGACCACCCGGGTTTGTTTTATTCATTTGCATCCTCTCCTGATGCAAGGTTGCTTGCCTGTCAGATCTGTGGTATTCTCTTCATCTTTGGATGGACACTTGTCACCATGTTGCCCTTTTTCATCTGGCTAAACTTCATGGGATGGTTCCGAACAGGGTCAATCCAAGAGCTTGTTGGCCTTGATGTAACATACAATCTGAATGCAGATGAGGAACAAGATCTCGATGCGGACGACGAAGGCCAGAGATATCACGACGCCTACGAGCGCTATCGGCAGGTGATGAGGCAAGAGCACGCAAAGGAAGCAGACTAGCGTGTTGTACCGTAACGGTAAAGTAGCTGTCGTGATACCGCCACTCAGACGATGTGGTCAGCTGTATATCCTTGCCACCAAATTGGGAAAAGGGCATCACGTGACAACACTCATCACGATTTCTGGTTTATTTGAAAGAATCTGGAACAGTCTGGACCCTTGATTATCACACGAGTTCCGAGCAAACGTAGTGGCTAGACAAAACCTACTAGCTAGCTCGATTATGAATGAATCGATACATCTTTCTATATCTAAAACTCCTCAATAGTGACGAATCCGCTACCACCGCCACCCGTGCCTTCTCTATGTAGCTTGAAGGCCCAATCCAATTGATCCATAATAGGCAGACACATCTTGCGCTGCAACTCTCCAGTCTCCGTTTGCGGAAAGTTCTTTCTCATTTCCTCCATTTCTCGATAGAACGTCTCCATACCCTCTACGATTCTTGCCAACTTCTTGCTGTAGGAGCCACTGTTTCCTTGCTTCTCCAGTCGGCGCAAGCCAAAGAAATGACGCAAAAGTTCCGACGAACGTCGAAAATAGGAATGTAAACTCTTTTTGAAATCTTCTGGCAACGTTTTGGCGGCTTCCAGAGTGGCCGCACTCGTCTTGGAATCTTGGGCCATCTTCTTGGTAAGTGCCGACAATAGTTCCCTGCCCAGTTTTGCAGGAGGGAAACAGTTTTGCCGTAGCGTGGCCGTTGCATCCGCACCATCCGCCGAAGCAGCCAGTGTCTTCATTTTGGTGGATATGGCTTGCGAGAATACAGCCTGTCGTTTCATATCATCGTCAGTCATTGGTTTGGCTGCCTCTGTTCGTTGGGCTTGGCCCGAGTAGTACGCCTCTACATTCTTGAGCGTCAATGCATCGTGTCCGTCTTCGTCTGCATCGACTCCTACCCCCAAGGCATGGTTGGCATCCTCCTTATCCGCCATGGCGAATCCTACGAGTCGTTTCATTTCTTTATCGACTCCACCACTAGCTTTGGCGTCATCGTCATCCTGCAGGACTTCCACGACGCTGGTTCTGGCAATATCCATCAAATTGCTCCCGGCCACAGCTTGCTCAGGATGCAGTACCATGGCCCAATGTCTATTGTATTTTTGAATGACTTTGGCTCCTTTTCCATCGTCGGCAATGTTGGGTGGGTGTACATCACGAGGGCCCTCCAATAGTTTCCCACGTTCGGTCTGAAAAGTGGATGCCAAATCGAACTGTCCAACAGCGAGATTGACACCCCATTTCTTGGCATTGGCCGTACTTCTCCCTTTTGTCGTCTTTCTGGCGGCGGCAGTTCCACCAGTTGATTCTCGTAGCTTTTGATCATACCGTGAAAACAAATCATCTGTTCCAACCGCTGCAGCTCTTGCATCTTGGTCATTGGCCGCCTGTTGTGCCTTTTGCTTATCGTCCGATGCATCCGCCGCATGATTGCGAGCCGCTGTTCCGAGCCGTCCTCTGTCTCGATGAAAGTATTCTGATTCCAAGTACTTTCTCCAGAATTGTTCATCACTCAGTTCGAGCGGTACCTTTTCTTCGTATGCCTTGTGCACCGCAGGGTACATGACAAAGATTTGTCTCATTTCTTCGACCTGTGGGTTGCAGGCAAATTATTGAGCCGTTTGTTAGTATACAGTTTGCAGTCTGACTGGAATTAGACAAATCAGTCAGCTAGCTATAGTACTCACACCCAATGTGACTCTCCCTTGCAGTGGCAAGTGACTCTGCAACAAACTGGAAGTTCCAGCTCGTGCCATGCCACATATTTTTGCATATTCTTCCTGTAATAAATTGTCGTGTGTTTTCCAAAAGTCATCTTCATCAACCGTTTTGGTTTCCTCTACCAGGAATTTGTGCTGTGCGCGGAGTGATGGATTGGCAGCCAGCAGGGACGATCTGGTAACGGCCAGGGCAGTGGCATCCAAATCATCAATCGAAACGAGTGGTCCTTTGGCTCGTTGATTTCGCTGCAGCAACTCTGCATGAGTCCGTTTCTTGCCACTACTGACAGTACCGTGTGGCGAATGATTGCTATTGTTGCTGCCATTGACCACGCCATTATTGCTGTGAAAGCGACGGAGGCGACTGGAAACATCTTTTCGGATTCTTTCCAGGACTTGTCGATCTGTCAATTGAAAAGTCAAGGACTTGCCGTCTTTGAGAACGACTTTGAGGAGTGGCTTGGGGTAGTTGGCTGGACTGACTTGATGTTTGGCGACCACGGAGAAGGGCAGCAAGGATGGCGAAGAATTCGAGGATGGATGAAAGGCAAAGTGTTCGCCTGTCAACATCAGACTTCCTTCTGTCTTTTTGAACAAGACAGGATGATACGTTGTGTTTTCCACAGCAGCATGGTGTTGAGTGTCAACCTCCATGATTGATACAGTATGATGGATTGGTGCTGGCACTTGTAATTGTGGCCCGTAGACAGACAGTGGTTGGCCGTTGGCAGAGAGGCTCTTCACTACAGTGTAGCCAGCTATAGCTTGTGCTGCAGCTATGAGTCACTCAGTCAGTCAAGTAAGTTGCCGTCTCTTCGCTTGCCAAGCGTCTTGTGACAGTAACTACAGAAACAATGGATGTATTGAAGTGGTGTGGGTTGTTGTGTAAGAGAACAGAGGATTGTATCTGAAGGAACAAACGTGCAAACGATATGAGCAGCGGAAGGCACGGTCACCACTTGGCCATTGTCGACCTTTGATTGAATCGAATCAATCATTCCTAACCCTCGATAAAATCTTGGCTCAGTCAGACAAGGATTTGGGGTCGTCGCGAAAGTGTGGCGCAAAGATTTTTCCAAAGGCGTGCTTTTTCGTAGAATAGAACGCACACTTGCTTCTCTCCTTCGGTTGAAGACCAGACCGAGAAGCGACCGCAACGACGGCACAACGACACAACGCTCAACAACAAGCAAGGACAACAAGGAAAGACACCCACACACAAGAGAACGACGAATACTAGAGCATTACATCCTCTACTGTACTATCCATCTTATAGCTACCAGCTAGCCATTATTAGTCAAGATGGGTGAACGCAAAGTCCTCAACAAGTACATCGACCCGACGTTCGATCCGTCGTTGGTCCCTCGCGGGAAAAAGCTGTCGACGAAAGATGGCACGGTTCCCGTCCGCATGATGCTTCCCTTTAGCATCCAGTGCAAGAGTTGCAAGACATTTTTGTATCGGGGAACCAAATTCAATTCGAAAAAGGAACCCATGGGAGGTCCGCATGGCAAATATTTGGGCATTCAGCGATGGCGCTTTTATATCAAGTGCACGGCTTGTTCGGCACCGATATCCTTTTTGACAGATCCGCAGAATGCCGACTACGAAATGGAAAGTGGGGCCACGCGCAATTACGAAGTACACAAGGACAAGAAAGAGACGGAAGAAAAGTTTCAACAAGAAAAGGAAGAAGAAGAAAAGGCGGATCACATGAAGGCTCTCGAAAACCGGGTGCTAGAGTCGCAGAAAGAACAGCAGGATTACGATAACATGGAGCAAATCAAGGCCATGTCCTACCGGCACGTCAAGTTGCTATCAGCGACGGGGGAAGGATTTGAACAGGGTGTCAAAAACTTATTGGATAAAATCAATCCGGAAGAGGCGGAAGATGGAACGGAGCTGGAATTGACACAAGAAGACGAAGCACTCGTCAAATCCATCAAATTTGGTGGTAACAACAACAACAACAACAACAACAAATCAAATGGCAACAACAAAAAACGAATCAGAAGACTCGACAAAGAAGACGAAAAACGAGCGGAACAAGACAGACAACAACAAATTGCTCTATTAGAACAGAGGCAAAAAGAAGCTTCTCAAAAGCTGGCCGCAACCAAAGAAAACAAGGCCAAGGCTTTCCCAATCATCAAAGCAAAACGTCGCCGGGTGGATGCTCCAGCGGCAACAACAATCAAAGCAAAACCCAAAGTGGCGCCAGTTACCAAAGCCGACTCGGGTGGGGGAATGGCAAGCTTGTTGGGTGGGTATGGATCAGACTCGGATTCTGATTGAAGAGGCAGTCTTTTTTATATTCTGGAATGAATTCAATCGGTTTTACAGCCGCAACAATAATCATCATCTTTTCAATTCCTTTTCTTGCTTTGTGATCTGTAGTTGCGATTGAAGTTTCCTGACGGTTTCGTCTTGCAAGTAGTGGGATACAATATCAGCTGCATATTGAGGCATCGCCTGTTGGGCACGATCTTCCCCCCATTCCTGCAGGATATGCAAATAGTTGCGAAGAATGTGATAATCAATACTATAGCGCGCAAAGTTCACACCTTTGGGGCTCACATAGTTGCTAATCACAAAGGCCAGAATATTGCCCATCCACACGGGCATGCCCGATGTTGGAACGTCCCCTCCCACCATTTCCAAAACAATGCTGTCCGCCGCCACTGTACTGGTTGCCAATTGTTCATGGTTCCCTGTTCCTGTAGCAACATCTCCAATGTACAGTCGATTGGCATCCTTGGCGGTTTCCACCATCTGGGATCCTCGTTCGTTGCGGATTGTCAGGGTTTGATAGGATTCATCCATCTTGCCGTCCAAGGGCGCTCCCATGTAGCCGACTACCACATCCGCCAAGCCATTGGTATAATCGAAACAAGCCAAACAGGAAGTTGCAATGGATGGTGCAGCCACTGTTCCTGGCAAGGAAAAGTAGGGACGGGTAATGTAACCATCACTTGTTTTGACATGCACCTTAAAGTCTTGCATAAACTCGTAGCCACGAACTCTTTCCAATTCTGAAATTTGAACACCTTCTTGTAGGAAATTTTGAGCCGCTTCGGGTGTCGGTGAATTGTCGACGCAGTTGGTGCCAAGAACATAGACTTCTTCCAGTCCCAAGTCATCTTGGACGGCACGAAAGGCTGCGGAAAGAACACGAGAAGAAGCGAGTTGATTAGATGGTGATTGGGACAAACTTGATTGCCCTGAACTGCACCCCAACCCCTGTTATTAGCTACGGTCGGGCCAGAAACAGTTACTTTCCATGAACATACCTTGAACAGCACAGCCAACTCCACAGAAAAGCAACTTCCTAATACTCTTGTCGTTCTTAATTTCATCCAGCACATTCAAGCTAGGTGATAGAGCTGGCTTGACCCCTCGACCCCTTAAAACATCTTCAGGAGTCTTGGCCAAGATTGGCTGTGGGTAGCTCCAGGCTTGTGGATTGCTCTTGTTGGATTCCTCACTACTATTTGCAATGCAAACTACGGCATCCACTTTTCCAGCTTCGAGCATGGACAAAGCAATGCTGGTGACAACGCCTGTCCACTGTGCGTCTCTCATGCCGATTCCCTTTGCTAACCTCATGGGTTCATGCATAACTCCAAATCTCGCCTCATCAGCAGTGCTCAAATCTTCTCCCCTGTCTTTATTCTCGGACCAAGCCATAGAAGCCGTGTCTCGCTGGCGGCCGTGGACTTTCATCTCGGCATCATCCACACGTCCCATTCCATCTCCCAGAAAGGCACAAGCTTCCTTGACGCGTGATACAAACGTTGTTTCACATAGTCCACAGCGCGAGCAGTGTTCCTTCGCAGGGAACTTCTCTGGCCAGCCTTCACCAGAGATTGGTGACGGTAATGAAGCCAATGCCATCACATGTTCAAGGCAGAACGACAAGAGACCTATGGCGCAGAGACACATCATCATCATCATGCTCATCGTCTTCACGGATAAGGAGGTTATTGAAGGTTGGAGGGAACTCGCATTTACGATTTGTGGAGTTGACCCATAAATCTAATTGCGACTAAACGGCTTAAGAGTCATTCCTCGAAACATTAATTAACGAAAAACCGTAGACGCTCCACTCAAAACTGGGAACAACACCACACACAATCAAAACACAGCAACGAGACAATGAAGTTCCGTCCTCTTGCCTTTGACTACCATGCCGAAGCAACACGCTTGCTAGTGGATCAACAACGAGAGTCGCCGCCAACGATTTGGGTTTTGCCACCGTCGAGTGACGATGAAGAGTCAGACCACGATGCACCGAACAGCGCTTCTGCCGACGACTCGTGCTCTTTGTCAAGTGCGAAGGATCCTGTCGCTTCGACGACGATGATGTCTTCGGAAGACGTTGACTTTCCTTCACCAAGTGATGTCAAACAGGCGAAATCTCCTTCTCGATCTACTTTCAGCGTATTGAGCCAACAACCAGAAATGGAAGAGGCCTACGAAATAGAACAGTGTGAGGTGAAGCACGACGACGTCGCGTGCCTTCCTCCTCCAGATTCACCATCTACGACAGACACGTCAGGCATGGAAATCGAGGAGCATGAACCTGCGCCAGAAAGCTCCATGAAAACTCCGCTTCCAAAACTCGGAGTGGTGGTCGTAACAAACACGAAGGCAGCACCAAACGTTCGCGACGACGATGAACACAGTGATGCAGAGTTGTCCTCTGAGGACGAAGGTCCTGTTGAGACTCCACAGACTTTATCAAAGAAAAACGATGCAGAAGAAGACTTTATGGTGAGTGCTGTTAATTGGGGTTTGGTTTCTATCCCATTTTCATTATTTTCGCTCACACGATTGAGCTCGTCTCAATGGAAGGAGGTTGACGCAGTTTGTGGCAATGACGCTACAGAATCTATAGCACAACAAGATTTGATGCAGATGAAATCAGGCGTGGTGGCAGATATAGGTCACCAACGTCCTGCAAACAAAGCTGACTACGATACCGGTATGCCACAGAGAGTGTTACAAGTCTCCGCCGACGCTCCAAGTACCGCATTGGTTCTCTACAAGCCGAGGCAATGGAGTCTCAGTAACACACTTCCACAATCGCACGCAACAACATCATCTGCATCGTCTTCGAATTTATTGGACTTGAATCAATACAACAATCATCTCAATAAGTCAATGCTTGGTCAATCCGTGAGCAATCCAGTCATGTGCATCGACGCAAGTACGGCCCCAGAGGACGACCCCATCGTCGTTTCGTCTTCGCCTCCCAAGCCATCAATCACGGGTGTAAGCTATCGTCTTCCCAGCTTTATGCAATCCACGTTGGGTGCTTTTGTGCGACCCCGAAGTGATCCTATGCAGCGGCTCGATACTCTGGCGGTTTCCGGGATCAAAACGGCCCGTCTGGATTTTGCATCCCTCAAAGCAGGGCGCTTTGGATCTGTCGTGAAGACGAATCCATCGCAAGACCAAAACTCCATGCAACAGCAACCACTTGATGTGAGTGATGTGGAACCAGGTGTCATTCTTCCGTACAGTGGTGGTCGTTGCCTTATTCCCAATGAGATGCAAGGGGCATTTCAAGCCGCTGTCTTTGCAGCAGCGGCAGCTTTGCAAATGAACCAACAATCCATGCAACAAGGACCGGTACCAAGCGTAGTGACCGGTTCAAGAGTGGAGCAATTGACTTGTGCAGAAACTGAAAGCAGGTTGTCGATCGAATCGCTGAAAGAAGCTCAAGCCACTGGAGCACGAGGCACCGCAACCGAAGGATCGAACAGTAATCGGAAGGACAGCAACACAATTCTGGAACAGAGCAAACCTCGGCCGACTGTCACTCACACCAAAACCATGGCTCGGGGTTTGACAGAGCAGCCATCCCTACCTTCAAAGGCGTCGCCGCCACGGAGCTCCCATACCGGTAGCGACCCCGAGCGTTCAAACAAGTCCAGTGTCATTGATACAACGACAATTGCCAGCCGAGCAAAGCGAAAGCATCATCCCACCATTGAAGCTGAGATCTCTCGTGGCACCCCTCGTTCCGGAGATGCAGGCGATGACGCTCGAAAGAAACTGAAACATACACGGACTGGCCAACGTGCAGACGAAGGCGCTCACGAGAATACTCAGAGGGCAATCCATAACATGAGACATGGCAGTCCAGTATCTGGCAGTGCGGAAGGACTGGTCAATGAGAATTATTCCAGCAGCCCATCAGATCAGACCCATCAACCAAAGACTGCACATGATGATAGGGAACTCGGCGACCGGAAATCTCCGGAATGCATCAACACGAACGCTGGTGTTACGGACCTGAGCAGGAGCCCGAGTATCTTCGAAGTACTTGCGAGGCAGAACAGTGTTGCTCATCAGGAGGGAACGGCATCACGGGTCCTCCAAGAAAGTCCTGGAGGCTCAAGAGAGACCGGCAGTGGGGCCTCTCCTTTGGATTCACGGAACCACAAGCATGATGGAAAAGGAAGAAGAAGTCAGAGTTCAACTGATGCCTCGAGCAACCCGGTTGCCTCTGTAAGGACGCCTACGCCACCGCGCGAACTTGGGAGAATCGCTGGCCAAGCACAAGTACCCGGAACAGTATCGCAATGCGATGACATCCAACATAACGTCGAGCCCCGACACTGGAAGGAAACGCACCGAGTGCACCAACGACGCGAAAGCGACAATCACAGAGACAACGAAGCTCGAGACAACCGACCGAACGTGCCGGACAAAGCAGCCCGCAAGGAAGAGAAAAAGAAGCGCAAACGAGAAAGAAAAGAGATGAAAAAGGCAGAGAAAGCCAGAAAACGAGAACTGAAGCGGCAGAGGAGAAACAGCTTTGCGTCGACTACTGCGGTGAAAGAGGAACCGCTCGAGGAGGATGAAGTAGTTTGTGTCGGAGTTCGACAGAATCCAGCAGCAGAAGGACCAACAGGAACCATTTCAGCAGCAGCATCCGCTCCTGCAATCCCGAAAGGGACCATGTCTGCACATGGTCATGAACGAAGTTCGTTTCGATCCCGTCCGTCCGCCACAACAGTTGAGGGGCAGAAACTCGCAGCTCTGAGTCCAGACCGACCCGACTACCCGAGGCAAAGAGAGAAGCTCAACACCACTGAAGTCACAAACAAGGAACGTCGCCTTCCTTCAGAACGCACTCCGAATGAGCAACCGCGCTTCCCTGCTGCGTCGTTCGCATCCAAACCCCATCCAGGTGGAGTAGCACCAGTGCCTGTATGGCAAAAGACAATTGAGCCAATGGGCTCTTCCCCAACAAACCCCGCCTTGGCCGATGCCCGGGGAGGCAACAATACGATACAGACTGTCACGACTGTGCCACATTTACAAGCACAACCAAGGGACATCTTTGAGAATCCTGCAAGAGTCGACGCCCGCGCTGCCCGTCTTGCCGCGCCTCAGATACCGGCACCACCGAAGATTCGAAGCCAGTTCGCCAGCATGCTTCCATTTGAAGTGTTGTGTAGTGAGAAATTGATTGAATCCTATGGCGAAACAATAGCCGATTTGGCAACTGGCAGGTGGGCTGCTACACTGTTTCGCGGTGCCCACAGAATGCTTGACAACCCTGTACCCGATACTGCAGTTTACGGAAGAAAGATCGTATTCCAGGACTCTCGAATTGTGGACGGGCTCGGGGTCGATGTAGAGCTTCCCGGAGGAAATGCCATCATTGTTCAAGCACTCCCACTTACAAGAGACTTCATCAAAAGAGTTATCCGGGTAGGCGCCAGCGGGCGATATTTGACAATGACCTGCATTTTATGTCAAGGAAAGGAAACAAATGATGCAGCAAGCCCTCAGAGGGTCCTGGAGCTCGTGAATTCCATCACCGGCGACTTCAGCTCATCACCGGTGCAAATTCAGGTGACATCTACGGCTTCACTATCGTGCTGCCTTGCTCAGAGCATTTTGAAGCACGTTGCAGAGGGGGACCACGCCGGGTACCAAGGCGCCCTTCGTCTGTTGGGCAACGAGAACGTATTGTACCGAGTCTCTTTCTTGGTTACCCTCCTGCCCTCCCTGTCAGTGGTGGCCGCAGTGAATTGTATCTGTATCACCGGTGTTGGTCAAAACAAGAATGCGAGGGAGCAGTTTCAACTTTTGCTTCGAAGCCAAGATGAAAGAAAACGTCTTGGGCAGATTGGCAACCTCAAGAAAGCAATGGCCCAACTATGTTGCGTCTTGCAAGTATCGCTGGCACCAGCTTCCGTAGATTGACTTAGTCGCTCGGACGAGAGTAAACGGTTCAGAACTCTTCTAAAGTAGTTATCCAGTTCCTTTGCTCGAATCTGTACGGTAGAGGTTTCTCTATCTATTGATTGTCATTGCATCGTCACAGGTACCGGTATCCTTGTGAATTGCTGTTCAGTAAGGTAGCTGCCCAACGGCCGGACTGTCTCTCATAGAGAGAGAGTCGGTTCGGGGTGCAAGAAGGACTCGCCGTGGTTGCGTATTAGACCGATGTTCGGTTAGACTTTCTGTAATGGGAGGGTCCAAAAGGGCCAACACCAACATCTAAGCATGCCACAAGCCTTGCGCAACCTTAGAACAATTCCAAATCAGCCCCCGCATTCGACTCAGCTTTTCGTAATACTTCTTTCAGTTTTTCTTGGCCCTCGACATCATCCGGGTCGATACCAGGCCTCTCTAGTTTCTCTTCAGAAACAAAGCTGGCCATGGATTCTGCAATCTCTTTTCTGACATCTCGGCTGTTCGCGCCATCAAGGCTTTTCATTTCTATATTGACGTTCCATTGCTCGTCTTCGTCCTCTTGAATAGGAACTCCAGTGGTTGGGAGAAAGACACGTGCATAGGTTTCCATAAATGCAGTACTCAGCAAACATGCAACCGACGCTTCACCGTCCTCCATTGATACATGTCCTGCGCCTCCAAATTCATCGTCCACGAACCGTTCAAACGCTGTGTCTTTGTCCATGTTGGCTCTGGCAGCCAATCCAATGTGGGCGAAACCGTGTTCTTGTCCAGGAAAGACCTTGATCAGAGAGTCCTTTATCCTGTCATCTTCCTCCAAGAGAGCCTTCAACGTTGCCGCATCCTCTGGAGTAGCCCCTGGGATAACATCGTTTCCAGCAAAGACTCCCATGACGGCAAATGTCTCCTCGTCGCTGTGCTGATTGTTGCCAACTGTACGGTGTCTGCCAAATAACGCCGATGCAGCATATCGTGTTGGATACCATGCTACGGTCGCCATGGGCTTCACAAGGGGCGGTCCCACGCTTCCGTCTACATCGTGAATTTGATCATCAGGACGGTACCCCGCCGCAGCTTCCAATGCTCGCCCGCCACCATAGCAAGTACCCCACACAACGACAGAGCTGACCCCGTACCGCTCCCTCAAACAAGCGGCTGCGGCCCGAATGTCAACAGAAACCCTTAGGTCTGAGTGAGTGGCTCTCCAATCTTCGTACGTCTGCCCCTGTGCATAATTGCCAGGAGTCGATGATTCCTCCTTCCATGGATGCCCACTGAGATCGCGCAAAAGACAAAGCCAAGCATTCAACTGAGATGAAACCAAGAAAAACAAAATCGAACGACGGTACTCTACGAAAAGACATGAACTTACCGGAACAGATCAGGTACCATCACTACTACTGGTTGGCACTCGAAGGCAATTTTTTCCGCCAGGGTTTTGGTGTCCTCCGACAAGCCGTATACGTCACTGAGTAGCAAAACACCTTGCACTTCAGTGGCGGACATTTGTGCGCCTGCTGCAGTGTACTTTCCCCAGTCTGAAAAGTCTCTATCGAGTATATTGGCATATTTTCCTTGTTCATCACCTTCATCTGGGCCTTCGTAGTCAAACCTGACTGGCACCCTGCTGGCTTTTTCTCTCTTTGTTTGGATTTCTCTCAATCTTTCTTCAGCAGAATTTACAGTGATGTTCTTGTTTTCTTGCTGCTGAGTACCACCGCCTCCTGCAAGAAATGGTTTGAGAGCATCCCGGCTTGCCACCACAAAGGCGTCAACATAGGATTGATTGGAGCCAAGAAACTGTACAACGGTCCGTGACAAGCAGTCCACTACAACTTGTCGACCTTCATAGTCATCCACGATCCTTGCTTCAGATCCCCACACTTCAGGCGAAGAGCTTTCCTTGCTATTGTCGTCTCTCTCAAATTCAGCATCTATCACTTTCTTTTCGTTCCATGCCTTGACGCTCTTTCCTTGATCCTCTTCGTCGAGATATTCCGAGACATCCACAAATTCTTTGCCTTTGTCACGGGCAAACTTTTGAGCCTTTGTTTCTTCTGCTTCTTCTTCTTTGATAGGAGGCGTAGGAGTACTGCTGGACCTCACAGATGATGTCAAGAGTCGTTCAATGAGCTCTCCTTTGCGTCCTCCCACCTTCAGTCCCCGCAATCTTAGCTGCTGTTTGAGCTGAGGGACGGTCAATCCTTGTAGATCCTCCTCGGTCAGAGCATCTTCCATTCCTTCTGGCAAAACAACAAACTCATTCTCGTCGTCCTCTTCCTCGCTATTATCCTCTTCTTCCTCACCATCATCCTCTTTTTTGGCATAGAACGGTTTGGGGGCAAGAACAAATGCTGGCCGTCTCACGGATAAAAGTCCATGTGCAGGAGATCTGACACCGAAAGATGAGACCTGGAAAGCTTGGGATACGGCCACAAAAGCGACTGCCAATTGCAATGCTATAAAAACATTTATTGCCCGCAGCGAAGGAAAGAGATGTATGATACTTCTACCCATTGGCTCGGCAGTGCGGAAGGCAACAAAAATGAAGGGATCCAAGCGATTTGTGTGGTGAGGGTGTTTTCGCATGATCATGCAGAACGGAAACCAAATCAAGCCGTTGAAGCTGGAATAAGATCAAATGTCCTCTTCCTGACCACACCCTCCCAGCCCCTTCCAAGGCCCTGCATCAGGATCGAAACCAGGCCCACACCTGGGCATACACCTGGGCCTACACCAGCCCCAACTCCAGGCACAACCCCAACCCCAGCCTACACTAACCCCAGGAACTACACCATCACCAACTCGCCCTCCAACTCCAGGCCCCACGCTTACTTGGACCAACTCCAGCCCCCAAACTTACTTGGACGACCTCCAGCACCCACACCTGGACATACCGGTACCAGGTACCACTGGTCCATCTGAACTTACACATCTGGTTCCATGCCTGGAGCTACACCAGGACAAGCACCCCCAAAACTTAGCTCTGGTTCATCTCCAGGCCCCACTCCTGGACCAACTCCAGGACGTAAACGAGCCTGGCACATGGACCTAAACTGGGCCCAACACATGTGCATTATTCTCTGGCAAAACACTCTTTTCTTGCAGGTACTAATAGTAGGATCCGAGCCCTCAGATAGCTAGAATACTTTGGGATGCCTCAGCATTCAGCAGAGATTGAATTTATCCATCATGGAGATCTTTGCTGCCGTATACGCGCCCCCAATGACTACTTGGATGCCGGGCAACAACACTGAGCCATTTCGTTGCCAGGAGTTTGCTTCCGGCTGGCCCCTTGGGTACTTCCAGGTAGCTACGATGTATCCACTAAATAGTTACATTCCAGGCTGCTTGTACTGGTACGCTTTTTCTTCCCACTTCGCACAAGCATGCAAAAGGAACTGCCGCTGCGAGTTATGATGTTATGATACCAGGCAGTAATGCTTTGGAGGTCCACTGGAAAATAAAAGAGAATAGAAGCGGTAGTCCAAGCAAATGAGAGTTAGTCCAACGATTCGACTCACTCCAGAATTGAATGGATGTCAGAGAACGACGAGACAGCGCCAGTAAAAACCATCTCATTGCGAAAAAGCCTGCTGTCAATTGCCAGTGTGCATGAGTGTGTGCATGAGTGTGTGCATCGAGGTGTTCTCCCTCTCGAGTATCGGTAATCGGTATTGCAACAGGATCATTTGACAATCAAACCCCGAAGACCTGAAGGGTATCCAGTGAAGGGTATCCGGTGGATTTGAGAGGTCGATCGGAAGGCTGAGCGACGACGAACAGCGGATCAGGCTGGAACTCTAACTGGCTATAGTGGTGTCAAGCTCGTCACGCCTTGCTTGTTGGGCTCACGCAGCTTGGGGTTATCTCCTCCCATCAGCCTGACGATTTGGTTACTCAAGCCTCTTGCCGGGCAGTGCAGGTTTCGTGTGTGCTGCAACATCTCACTTACTTGGTCACAAGATCAGTGGTAGTGTTGCTAGCCGATACTATCCGACTGGAGGGAGGTAGCTTCCGTGATCCTGGACGACGGCCACTCTCAGAGCCTTGCGGCTTGGGACTTGTGCCTTGGGACTGACCTGGCGCTTCAGCTGCAATCACTGATCTTTAACAAGCTATCCGAATAGCCGGCAAGGAAACGCAAGAAACAAGGTTTGTCTTGAGCCAAAGAAGAACGACAACTGACGGAGGACAAACCTGCAAAAGAGCAAGCGACAAGATGTCTTCCTTAAGGCCTAGCTCAATACCAGTTCCGCACACCCTGGATGTGCATCATGTACCAATCCATCCTGGTGGCTCTCCTGCTGCTACCAGTGACATCTCTGCCAGTACCTTTAACAATTTGGGTAATATGCATTCTGTTCTGGTCAACAGCGCCAACAACAATCCAGGAGGCAACAATAACAACAACAATCTTCCTCATAGTCACTCACACAGCCACACACACGGCCACGGACACTCTCACACTATAGGAGAAATGGCCACTGCAGATATAAGCGGAACTCCGTCATCTCCCTGGATGTTGGGTTCCACAGATAACATTGTGAAGGGGTTGCCTCCTGGTCCCACGGGAGGAGGAATTCCCGTACATTCCTCTTATCCCCCATCTAGCCTTCACTCAAACACAATGCTTTCGCAGTCTCCCTCCATGCCAATGTCAGTTCTACCACAGCAGTTGCAGCAACAGCAGCAGCAACACAGGCATTATCAGTATCATGGTCACCCCCAGTCTTTGCCACATCACGCGCATCAGCATCAGCACCAACACGCACATCAGACACCGACCCCACCGGATAACTTTCATTGGAATGGAGGAGCCAGGAGTTTACCCCACAATTTGCCACCTCCGCCACAAATGATACGGCCCATGTCTCTGGGACAGCAGCAGCAACAGCCACCACAGCAGCACTATGATCATAGCCACGGACACTCTCATCATTCGTCACATCATTCTTCGCATCACGCACAGCCTCCACAGCCGTCACCTATGATTCAGGGTGGCGGGGGTGCTGCTATTGGGTTATCAGGAGAAGCGGCAGGACCACCCGATAGCTTAAACGGGAACAGTCCTCATCACAACAACAACAGTGCCAACAATAATATTATGATCAAGAACAGTGGTTCCATGAGCAATCTGAATGATGGCAACAGTAGCAATAACCTCGCTACCAACAATTTGGCCATGCTTTCGGCAGCACTTCATTCCCAAAAGTCGCTCTACCAAGAAAAAATATTTCATCAACCTTCACAATCGGTAGAAGCTGTGCTAGGTGCCGGTTGTGAAGTTATGGGATTTGATATCGCGGAAGTGTGGCTACGGACGGGACCCAAGACACACCAATTGACCAATTCGCATCTGCGGCCAACGGCCTTGGAGGACTCCTTACGAAAACAGTTGGTCGACGTCTACTACGGAGAAAAGTCCAGCGAAAGAACACATCGTTTGTCACCGGCATTGTGCAAAAGAGCGAAAGAGGCCAATGATTTGGTGTGGGTAACGGCGCACACGCCCCATGGAGCCGAGGCTTTGCGGTGTAGCATCAGTAATGTGCGCACGGCAGTCGCGATTCCAGTGTGCCACGAGGCATCCAACACCAATTTGACCATCATATTCTTCTCGATACGACGAATCATCATGAGAACCACTGCTGTGGAATTTCTAGTGCACATATCCTTGGGTGCTGCAGTAGCGGCTGTCAACTCGCTGGCAGAGGACGGACTGTTGGATCGCCCTTCGGCAGGAGCTGCGGTAGAACCTGGAATGGGGACATCGCCTTCTCAGGGCCCTTCAAACTTTTCTCGGTCCGAGCATACTCCCTCAACAATCGATATGGAAGGAGCTGTTTCTACTGTGCGGCATCAGCAAATGGAAAAAGTTTCAATCACTGGGGCAAGGTTGGACTTGCAGTGGAGAATATTGCAGAATGTCGAGTACTTGACCGACGGTGGCAATAGCTGGATCCATACGGCAGTATACAATGGCAAGCCTGTTGTGGTAAAAACGCTGAAACCAGAATGCCAGGATCTAGCACTCGCCATCAACGAAATCGAAAGCGAGCTCGGTAAGTGGTGCTATTCGATGGCTTTTCGGGGTACTGTAGAGTGAGGTGGCCCTGACCGTGTCCTTCATGATTCGATTCGACCTTGCAGCGATCCATTCTCGTTTGAACCATCCGAATATTGTGAGCTTGCTTGGTGCTGGTACCACCAGCAAAGGCGTTCGGTTCGTGGTCCTAGAGCGCCTGGACGGGGGGACGCTCACACAGATGCTAGGATACGACACTCGGATTCGAGACCGAAGGCGGAGATTCTGGCGCAAGAAGCAAATGTCGTATCTGGATGTGCTGAGATGTGCTCGTTCGATAGCGGATGCAATGGCGCACTGTCATGAATACGCTATACCTGGATCCATGGTCCTTCACCGTGATTTAAAACCTGACAACATCGGTGAGCGAACGAAGGAATGAATGAACGAGATGGAAACAAATCTTGCGCAATTGCCATGGCTAACGCATCCCTTTGCTGACAGGTTTCTCGCTCGACGGGTCGGTGAAAGTGCTCGACTTTGGGTTGGCGCGGATAGTCGAGAATGCCGCTGTGAGCTCCAATGAGGTGTACGCGATGAGTGGCGAAACAGGATCACTTCGTTACATGGCGCCAGGTGAGTTCCCTGACGATTCGATTCCACATGGGGTCGTGTTGGTTGCTTCCTTTGACTTATCTACATAACGTTTTTCTTTGTTTTGCAGAGGTGGCGGATGCATTGCCATACAACCACAAAGCTGATGTCTACTCCTACGGAATAATTCTTTGGGAACTTAATGCTGGGAAGAAGCCTTTTGATGGTTTGAATAGGGAATTGTTCTATGAAAGGGTGGTCCACGGAGGCGAAAGGCCACCGTTGCAAAAGAAGTGGCCGGATGAGCTGAAGAAGCTGATGACGGATTGCTGGAGTGCTGACATGGAAGTCCGACCAACCTTTGGAGAGATTATGCAGAAAATTGACTCCATGTTGGACAGTGAAAAGACAGGAGGCGCAGGAACCGGTACCATGGTCAAAAAGAAGGTCACGAACACTGTCCGAAGGATATCTGGCATGATTGATCGACACTCGACATGGTTCTGAGGATGGTGGCTATAGTATATGTAGCGTAGTTGTTGTAGCCTTTATGTAAGATAGAAGCTTGTTTCTTGGAACGGAAACCCACCAGCCCAGCTATGTTGCAGATTCGATTCTCTCTTACTGTAGTACCCGTATCTAACGACTTTTCCGACCGCATCAATGATAGATCCGTCGCCGATTTGGAAAAAGTTCAGACTTACTACGGTACATGTACTATCATACCGGTAGCTAAAAGCAGAATGCTAATTCTACCGAATTTCTAACTCTTCCATGGCTTTGCCATTTTCAAACAGCGGCTCTTCTTGAGAGGAGCCACAGACGCTACTGGTTCGGCATTCTCTTTGCTGGAATTGACAAGTCTGTATCGAGGATTCCAATCTTGAACAGTCCAATCGCAGCCAAACGCTTGAACGATTTTGACACGGCCCTCCTTGACAAGTTCGCAGAGAAGCGTGATGACTGTGTCTTTTGTGCAGCAGGACCGAATTTCCTGCCACGAGGGCTTCACGTTCGGTAGCTGACGACATTGACATTCCAACACTACTTCCTCTCCAAGGAGAGTTTTGCTACCCAATGCACGGCAAATAATGTCTTTCAGGTCTTGCCGAATCTCACGAGGGATGGTCTCCACTGCGTACTTGGGCAGAAACGGTTTTCCAAAGCCTGCCGACGACGACGACGGTCCGCACGAACTCGCATTGTAGGGCTGACACGCGTTGCGCAATTCAGCCCATAAGCTAGAATGGTGCATGATGTCAAACACTGAAGGTTGATTGTTCTCCTCTTCAATAATGTTGGCTCGTGATCCCCTGGGAGCAAATGCGCTGGAGTTCGCATATTTTACTGTAGGATACCCGGTCTCGGAGTCCTCTATGGGAGTCGCGAATATGGATTCGGCGGCGCGGGTTCTCTCTGAAACTGGACGGTTCACCTTCCTCCCTGAACCAAAAATCAAGTTACGATAAGACAGGTTGGAGCCCCCTGTGGTGGTGGGAACGACGTCCTGTTGATTTTCGAGCGAGTCCTCAGCGGCAGAGCAGCTTGCAGATTGTGGATTCCAAGTGTTCATGGAACAATACCAAACATCAGGTAGTTCATCTGCAGAGATCTCTGATGGTAGTTTTCTCCACTTATCACATTTTTCACTGCAAGAGAAGCGTGTAGAAACTGATACAATTAGACAGGGTTCACAGAAGGACGCAACAAGAACTAGAGCAGCCCACAATCAATCAACTTACCATTGAACCCATTCGACATTGTCAATGTCCACATCTTGCTCCTTGTGCGAGGTGGATCGCTCAGCATGGTCGTGACTGTCCCTCTCTTTGGTGCTTTCCTTGATCTCCTTTTCCTTCCGAGACTTCTTTCCTCGCTTTACTTTGTCGGTTGGCGGAGCTTCAGGGATACTCTCCAGCGGTGTATCAGGGAGTCTTCTCGTCTTCTTTTCGTGCTTGGCTCGCTTCAGCGGCGGTTCGCTGTCCGCATCTTGCGACGCGTTGTCAGCGGACGCGATGGAACTCGGAGACGCACGTGGTAGTTTCGTCCTCGGTGTGGACCCGCCAATGTCCTTTGATTTCGTTGACTCCTTTGATTTGGCCGACTCTTTGACCTTGCCTGATTCCTTTGGTTTAGTGCTATCCTTCGGCTTCCTAGAATCCTTGAGCTTCGCCGACTCCTTCGGTTTGGCCGGATCCTTGGACTTCGTCTGCTCTTTTGGTTTGATCACATCCTTGGACTTCGTCTGCTCTTTTGGTTTGATCACATCCTTGGACTTTACTGGCTCTTTCGGTTTGATTGCATCCTTGGACTTTGCCGGCTCTTTCGGTTTGGTCGCATCCTTGGTCTTTGTCGGCTCTTTCGGTTTGGTCGCATCCTTGGACTTTGTCGGTTCTTTTACATCGTCTTTTGGTGTGGGACTTTTGGCCCTTGATTTCTCCTTCACCGGAGCTTCTGGAATTGTAGCCTGAGGCTGTGCCAAAACTTGTTGTTCTTCCAAGTTTTGGGTCTCAGCTACCACCTCCAATGTTCTAATACCTCGTTTCTTCCTTCCGCGCTTCTTATTCCTCTTTATCACCGGAGTTTTAGCGGTTTCTTCCGGCGCATCACATGTACTTCGCTTAGGGTCATACACGTTGAGGCTGCAATACCACTTTTCAGGAAGCTCGGATATCTTGATGTGATTTGGAATGATGCGCCATTTGCGACAAGAATCACACTGAGCCCAGTTGAAGTCATTGAAGCCATCATCGTTCGAGTTGCTACTTTCAGAATCTTCGTCCGGCTTCTCTTTTTTCTTCCGCTTTTTCCCGACAGCCACATTCGGCTCTTTGTCTAGGTCGGCAGCCTCTGTGTCCTGTTTCGTTGAATTTATTCGTTCGTTTGCCTGCTGTGCAGCTCTACGACCCGAACGAACTACGGGGGTATTCAAGCCAGTCGAAGTCTTGTCTCGAGGAGTCGAAGGCCTCCTCGTGGCTACTTCGGTAGGTTGAGTCGAAGGCCTCAGCGTGGCTACTTCGGTAGGCTGTGAGACTGTCAGCGGCAGCTCCTCCTCCTTGTTGTTTGCGTCTGATGTAACTTTGCTTTCCTTCCTCTCGAAGGCACTGTTAAGAGAAGAAGAAACCGACACCTTCGACTTGTCGCGTTGGAAAGCTTCATCGCTGGATGGTTCGAATCCTAGCGGTTGTCCAGAAGCAGGCAATTTCGTAGGTCGAGGACGCTTGGCCTCTATCTCAACGGTTGGCTTTAGTACCGGAGTGACTGGTTCAGGCTTTTCCGCCATTGTTGCTTCCTGTAGTTTGTTAGGAGGCTCTGCCAACGACTCTTCCTCGTCAGAAAAAAGAGGAACCCGCTTCGATTTGCCTACAACTCTAACTGGACCGCTGTCACTATCGTCGACGATTTCGTCCTTCTTTGCGCTCATTACTTCTTCTTTCTCGTCGCCCTGCCTGGAACTCGGGCGCTTCGACTTCTTGATTGGCTTTGATTCTTTCTTGTCTGGCGCTGCTGCAAGTAATTCCGCCACGGGAGTGGACCGTTGAATGTGAATCCGCGTAGACGATGGCACACGCACCTCGCCCTCTTCGTCACCTTCTTTCACTCGTCGACGCTTCTTAGTAGACGCAGTAGTGCTTGCAAATTCGTCTTCGGCAATCGATATCATGCCTTCCTTCGACGAGCGCCTTCGCTTTTTCGTAGGAACTTCAGCTTTATTGTCGGCTTGTTGGTCACTTGGGACAGATTTTCCCGGAGCAGGATCTGCCTTCTTCGATGATACAACATCATCAACTTGCTTTGGCTCGCCTGAGACAGAATTCTGTGAGTTCTCGCGCGGTGGGATTCGCTTGTGTATTCTTATTCTGGGCGACTTTTGTGGGTCAACCAAGCCGCCTTTCTCCCGTTTCTCCTTCTTTGGGTTTGGCAAGCGGATTGTTAGCGTCGGCTTGGGTGGCGCAGGAACCTCTTCCGGTACGGCTTTTTCCGTGGTAAGCTGCGGTGCAGGATCTTTCGCCTTTTGCACTGATTCTGGTTGTTTCTCGGCAACGTCGTCATCCACAACAACGGGGGGTGATACTGCTCGCTCCTCGATGACAGGGTCGGCAGAAGTTTTCAGTGCGTCATCACTGCTGGTGGAGACCACTTGTGCCTGATGATCAATCTCGGCTTGCGATGTTTGTATTTGTGGCGGGGTTGGCACATCACGAGTTTTATCACCACCCGGAGGATCCAACTGCGACTTGACAGGTTTGGGCTCTGGGGATTCAATGATCATTTCTTCCGGATCTGGTTTACGAACCCTTCGTTCAACTTCCACCTCGTTCTCCTTTCTATCAGGTGGACTGGACATGGGTGGCTCCTGCGGAATCCTAAACTCTGTTGGTTGTCTTTCCACTTCCTTGACCGGCGTTTGAGGCTCTTCCATGTAACCGGGAGGTTGTCGTTCTGGTTCATGCGCGAAAGTGGGAGGTTCCGTTTCTGTCATTGGAATTGGTGGACTCGGTGGTGGTATCGGCTCCTCCTCTATTGATGGGACTGGAGGTGATGGAGGTCTCGGCGGATCATCATTGAAGATGTTGGCTGTCAAATCAACCTCTGATTCGACCTTTGTCGGAGATTTTTCTGGCTCTTTGGCTTTGGGTAGCTCTGCTTCTTCAATAGGCAAAACCGGCGGTTTGTCGTCTGTTAGCTTTTCCTTTGGTGGTGGTTGTTCGTCCTTTGGCTTTGTTTCTGCTTCTTCACTGGGTTGCGGTTCTGTAACCGGTTGTTGTTTGGGTCCTTCTTGCTCTGCCTGTCGATCAGGATCAGCATCATCAGGTTCCATCTCGGGAGGCTGAAATTTGCCAGCATTAGCTTGATGCTCCCCATTGAATGCGTCATCCACCACAACATCCTTATCTGGGAACTTTGATATCTCTGCAGTCCCATCGTCATATTTGATTCTAATTTTGGACCCTTCTTTGGAAACAGCCGAGACTCTGCCTCCAAACCATCGTTTCTTGCGGACAATTTTCCCTTCCCGTTTGACCTTAGTTGCAAACCTCACCTTGACCCGTAGGCCTGTTGCCACGTTTCTTCTTGCTTTTTTAATGGTTAGAGCTCGATTCCATTCGAGCACTTCCGGAGCTGGAGGTGGCACTGTTTTGGCAGTTTTCCCCTTGCCGCGTTCAGTGCTCTTCATATTGTCGTCTCCATCGTCTCTATCCTTGTCTTTGTCCTTTTTCTTTCCCTTTTTCTTCTTTTTTGTTGGATGCTGTTGCTGCTCTGATGACTGTCCTTCTTCTGGTTGTGCGTCCACTTCTGCAGCTGCCACCTGGCTATGTATACTGCTGCCCCCTTCAGCGCTGCCCTTTTCGTGATGGTCAGCTTGCAATGGTTTTTCTCTTACAGGATGTGACGACGAGTCGGCACTCACACGTGTTTCCTTGTCTTGATGATGTAATGTATCAGCGTCGTCAGTTGCGGTGGTGTCTCTACTACCAACGTGTTCTTCTTTCTTCTTCTTCCATTGATTTTGAATCTTGTTGGCTGCGGAATGTTTCAGTTTCTTTTGTAGTTTTCGCTGTTGTCGTCGTCTCCGCTCTTCGTCGCTCCGCTCGTCCGGTTCTTCCTCCGAGTCATGATGACGACTGTGATGATGATGGTGCCTGGCATCAGTCTTGTTGTCGTGATCACTAGTATTTGCAGAAGCGGAATTGGGCATTGCCGCTGCTTCCTTGGGGTGATGATGATGATGTTGCTGCTTTTCAGGTTGTTGTTGTTGTGATCGACGATGAGCGTTCGCACTGACCTTCCTGCTATGATAGTCATCGTCCTCCTCTTGTTCCTGGTGTTGGCTGTGTGATAGGTTGTCGTCGTCCTCTTCTTCTTCCTCCTCATCTTCTTCATCATCTTCGTCGTCCTCCTCTTCTTCATCATCATCATCTTCGTCCTCTTCTTCTTCACCCGCAGAGAACTCATTTTCGTCACTACTAGAGTGATCTTCGTCATCCGCAGGGTGCTGCTGGTCTTCCTCGTCACTGGCCTCGCGACGACGCTTGGGTGGGCGTCCGCGCTTTCGTCTGGGCGAGTCCACTCCATGGCCGCTTCGTCTCTTTTTGCGTTTTCCACTGGACGACTTGTCTCCTCTGTTGCGGCCACCTCGAGAATTCTTCTTACTGAGAGCACCCGACTCTTGCAGTGATTGCTTCAACGCCACACGAAGCGAACTCATGGTGTGGGCGTCAGTTGGAATGAAATGGAATGAAATGGAATGAAATGAAATAGTAGGGACTAGCTAGACAAAACTTCACTGACGGGATGCCAAACGTGCGGCTGCGCAAATGGTGGAGGAGGAGAAGGCAGATTGTTTGTTGGTTTTGTCCTCGTTCTTCTTGAGTCTTCTGTTGGTAAATACGAGTCGATTTAACAAGTCTCTGTGATGCTTTCGATGTGACGCTCTGGAATGGTTCCGCTCTGGATCGATAGTCTTCTTAACCTGCCTTGCAAGCTTTACCAGGTAACTACGGTAGCTCGACTACAGTATCTACAGTCGTACCTCTCTGTTCGTCTTCTCGATTGAACGCTTCCCCGTCGCTGGCTTAGATGGTCCCTCATCCAACAACAAGTCAACCGACGTCTCGGAACTCGGAAATGATTGGGAGGACCTCTGGACCTCTTGAGGAAATACAATAATATTGCAGTTCAATCAAGTTGGCCTTGCCAAGAAGACGTTTGAAAATGGTTAACAGAAAGAAAGTCAGACGCGCACCTCCTAACAAAATGTTTTAGCCATCTTGACTGGCTTCTATCGAAGGTCGCTGCCTCCAACCCTCCATCCTTTCGAGATCATGCAACAACAATAAAGCGACGACCATGAGCGACCCCGCCACACAAGAGCCCACCGAAGACCTAACTTCAGGTCCGTTCACAGTCCTCTACAAGGCCGTCAAGGGTAACCTGCAAGTCTTGGTCAATGTCAGAAATAATCACAAGCTCTTGGGGAGGGTGAAAGCCTACGACAGGCATATGAACCTGTGAGTACCGTACCTGTGTCAGCGCATGATTGAGTTGTTTCGTTGTGTTGTCCTGTTTGATGGAAACGTGGGGTGGAAGTTACCTAGTGCCAGTCATACAAGGAAGCTGTCTCTGATTTGGATTCTTGAAAAAGAAGTCTTTGTTGCTGTTCTTTGTACTTTGGATCTGCTTTATTCGCTTCCCTTTGCTATTTTCACTCACCTGTGAATACCCCTCTTGTATCACTCAATGCTAAGGTTAATGGAAGACGTGAAAGAAACCTGGACAGAGACTTCCAAGGGTGGAAAAGGAAAAAAGAGGGGAACCGTGGTCAATAAAGATCGATATGTTAGCAAAATGTTCCTTCGTGGTGACTCCGTGATTTTGATTGTCAGCAATCCAGCCTCTTTGGTAAACACTGCTGCAGCAGAAGCATCATGATAAGATTTATTCTAAAGGAATGCCATCAAAATCAAAAAGTTTGCTTCCATGATTTTTTTTTCAGGGAAGACAAGGCACAAATTGACGGTTGGGCTTCCATGTATTGCAGGGCATTCATCCAAGGCCGTTTCACAAGCAACACGAGAACAACAGGCAACAGTTACATCCCCAAGACCTTGAATGGCCGGAGGTGCCACTATTGTGTACACGTATTTCCAATTTAAGCGTAAATCAAAGCAGTTGCCATCCTTGCAGTGCTCTCTGTTTTCTGTCTGATGTGTAGCATCCAGTGGGAACAAGGCGACAACTGCCAGCGACATGGGTAGCAACTCGGTCAACGATTTCACTCGACAGCCCGGTGGTGGGAAAACATAACCGAGGAATAAGCAGCCAGCTAGCTAGAGGAGTGGGGGGTAACTGTGGGAGGGGCGGAGGGCATCGGCTTTTCCTTTGTCAGCCTACTAGTGTTGCTTATGGAAGTAGTGGGGAGAGCATCGGCTGTTCCTTGTCGACGACAACAAACATCCATTCCAATAAACAAAGCAGTTCATCTCCGACTACTCTGCTTTGGTACCTATAGCTTTGTTTGTTTGCTGTACCTGTGCGTCTACTACCATGTCATTATAATGTTGACTATTGTGTTTGATTTGTTTATTTTGCCGCTTGATCGGCAGCCATCTTGGCAGACTTGCGCGAGGATCGCCTCTTGGAGATGAGACTTCGACGAAGTTCTCTCTGTTCGGCCAATCGCTGGGCGACGACCTTCTTGTAGGCAGCAGCGTCTTCCTTATTTCGGAGGATGGACTTCATCTTGTCGGCCTTGCGATGACGCTTGCGCTGCAACATGAGGGGAGTGACGAGACGCTGGATCTTGGGTGCCTTGCGACAACTGACACCCTTTTTGTTGGTGTACGCACGGGCAATGACATATTTACGAACATCATCATCCTTGGTCAAGTTGAAGAGCTTGCGAATGTTGTTGGCTCTCTTGGGACCCAAACGACGGGGGACGGTGTCGTCGGTCAATCCGGGAATTTCCTTTTCTCCCACTTGGGTGACGACCAAGTTCAAGACGGCAATATCGTGTCCCACCACACAACCACGGACGGATTTGCGCTTGCGTTCTCCGGCACGACGAGGACGGTAGGCCTTGTGTCCCTTCTTACAGAGAACCTGTACTCGGGTGTTGGTCAAGATACCTTGACGCATGGGGAAACCCTGCTTGTCGTTTCCTCCCGAAATACGGAGAACGTATCCCTCGAATTCCTCTCCCAAGACATTACCGTCGATTTCTTGGGCCATACGGCGTTCATAGAGGTTCTGGAGACGCTTTTCATCATCGATATCGATGACTTTTTGCATACCAGTGCTGGGACAAGCGATGTTGATCTGCACGGAACAAAACAAGAGAGGTCAGAGATGTTTCCAGAGCATTGCTACCCTCCAAATTCGTTTCCACGTCGTAGATCATACCTTCATGGTTTCGAGTGCTTCTGGGCTGATCGACTAACTAAGTAACTAACTATCTAACCAACGCAACAGCCAGTAAAGGGACGAAGTGTTGCTCTTGTTGATGCTGATCGATGAGAGTTGAGGTTGGTTGATGAAGGGCCGACGATGGTGGGCTCAGTGTGGTGGCGGCGAACCAGATTTGGGGAAACGTAGTAAGCGGTAAATGCTTGAAAGCTCTAACCCTTTCAAAGCAGATAAGAAACATTAGCTCTAACCCTTATTTTGAGAATCGAATCCACGACTGGATCTTCTCGACACTGCTCATCTCTGTCTGCTCGCAGAAGCAGCTCATTTCTGCGGCAACAAGGGCAACGTTGCGGCTGGCTGTGTCCTTTGATCAAGTAGACCATGGCATCAGTGTATGAGGAAGACAACGATGACGGCGATGTGGAGGCTCAGCGTCTGGTACCTATTGCTATTGCTCCATTGAATTTGGCGAGCAACCACGTAGCGGAACCTAATGGTACTGGTGTTAGATCACTACTTTGCTCGCGACAAACTTATTTCCGTTTGATCTTTCTGCTTCCTTTTCTTCTCTGGCCGACCCAGTCTACTTTGTTCATTGGAGTCTGTGCTCTCCTCGCCGTGTCTTTTGTCACACTCCAACTGATCCACAATTATTTTCGATACCACCGTGCCGCACAGAGAAATTCGGAAACACGTGTCAAGTCCATCGCCTTTCACAGTGAAAAGCCCTGGATTCTCCTATCCTTCTATTCCGGGCACGTCGATTTGTGGAAACGAGACGAAAATGTCACGAAACGGTTCCTGATCAGTGACTCTCCCGTCCGAGATTGCAAATGGATGAATAATAACTCCACCAACAAAGATGATGATGACGACTGGATTGTCACTGCATCGGACGATGGCTGGATTCGTGTGGTCACGCCCACGGGTCAAAAGATTATGGACTTTCCAAATGCGCATGACGACTACATTCGGTACTTGGCTGTGCATCCCACACAACCCTTGATTCTGTCGGCTGCAGATGATCTGACCGTCAAACTGTGGGATATGGAGTACAATGGCACCTGCAGCAAAACATTCCAAGGGCACAATCATTACGTCATGATGGTAAAATTTCACCCAGAGGATCCCAACATATTTGCCACTGCTTCCCTGGATCGATTCATCAAGTTTTGGGACATTCGACAAGAGTCCAGCGCCTTGTTTGAACTCGAAGGTCATGACGCGGGAGTCAACACCATTGACTTTTGCAACGACAACCCCACTATTATGGCATCTGGGGCCGACGACTATCGGGTCCATATCTGGCATCATCCTACACGACAATTATTGCACAAGCTAGAAGGACATTCCGATAATGTCTCGGCTGTTCTATTTCATCCTTCACTGCCCATTCTCGTGTCCACATCCGAGGATGGCACTGTGAGGTGTTGGTCTGTGATGGATCCCCAAGACGAGTACAAGGCATTGCCACCACTCTGGAAGGACAACAGCAAGGGGTTTGGATGGACTTTGGCTGGAAAAGGCAATCAACTGGCAGTAGGTTTTGACCAAGGAAGCATCCTATTGGAATTGGAAGAAGATCCAACAGAGGAGGGCCTGATTGTCAAAATGACCAACGAATACAACGGATCGAACATGATCCTTGAGCAAGAACGAGTTCCTACAGAAACGTTTTCGCATCCTTCAGCCTAATCAGCAATAACTCTTACTGTATGTTAGTGTTCTCTTTTGAGACTGTTGTTCCTCGCAAGAGTTTTGAAAGGCCGTATCTCAATAAGGGAATTTGGGGGCAATCAGACCCGAGGTCGTGGTGTTGCTCCGTGGTTGGGGACAAGGGGGTAGACTCGTTGAGGTCGGCATCGAGAAGGTCTAAAATATCTTTTTCTTGCTATTTTTTCCAATATTTTTGCTGCGCATCACATCGCCATCACACCACTTCGATCCCCCACCCGCCACCAGCTCCACCACCCATTATTTTCTTATTCATTAACCTCCACTCTGTTCGCTACTACGCTTCTACCTTAACCACAATAGCATTGAATGATCAGACTCGGAAGAAGAAGCCTGATCAGCTCCCCCATCTTGTTGCTCACTCCTCCTCTGAGGCCCATCCCACTCTTTCAATCCTGGATCTTTTGTTCCTCGAGTAGTACTGGTACTGCTGCCGCCTTTTCCTCGATCAGCACACCACCCACCATAATGCCCGCCAGACCGTACTCGTTCTTGCCTGAAGGAAGCACGGGTCTGCTAGATCTTTCCAAGCTTGGAACTGACATTAGTGACGCCGAAGACAAGCGACAAGCGGGCTTTGATGCAGGTCGCAATATCAAGGCGGCTCTAGTGGCAGCCAAGGCAACCCTCGAAAGTGGCAAAGACGAAACGGATGACAGTTTGGAGAAACTAATCATTGAGACAGTGGGTGCCAAAGCCGATCGAAGTCCCCGCGAAGCCAATCTGCATTACCAAGTAGAAGATTTTGTCAGACATCAAGCGTTTTTGCAGTTTTTAAAGGATGCTACCCTATTGCCTCCATCGGCGACTCCCTATGCGACAGACGAAGAGTACTTGGCAGGTGCCTGCATGGGTCTAGCGCAGGATTTGGCCAAGTACGGAATTGGACGGGCCACCATCAGAGATGCCGAGTCGGTAAACTGTGCCAAAGTACTGGTCGGAGAAATACTGGGGTATCTACTGCAATTTGACTTTCGCAATGGACCTCTTCGGCGCAAATATGACGGCACCAAGTATGCGTTGAAGACTCTGGAAACACTGCTCTATGAACTAGCCGTCACCGGGACATCTGTCAGTAACGCCAAAGAGGGCGGCGAAAAACCTGCCAAATTGCAAAAGACTGAAAACGAAGAACCATCCAAACTGCTGGCTCACGACGAGCTCAAAGAGCTACGAGAGCGCATGGAACATCGTGATGCACTACGAGAAACTCTCATCAAACGATGCCGAGATGGACAAAAGGCGGCCAAACAGGCAATATTCGCACTCCATCGTGGCGATCCCAAGAAGGCCAAAACGCTCATAGATCAATGCGAAGAATGCGTCAAAAATGATCTGCTTCCTATTGTACACGAAGAACCACCACTCAAATATGGAAGCTTTTCCAACATGTTGGAAGAGTATTGTGAAGCAAAGCTATTCTATGCATGGTTGTTTGGAGATACCACCAAAGTGCCCGACGATGTCAACAATAAGCCTTCCACAACGCTATTGAAGAAGGAAGAATTGCTGGAAACCTTGCTCGGCAAGACAGACGACAATACGGAACCAGATTATGAAATTGGGATTTACCTGGGTGGCATTTGTGATCTTACGGGAGAAATTGGCCGTTTCGCCGTGCAACAAGCCACCCTGCGAGATGAAGAGTGTGTCAAACTATCGCTGCAAACCAATAAATCCATCCTCAGTGCTCTGCAAATGATGGGACGGTCACCCCGAGACATTGGCAAGAAAATGGGAGCGTTGGAAAAGAGCGTCGAGAAAATTGAAAGGATATTGTACGAAATGAGCTTATCCGAGGCGGCGGGTGGACGGAATGTTCAAACGTCGACGGCAACCATGGATGTCGAACCAGAAGGCAAGGCTATGGATAGTAGTAGCCGTCATTAATCAATTAACGCGTATGTTGAATTGTTCTTTTGGAGCTATCTTGACCATCTTTTACCTTTGGGCGTGTAGATACTCACGTACGTATCGGTTGCACCTGCCGCCAAGATCGGTTTGTAAGGATGCCACTCAAGGCAACTGACTGGCCCAATCCGATGGTTCGACATCTCTTCGTGATAGCGAATCACCCTCACTGTATCACCATCCAAGGTCAGGATCTTGATGAATTGTGCGTGTGAACCTGTCGCAACCACAGGGATCTTCTTGTGTACAGCCAATGCCGTCATTGTGCTTCGCTGCACCTCCAATGTCAACTGGCTCGTTGACATTCTCAGATCCCACACTTTAATGTCACCAGCGATACCGCCCGTCACAATTTGACCACCATAACCACCGTATCCAGTAAATGTCGTGTTGACAATCCAACTGTTGTGTTCTTCGTACTTGGTGGGGCGGCGCCGTTTGGTCCACGATTTTGCCCCACTCTGTGCCTCGGCGACTGCAGCATTACAACGAATGTCGAATACTTTCATGGTACCATCGGAGTATCCACCCACCAAAACGCTTGGTCCAATTCCTGGTGATCCCTTTGGTTCGTCCTTTCCGAGAGTTTCGTAGTCCCAAGCGCTCGTTAGGGTGGTCAGGCAAGCCTTTGTGTCTGTCTCCAGCACATTTCGGCACTTCTCGGCCTCAATATCCCAACACTTCAAATACTTGCTGTCGCCCCCGGCAATGAGTGTGCCGCTGTACTGCTGCCATTCGCAGACCAATCCGCTTCTTCCGCGAGATCCAGCAACAACATCTGAAGCTGCAAAGAAGCTTGACACAAGACGAGGAGGGTCGAGACTTGCTTCTCCATTGTTCTCAACTAGACCATCCCAGATTCGAGCGGAACCGTCGTCGCAACCAATGAGAAAAAGACTAGTCGATGCTCCATTGATCCAAGTTGCGGTTGTCATCCTCGTCCCTTTGGGGTTGCCATTCATAAAAGAAACTGATCGTTGTCCTTCCTCGACGTCCCAAACAGTGACGCCATCTTCGGCTCCGCAAGCCACGATGATATCTTCGAAGGGATGGAACTTGAGCATTGTAGTCATTTTGACGCCAGTATTGCGTAGTAGCTTTCTCTCTCTCAACTCTAGCTCGCGTTTCAGCGCGTAGCTTGCGACGTCATCTTCAGCGTTTTCAGTGGGCGGAGTCATAATATCCTCAATGCTTTGCTTCGTAGGTTTCGGTGCCTTCGGCGTTAGGTCCTTGAAATGAGTTTCAAGCTCTTGAACGCTCTCTAGTGATAGGAAGTTGCGACGCCCTTGATAAGCCCTGGTTGCACCTTCCGGGCTCAAAGGGTCCAACTCGGCATCCTGGTCTCGCTCGGTCTGGGAGTCAATGGTTTCATTAAAGATGCTCTTTTTCCAATCGTAGAATTTGGATTTGGGAAGGCTGTAATCCAGAGTCGACTTGGCGGACTCGCCACGATCTCCTCCTTGTGGGTGGTTCTTGCCACCAGAGAGATCCAAGGCGGAGCCGGCAACGATGCCACTAACAGGCGTAGCCAAGTCTGAAGCGACGCGTCTAAGGACAGCAGGGTTTTGTCGACTTGGGTTAAGTCGATGCGGGGGACCGTCGCTACGCGGAGGATTGGCTTCATCCTGGCGCTCCGAATCAAAATGTGCTGGACTCAAGCCCTCTTCCTCTATGCCGGCCAGTTCTTTCTTTCTCGGAGTCTCGTCGTCAGCATGAAGGTCCGCTCGCCGTCTCATGAGGGTTTCATGAACAAACATCACAACGTCGTTTGCTGCACTCGATACCTCTGGGTGCGGATCGTGGTGTTGCAACTTGCGGAGTGTCTTCCATATCTCAAGAAATCTTTCGATGCTTTCACCGTCTACCTCTTCGAGCTCAATGTCATAGCGGCTCGGAGGACGGCTGTTCTTGGCGTCGTCGGCGCCATCAGTATCGGCGGGAGTTTTATTATCGACTCCTTCCGGCTCATCCTGCCGACCTATAGACTGATCATTGGCAACTCTAAGGAAGGCATCAAGATATTTCCCAACGGCGGCAGCAATAGACATGATAACCTCGCATCGAACTGTGGCACTTCCATCGTCGGCCCCATTCGCAACGCCTTCCAAAATCTCCAAATCGAAATCAAGTCGGGGCTGATCATTGTAGACAGTTGGCTGTCGTGGCGGTGTTTGTTCGTGGTACAGATCTGGAGGCATCAGCGGCCCCGTGTGTCTGCTTGGACTTCCAAACATTGAGTTGTCTAGGCTCACAGGCCTTCCAACGCTCCCAACCATAAATCCAGGGCCCGGTCCTCCCAAGCTGGGTCCTCCTACCGGCATGGTGGGCCCACCAAGGTTGGGCCCACCCAGGTTTGGTCCGCCCAAGCTGGGACCTCCAAGGTTGACACCTCCCAAGTTGGGCTGCATAGGGATCATGTACGGTTGTGATTGTGGCATCAAGTGAAGCGGCTGATTGAGCATGGTGTGTTGGCCTCCCGGCATCAAACCTGGCTGCATGGGAGGCATCGGCTGTACGCCTGTCATCGGGCCTCCTGGCATCGGCTGTTGCAACAGCATTGGATGCTGGTGTGGATGTTGGGGTTGGTGTTGATGCTGGGGGTGCCAATGAAGGTTTGACATCCCTGGGGCATTGGCAAAGGAGGGTTGAAGACCGACGGGAATGGGAGCACCAGGGGGGATGACCATGCCTGGAGGCATCCGCGGTGGAACCAAAGGGTGCGACGACGGCCCCGTTTGAAACTGAGGCGCTTGCCCAAGCGGCCCTGCCAAACTTGGCAAATCCGGCGAGGCAGGTGGATTCATCTTGGGCGGTGATTCCAATAGGCACCCAAGGGCGTAGCACGCAGCCGCGCGTACATCTGCATTGCAATCCTTCATTCGGCTCACAAGGCGTTGCTGAATTCCGTTTCCGAAGGCTTCATTCTGGCACGCTTGGTTTGCCTTCATCATACTTCCCAAGCATAAGCATAGCCACATTCGGAAGGGGGCTGGGTGGTGGAACTCAGCCACATCCCTGTCCGGGCCCATTTCAGCGAACTCTCCGGCCTCGTACGAAGATAGCAATGCGTTTATTGTGCCGGGCAAGTTGAGGCGGCTGCATTCCATTTGCCCTTGTTCGTATCCATTAGCAGCAACTGCCAAAATGAAAGCGGCAAGAGTCCGTTCCTTCGCAGCTTCCCTGGCAGCCTCGTCAGAAGAAGTCTGAATAAATGTCAAGCGCTGTATGAAGTGTTGGAGAGCTCCATCCTTGACCAGGTCTACTTGACACGAAGAATCGAAGTCTATAATATAAGCCCAGATACTGACCAGCAAGCTCTTGTATTCGGGACTCTGAAGCAGTTTCATGACATAGGGGAAAATGCCAAGGCTTAGTGAAATGTTCACGGCCCATGGCCCCAGTTCGAGAAACTTGCGCAGTAGCCGCAGTGCTCGAATTCGATGCACCTGCGACAGAAGGACTTGCAAGACCACTGGCAATTGCTCTGGGGATTCCATGGGCATTCCTGAATTCAGATACATTTTGCGGATTGGTGCAAAGTCTAACCACACTTCAAAGGCTGTCAATTGCTCGGAAAAGAAGGGAGACGAAATGCTCGATGCAGGGCCAGTGACATTGCCATCTGCAGGTGTCACCTCAACATGAACGGTCTGGGCCGCCTCTTCTCCATTGTTGCCAGCGCCTCGATTTTTATCCCCTGGGGCAGGGGAAGGCTTCAAGACGTGGTTTCCAAGGATACCATCTTTCATCAGCCCAAAAAGACACGTTTCCATGGCCAAATCAAAGGCGGACCACAGTGGATGTCGATCAATTCCAGGTGGCAGGGGTGGATGGGATTGAGGTGTGCAATCCAGAGATCGAAGGATCCGATCCGCTAGCAAGAAGTTGCGAAACATACTTGCTACCAACAAGTCCTGCCGAAAGAGTCTCTGAAAGAGCGGCTTGGGTAGAACATTCCAAGCAATCGAGTCAGTGACTGCCGTAAAGATCCAATTGAGCTCTCCCAGTGGAGTCTTTCGGTCATTTTCCTTTCCAGGTATGGCGTCCACTGCATCTGGATGCAGCTCTCCCATGCTGAGTGGATTGCGTCGGACAAACCATCGAAGCGCCATCTTGATGGGAGTCGTCAAGCACGAGGTGAAGATATCGGCAGGATAATCTGGATGCATGGGAAGCCATTCTCCTTCCGAAGTGGGACAGAGCACTATAGTATCACGAACCCACTGAGAAGACATGACTTCCATGTATCGTTCTTCTTCGGCAGCGTCTGCATCTTGAGACAATCGAGGGAGAGGAGAATCCGGCGGTGTGGTTTCGGAAATTGGGGCTGTCAGAAAGGGGATCAAAATCGCAGCAGAGGAGCAATCCAGTACAACGATACTGGGCTTGCCCATCCATTGCCTCAGATCTGTGATGGACAATGGAATGTATTCTGTATGGTTCTTATCAAATACCCAAATCTCCCCATTTGCCGTTGGTCTCGGAACGCCATGTCCATTGTAATGTAATAGAATTCTTTCATGACGTGCCTGGCGGCGTAGCCATAAACAGAGCGCTCTGACATCCTCCACAGTTGGATCAAGAGCTCTCCGGTACTTTAATGGACGGGCTGCTCTTTGTTGCTGCCAACGTGCATACTGTGATTCCAATCGTTCTCCAATTTTCTCTTTTGCCCGGGCTCGGCTAGTTGTCGATGGATCCATCCAGCATTGAAGCTTGGCACATGGATGAGGTTTTATGATATCTGGTGGGTCAGTTCCTACATTCAGCGCCTAATGATTCGATTCGGAACAAAACTTGTGAGAAAGAATGCCAGAATAGATCGAGAGCCGCAGGAGCCAGGGCAATCAATATTCCAAGGATACAGAATACAGAACATTAGTTGTGGCTCACCATGACAAGACCGACTCCCACAGTTTTCATTCGATCGCGGAGACGCCAGCTGGGAACAACACCTTCTGCAGCTTCTTCTCCAGCCGCTGTAGCTGATTGTGATATAGTGGATTTAGTGATTGTGGCTCTTGTGGGCGTTGATGGGTGAGGAGAAGACGGACTTCTTCGAACACCAATGTCAGGGGTATCCGTGGCCACAGCATTACTTGCATTCGCGCTGATGTTGGGCCCTCCTCCCCCCACTGCAGAGAGTCCCATGGAGCTACTGGATCTTGGAATGATACTAAAGGAACTGACCCGTTGTAGAACCGAAGCCCCACCTGCCGCCGCATCGGCTTCTTCTCGGTGGGAAAACGGTGTACCCTTGTCATCTTTCTTGCTCAAAGATACTGGACCACCTGTATATTGCTCAAAGGGAGTCACCTCGAGATAAGGAGCCAGATTCTGTCTATCAAAGAAGATCTTGTTCCTTTGACTGTCGTGGCCTAACATGTTGATAAGGTAGCAAGTGAGTATCCACAGATGATGAATGCAGCACATGCATCGGGGATCCATGGAGCATGGGAAGAATTGCCGATGCCTCGATGGCAAGAAATCCAGAAATCCAGCAAGCAAAAAAGCGCAAATGCACTCGATCAGAGCATTAAAAGCTGAAAGCCTCCATAAATCTTGCAAAAGGCGCATCATTATCGGTATATCGGTATTAAAATAGACTACTGGTACCGGTAGCTAGACTACTAGTATTTACATACATCATACGATTTACATACATGTACGGTACCAGCAGATTTAATGCCATTTCGTAATAACGATGCAGAGCTGGTAAATACCGATTCCACTTGTACCACCAATGAAACCGTTCCCAAGCGTGTTTCCGGCTTACTGGTACTACTAGCTAGTACAGTCGTACCGTTCCAGCGGGCCATGCAACCTTCTGATGAAGTTTTTTCAACACGGTCGGGGGGTTCAGAGCCCAGGTTGACTCGATTATCTACGGAAGTTGTGATGAAACCTATTGTCTTCTAACCAAGTTGACCCAGTGAAGCAAGCCAAGCCTTGGCGACCGAGTGAGACTGAACAACTATGAGCATCAAAATTGATTCAGATCGAGTTTGAGTCTAAGCGCTGATAAAGAAAATGGCGGTAATAGCATGTCAAGCTTGCTTTTTATCATTAAATGAGTGAGTGAGTGAGTGAGTGCTACTTCAACGAAACCTCTGTAGGGCTGCCAATCTGAATTGATTTGATACTTGCTTGCAGCCAACGACAATGACAGAAAGAGCATTGCTTGAGAGCGGGTAACAAGGTAGGATGGATATGATGAAGAGTTGGAAGTACATGTACATGTAGCTTGGGGCATTCTTCCATCAAATCAGTTTCCCAGTCTTTATTAGTACTGCTGCGAATTGTCCCATTGCTGCTGCTGCTGTTGCTGAGAGTTATCCCATTGCTGCTGCTGTTGTTGTTGCTGCGAATTGTCCCATTGCTGCTGCTGCTGCTGCTGTTGTTGTTGCTGCTGCTGTTCATATTGCATTTTTGCGTGTTCGTAGTGCAAGAATCGATCAAGCTCTTCCAAAGCTTGACAAGCTTCTGCTGCCTGTCCCAGCCGGTCTTGCGACCACTGGCACTCCTCACTACTGTTGGCATCTCCCATGGCATTTTGCAATCCGGTCGCAGCAATTTCTTCCACTTCTTCCCATGCCAGTTGCGCCTCTTTGGATTGCGTTCCGTACTGTTGCGTGATAGCTCGCGCCTTCAACTTGGAATCCCAGAGACCTGGAATCTGAGGCGCTGGCTTTTTTTCGGGCGGTGCCAACTTGATGGCCTGCAGCTCAGCTATCACGTCCTTCATGAAATACTCATTGTATTGTCGATTCCAGTGCTGGGTCCGTCGCAGAAGCATTTCCATTGTTTGTTGTACTTCCTGATAGGCGTTCGCCAGCTGTTCCTCGGTTAATCGGTATTCTTCATTGCCACTGTACGCATTGGCTGCGTTGGCATTCGCATCAAACTCTTCCACTGTTTCCCAGGCAAGTCTGGCTTCGGGTGACGTGGGACCGTATCGTTCCGAGGCGTCCATGGCAGCACGGATGTTCTCCGAGTTGGCGAACAACGTTGTGGGGGTAACGTACGTTGTCGTGGGGATCATGGGGAATGGCTGAAAGGCGGTTGCCGGAACAAGGCTGGCAATGAAGATGGCTGAGAATCTCATGGTGGCAGTTGCAGGGATTGTTTAGAGTCTGGTGGAGTTGATGGCATTGATTTGTTGATTTGTGAGGATCAATCACGCAGGTGGTCGCCACTGCCAAATCCAAGAGAGATCCAAAATAAATCTAAAAAGCTGACGTCGTTTCCCTTCCGTACTTGAGACCACGTCAGTGCTGTAACTTCAATCTGGCATCTATGCATACTAAGTATCCATCCGACTACGGTGTACAGTCGTACCGGTACTAGTACTACGGTAGTATCTCTGGCCAGACTATGATAAAGTGCTCGTACCGGTACCGGCCGAGCCATTAGATACAGTACGTCATCCCCCTGAAGGGATTCGATTCACTAAGTATTCTAAGAGTACACCGGTACCGGTACCTGGAAGTGACAAGTACTAGTACATATGTACGGTGCATATACTCGTGTACGGTACGGATGGAAGAGGGCCAGGAAAAGGCTGAACTCAGGATCATGTTAGAGATGGCAGGTTCTCTCGAAAGGTACATCGTACCTTCGTCTGCTGAACTCTTCACGTCGCTGTTAACAAAAACCGCTACATAAAACCATTGTTAGTTCAGCAAAAGCAAGGAGCAAGATGGTCGTGAATGGAGAACGGAGAACATCCACCGAAAGAAGAGGGAAGAGAGGGCCACGGCGATTACAAAACGGTCGAGACGAAAACGATGGATGGAAACGAATTTCTGGCTTATGTGACCACTTTCCAGGTCACCAGACCAAGTAAATGCAAATGAGTTTACCAGAGATCTAGTGCCTTGTGGTTATCCTAACTTCAGCCATTCATGACAAATATGATACAGGCTGCTCTACTTTTTCCCCTTTGGGAAGGTGGATTGGCCCAGGGCCAAGACAAGCATTGGAGCGCAGTCTTGCTCGTGGTCGTGTTGTCTGCGGGGTCAACCCTGAGCCTGGATTTGCTGAGCAAACTACGACAACCGTGGACTGGGTTTGCTGTTGAGTTTTGTGGAGCTGTGAACGCAGTACTCTTTGCTGGTGAAACATATACCGTACAAAACGTATTTTGTCTTCTTTGGTCTATGCACCGTTTGTCGAGCTTTTGTAAATGTCATATCCAAATCTTTCCATGACACTTTCTTCTGAAGCGGTTTCACTTTCTTGCATAGAATCCACAACCTTGTAGTGCTCATGCTGAATTTCTGCCATGAGCTGGTAAAAGGCGAAACTGTGGTTGGGGTGGACGCAATGAGCAAGCTCGTGAGCCACGGTAGTATCGATTTCTCCGTAGGTGCGGAATTTGTCATGGTTGTGTCGGGTTCGGAGGCGAACGAAGATTTCGTGATACTCTTCGCCCAACTTGACGACGGTGACGGATCGGTTGTATCCCAGAGCAATATCTTGTACGTCTCCGTCACCAATTCTTGTCGAGTCCCAGCTTTCTTCACCCTCAGTACTGGGAATCTTTTCTATGCAGCAGCACATTCTGCAGTTACCGGTGTGAAGGAAAGTTAGTTCGTAGTTTTGCTCCGCAACGCTTCTGATCTTTTCTTCTTACTCACTCGGATACGGCCAATATTTTGAAGCCCCTTCTCCTTATGATAGGAAGAAAATCCTTTGCAAGTCGCTTCAGCAAAAACTTTGCATACTCTTCATTGGGAAGGTTGGGGATGTGGTAAAATCCTGGAGCCGCAAAGACATCGGAGGAGGACTCATCACTCCCGTCTTTTTGGTTCAATGACGCCATGATACCAAGTTGCAAGGCAAAATCTCGTTGACCATCGATTGCGGATCCAGTGCCTTCTTGGCTTGAAGTGCTATTGGTGTCTGAAGCCACGGGCTTGCACAGAAGAGCTGGATCAATCGTCACCTTCGGGAGATATTTGTCAGGTTGGGGCAGTGTAATCTTGTTCTTCTTACTAGTCTTCTTTCTTTTTCCATAAGACTCTGGGACTCTTGCCAGGCGTCGAGCTCTGGCGTCTTCTGTGTGCTGGCGTGCCATGCCATCTTCCAGTTTTGATTGTCGACGGGAGTTGAGTTTTTGCCACAGCACGAAGCCAACAAAGATCACCAAGATGGTTGTGCCCATTGTGGAGACGAAAGTGTTGTCTCGCCCCTTTGGAGAAGCGAGATCTTGTGAAACTCCAAGATCCAATCTGATTTGCTTGGCTTCCTCGTCAACACCTTTCGGGGGAGAAGGCGGTCGTCGTCGGGAACGCCATATTCGCGAAGGCAGCTCCTCGATAGATCGAGATCGATACGAGTCGTCCTCTTCGATACGTTCGATAGGGATGTCGAGACTCTCTATCCACAGCGAATTATCATCGGCCGCCATTGTCTGGTGCTGTACCGGCGGCAAGCAAGCTTTCAAGAAGTCAACTTCGTACAACTTTAGAAGAAAACGGTCAAAGGGACTTTCGCCTTCTCAGTCGTGGATTTTGCGGCGCAGTCCTGGACCGTCCGAACTGCCACGACTGACTCGTTTCGTTAAGTGGATATAAGAGGATGTGAAGATTTACGAGGATGTTTAAGAGGATGTTGTTAAGAGGATGTTTATTTAAGAGGATGTTTAAGAGGATGTTGAAGATTTATGAGGATGCTAAGAGGATTTTTAAGAGGATGTTGTCAGTCGTGGAAATGTCAAGTTTTTTAGCCAAATCCGTCGGATCGGACGGTCCTGGGTTACTCGGCATTTTGTCTGTTTGGGTAAGTGTTTTGGCGATTAAAAGTGATCCTTGTGTGAATGTCTACACACCTTTAGTAGACATAAATAGACAAAGTAGACATTGTGTACAGTACTTTGGTAGACATTACACTCCAAACCTGAAGGTAAGAAACTCCAAATAAGAAAGCGAGTACTCAGATTTTAGAGAAAGATAAGAATCTTTCTATACTGAAATTTCACAAACTTGTAAGAAAACCTCCCAGTATTGATACCTCAAAGCACAAGAAATACTACTAGTCTGACACCATGAAAATGCTCCTAACTTGTGCCTAAATCTGCAAAATTTTCTACCTGGTCGCAGAGACAGTGATCACCATTATTACTTGATCCAAACCAATTCAGAGTTCTGAGCAAGTTGGACCCAAAGGGCCAGGTGCACTGGGTATATCCAAACACTAACCTGTTTGATCTAGAAGCTTAGTAAGAAAGTCATCTATACTGAAATTGGCTTGTTTTCTTAGAAATAAAATGAGTAGCAAAATAGCGCAGTTGGGTAAGAAAGCTCCAGTACTGACTCCCAGTTAGAGCTTTCTTATTATTGAGTTTGGAGTGTAGTAGACAAAGTGACACATTGGTAGACATTGGTAGACAAAGTGAGACATTGGTAGACAAAGTGAGACATTTTGGTACTGTTTTACTGTACTGTTTAGATATTGGTAGACATTAGTAGACATTGTGAGACAATGTGAGACATTGGTAGACATTGTGAGACATTGGTAGACATTGTGAGACATCCGTAGACATTGTAAGCCACTTTTACAAAGGAGCATAGAACATTATTTAGGCAACTCTGTAATCAGATACAATAGCTTTTTAAAATAAATAGACAAAATGCTGAGTAACCCTGCATTTTGCCGTCCTGGATCTGAAAACCCGTTGCGTGGAAATTTTTCAAGGTCCACAGCGTGGAACGTGGAAATTTCAGTGACATACTGTACAGGTTCCAGAGCAACTCAGAACAGGGTTTGCCGTTTGCCAAATAAATGGAAAGGAAGTGACGAGCTTGGCTAGAGTAGAGATTTGACAGCCGAACCTGGAGAAGAAGAGTCCAGTCGAGTCCCTGCACTGCTCCTCCGGTAACTTTCCTCGTCTACAGCATCCCCCGTGGCAGGCTTTGACACCATGATTTTTCACGCAACTGAACTCCCGTGCAAAGCTGGCTGATGGTGCTACGGTACGCCTGGGCACTTGTAGTCTAATGGGCGAAACATTGGTAAACGACACAATATTATTCCTTTCACAATGAAATTGATGTTTTTGGTTGCAGTTATCACATACTTTCCCACGATGGCAGTACCAAACAGTATGTTGGAGGACTTTCCAATTCTCACAACGACAACTCTTGTCGTGCGGAATATCAGCTCTCAATTCAAATGATCGTTCGTTCCATAAGGGACCAACAGAACGATCAGAAGCAATCAATCATACTCGGCGAAACCATTGACATAATAGATAGACGGAGGGAGGCAGGAGGAGCAGAAGAATAGCACCAGCTAGCAACAAGTATTGCCAATTTTTCGCGGTGTTGGTGGCACATTTCGATAGTTTACTGGCCGAGACAAGAAGGAAGGATCGGTCTCTACAGACATTGCTTCCTGGTTCAGGTCATCGAGGATGTATGACGAATCTTGATAGCCAAAACCGCCAAAGGCACGGGCATAGCCGAGACCACTCCTCTTTGAATGTCGGTTGTTAGCTTCATCCAGCTGCCAGTCTCCAACTTCGGGGCCCACAAGCTCTTCCTCGGTCGGGTGCACAAACGATTCGTCATCAAAGTCAGTACGACCATCGTCGAAATTGGCATACATTTTCTTGACACGTTGCGTTCGCCTCTTTCGTGAGAACGCGACCTTCAAGATAACCAAGGAAACCAAAACAAGTCCAAGAACTCCCATGGAGAATCCAATGGCCTTGTTGTTTGGGTCGTCAGTGACGACCGCCGCTCTCGCCGCGGCTATTTGCGTTGTGCTACCGTTGGATTCAGAGTCCACCTGAACAGGTCCCGGTGTCACTCCCTGCAACTCTGGCATGTCGGCCCCTAGAATGGCTCGTTGCAAGTCGTCCTTTATGGCCTCGTGGTCATCCAATACGGTGTAATGGTAAACATTGACAGCCACGGAAACTGGAATGCAGGTTGGTTCCGGAGGACCGGCCGCCCGCTCCTCGGGTTCAGGAGGACCGGCTGTCCGCTCCTGGGGTCCGACCACGTGTGAGTTTGGAGCTTCTGCACTGGCTGCAGCTGACACGGACGGCGTTTCATCAACGGGGACACTGCCTCCCAAAATGAGTGGCTCTGCATTTGCTGGCCCAGGTCGTTCGTTAGATTCTGGCAAGTACTGTCTTGCCGAGGCGCTAATCAGACTCCTTCGTGTCATGGAGGAGCACTCCTCGCCTGATCGGGCGGGCCTCCCAAATAGCACGTTGGTGATGTAGCCTGGAGCGACTTCATCGGTACCCAACACGCCGCTGCAACCAGCCACTACCGAGGCCACTTCCCGTTGGAGATAACCGCGCAATCGTTCCAGAAACTGTTCCTCATTGTCAGTTTGGACTTGCAGTTCCGACAGAATGGTGAAGGTTGTGACCATATCCGTGACGGGACCCTGGTCGTTGGCAATATCATTACAGGAAACGGCCCGCACTTCTTCCACGGAGGCTTCCATGATAACACCCGAGTCGGAATAAAGAGCACCCGACTGGCCCTGGTATACGGTTGTGGCGGTTCCCGACGACACTGTTGCCGTTCCCTGTTCGGGAGGATACTCTCGCATGGGGAGTGAGCTTTCGCCGTAGTCTGTGAACTCATCGCACTCGGCATCACGGGCACTGGAAGCCCCCTTTTTGTTGTTGCTTTTGATGGCACTGTTGGCGCTTTTGAGTCCTCGCATGCGTGAACCCGACTTTTTCGCGGCCTTTGCAGATTTCCCGGATGCCACACCGGATCGACCGCATCTTGCCGCCCCCTCTTTGTCTGCCTTTGCAGCTAGCTTGGCAGCTTTTTTGGCGGACTTGTCGTTTGAAGCGGATCTACCACTGTCCGCATTGGCAGCTAGCTTGGCAGCTTTTTTGGCCGACTTGTCGTTCGAAGTGGATCTACCACTGTCGGAAACACCAGCAGCCTTGGCACCGGATTTGGCGGCAGATGCCTGTTTGGCCGATTTTCCAGAAGCGCCGCTAGCAGACTTTCCAGCAGCACTGAAGAACCCAGCAGGCTCGCTGCGGGAGTATGTGTTAGTCGTAGAGGTGGTTGTGGTCGTAGTAGTAGATGCCAAGGGTGTTTGCTCCGCCATGACTTCTGGTGGTGGATATTCGCGATCAGGGACACCGCTGCTGGGCCCACCAGTGCCACCACCAGAGTTACGACTAGCAGAGTCACATTTCTTGCCTCCCTTTAGTCGGCGGCGTTTTCGTCCTCCTTTTTCACTCTTGTCGCTCTTATCTTTCTCGGCACTCTTGCCAGTTTCAGATTCGGCGTTTGACCGAGCTCCCTCCACGCATTCATCTGCTTCTGCCCGAGACGAGCCGCTGTCGTCTTTGGCACTCTTGACAGTATCATACTTGGCACTGCGCTGATACCGATCACCACTGGGGTATTCTCGGTCTCCCGATGGCAAATTGGACGCATAGATAGCATCCCCACCGACTGCTGGTAGCTGGCGTCCAATATTATGTGGATGTTGTTTGCCGTAGCCCACTACTCCCCGAACTCGTTTGAGAGTCGGTGCAGTCGCCAAACTTGTCGAGGCAGATAACACTGCTGCAATACACACCCACACAATGCGGCTGGATACCTGCACCGTCATGGTTGGATTAATTCAACTCAACTCCTTCAATCAATTCCACTCCACTTTTCGTGACTGCTCTGATGGATGCTCTTGGTGTTGCTGCTGGGTTCGTTCCTGTCTTGCTGCTCTAGCTTGCTCCGGATCAATCGTCGGGTCGTCGTCGTGTTGGAAAAAAGGCGGTCAGGTGATTGCCTGCTGGAATTGAAAATGTGAGGAATGGGTCGTGGCATATCGTTTCTGTTGGTAACGGTTTGTGGTCACACTGTGCTCGCCAGGAGGAAATGGGCGGCAATTCTGTAGGTAATTTCAAACTGCAATCCAACCCGACTGGGAATGCCCGGTCTTGGGAGAGGATCTTTCGCGCTAGTTGAGTTACATGTACCAGACTGCACGGAGCTCTCAACCGCATTTGTCGGATGATGGGTTCCATTGACGTTGGATAGCTATCCAACTTAGTTGCTGTCAAGAGTCAAGAGTGGAAAAAAGGGTTGGCCAGGGGAGCCAGCTAGCAGGTAGCTCTAGCTAGATGCGGCGGTGTATCATGCAGCATTCAGGCTGGTGGACGGAAGCAACTACCGCAGGCGGTGGCCTTTGCCTGAGCAAAACACACGATTCTGTTTGTCTATCCACTTCAGAGAGAGAGTTAAAGCATTTTGATATCCATCGTTTAGTGTACAGTACCTCTAGCTAGAGTCTGCAGTGAGAAATAGTTGTTGGTAAACTCGACGACACGATTTTTTGGCGTACCGTTGACCCTGCAGGTGAAGATTCTTCTTGGCACTTTGGAGACTGGGCTGGGAATACTAGCTTGTTTCAGCACCGGAGTTGTCTCAATGAACGACGGCACAGTAACATTGTGCTTGGGTTGATGTCAGGATCTGCGACCCGGTTTGGGCGTGGTCGTTCTGTGGCTCTCAAAAATATTGCATCCTGAAACTAGTCTACTGGATACCGCCGGATACAGCTGTACACGTACTGGTACGGTACCGTAGCGTAGTGGATTGAAAAAAGTCAGGCTGATGCGACAGCCATTTACATCCCCGCGACGGACAAGACGACACCCTATCTCCATGCAATGAATAACTACATGTAGCTACTAGTCTAGACCCCGCCTGCTTACGATTGATTACATGTAGTCCATCCTTGTTTGACACTGTTGGAAGTACCGAATTGCTGTTCTAGCTAGCTAGTAGATGCACTGTATGCATAACAACATTTTCTTCCAACTTCAGATGATTTAGTTTCCACGTTCAGAGTTCACGTTTGGAATTTCCACGGAGGTACGTCATACTCCAAATCTGCATCGTGGCATTTTTGGCCTTCCACCTTCCTCATTGATTGGTCCATGTCCTGCTTCCATTGCAGATGTGGATGATCATACCCACTCTAAAAGCTCCACCAAAAGAATTCTCCTTGACTGACTACTAGATAGATAATGATTTGGAAGTGGCTTTGGCTGCTGTGCCTCATCGAGCATCTCCAAGCCACAGCATCCAAGGTTGAAGATGAGGAGTTTTCTTGTGCTCCCGACCAAGTCAAGTATGAATGGGAACGATTAAACTACTATGAGATTCTTGGTTTTTCAGGCTCCTCTCGGTCGCACAAATCTTTGGATTCCAAAGCCATTCGTAAGGCTTACCGATCCCAGGCTCAGGCTTGGCATCCCGACAAACTGGCACCCAACCAGACAATCAGCATTGACCACATCAATGCTAGATTTGCTCAGATTGCTCAAGCCTACCACGTCCTGAAGGATCCACAAAAACGAGCTTCCTATGATCGATTCCTTCAAACTTGCGAATACCAAAAAGAGCGTGGTCATCATCAGAGACAGAATCCGCCACACTACCAACAACAGCAACAGCAACAACAATATGCCCATAGGCAGCAAAACCATAGAAGCCAGAACCAGAATCATCAATCTGGAAGATTTGGTCCAGCATCGGTACGAAAAGAACAAGAAATGCTAGTGGACCCCATGACGGGGGCTCCAATCCTACGGGAAACCATATACGAAGAGTTTGCCAGAGACAATCGCTACAGAATATCCATTCAAGATTTCTTGGTCGAGTCCATGGATTCATGGGGAAACGCCTACTACCAACCCCTCTATCCTTCACCAAGAATAGTCGAAGAAGGACCAATCAATCATCAGTACCAAGAACAGCAAGACTTTTTCCAAAAGAGTTCTTCGCAGAACACTCTCGAAGATGGAGCTGTCATGAGATCTCATGAAATGATCGTATCAGACAATGAACGGTATCGTGCACATGTAGACAACTGTCAGCTGGTCATTGAAGCCAGAACCATGAAACACGGCGACAGAGTGGAACCAGAGATTCACGTGGTTTGGAAATCCAATAATCAGGTACCTTTCATGGGAGTCAATGAGTGCTTCTTGGCGTTGCAAGATGGCCAGCTAATGATTGCCGGTGGAAGCCCCGAATTTCACACGGGTAGCATTCTTTGGTTCAGCGATGCCGACAACAATAACATTGAGGACGAGGAATCTTTCCTCTTTTCTCGTCAAAAGAAACGGTATCAGGCAAAGCTGGAGAATGACGGAAAGTTGGTGGCATACAGGCTCGCCGAGGACGACGACCCAAGATGTGTCTGGGCAAGCGGGCCATTGGGATGCATTCGGGTTGTGAGTCAACCAAGTCACTTGTTGCGAGTCGCACAGGATCGGCTTGGTGAAGCTTTCCAAGAACTGTTTGGAGAATCCGATGAGCCAAATTACAACAATTCACAGGGCATGTTCGACGATGACGATGACGGCAATATCCTTTCAAGCCTGTTCAGGTCTGTGAAACAAGCCTACGATCGATTTGAAGACCAGGGGGAGCATTTCATGTCCAGTATAAATCACAATATCAAAAGGGCCTTTGGTTGGGGCAATGACATGGACGAGGAAGACGAAGAGAATGAAAACGTCTTCTTGAAACTAGCAAGCAATGTTATGAGGTTCATCAACGGAGCTAAAGATGATGACGTCATGTCAGGTCTACTTAGCAATGTCAAGCAACCATTCCAGGAGTTGAATCTGGCCCGCAAGCGTGTTGAAGCCTCCTTGGAAGAGAGGACCATCAGATTTGTGCACAATTCAATGTTGCGTTGGCAAAAGTACCGCTCTGAAAAGTGAATTGTTTCAACGGTACCTGGTGGGCACCCAGGATCGGAAGGTTGCAGGAACGTGCAACCAGTCTTCTTTTGGGGTTGCCATTTCTTTGCTGTTTGTATGTTCAACGGAGTCTCATTTCTTAACTCGGGTACCGGCCCATGGTTGTTGACAAATGACACACTGGGTCTTCCCGCTTCTCTTGAACCACTCCGTCAGGCACTGCGTGTGGAATCGATTGGAGCATGTTGTGCATTCAAGCTCAGGTAGCTTGTGACTCTTGAGATGCAGCACGCTATAGCAAACTGGGCATGGTTCCACCCCATCAAACTCCTTGTCCACATTCTCCTTCCACAACATCAAAGCTTCTTGCAAAGTTCCACCCTGATTGTTCAGCATCATGGTAATTTGGAGCGACCAAAGCTTCCAACGCTTGGCAGACACTCCAAGAGTTTGTGAACAATCCACCTCGGCATTCCGGAGAGGGAAGAAGGACGGCAGTCGGATCATGACTTTGAGCTTGATTTCATCTTGAATGTAAATTGCCGTGATCTCTCTAGTCGTCACACTTCCAGTGACAGTCATGGTGCCAAAGACATTTTTGATTGTAGCATACTTCAGCCTCTCCAATTCGCTCCGCAGGATCACAGGTGCAATGTGGGCTTCAATGTAATCGCGAATAGGTCCAGTGTAAACCTTGGGACACTCGCTTTCCCACCATTTCCTGGACAGCGTGGGCAGGGCCTCCACAGTACGAAACAATACTAGAGAGGCCAGTTCCATTTTGTTCACCATGGCTTCGTTCCTTATCAGCGCATCCAAATCCACATCTGAGCTGGCCTTTCCAGAACGATCAGTACCCACTCCCGTGTGAAGTAATATCAGGTTAAGGATCGAATCCACGGCGCCACTCTTGTCGATGTAGGAGCAGAGCGATGGACGGTATGACGGGTCCTTTCGCACAAAGGCATCGATGAAACTCAAACAGGCGAGCCAAGCTAACATCCTGCCAATGATGACTTCGTGGTGGACGCTATCACTGTACTCTTCATCTGACCAAGACTCAATTTCGGTCATTAGCCTGTGCGGTAGCAGTTCACTTGTAGTCTCAACATCTTCTTCCAGCTCATCCTTCTCTTCTGTGTCCATGGTTTCCGTCCATTGCGCCAGTCGCCGGGACGTCGCCTCGTTGGGAGTTGGGTCACCCAGCACCTGTGTTGATCGGGCAAGAGCTTCCAGCAAGCGGAACGCCTGCCAACGCTTGTCTTCTGCAGTCAGAGCTTCAACAAACGTATCCGCGAATTCCGAGCACGTAGCCGTGAGTAAGTCTTGATCTCGGGTGACCATCGAAGAAACGATATCCGGAAATCTCGAGAGTGATCGCCAGGCTGGGCGAATCCCGCTGATAGGATGGCAATTCTCGTCGAAATCTTGTCCGATTATGCCGTGTTGCTTGATGCTGTGCTCCCACTTCAACGAGAAGCCTTCCATGACTCGCATTACGGTCTGTACTCCAAGATTGGCAACGTTGGAATCGTACTTTCGAGAAGCAACCAATGCGATCTGGATACCACGCAGCGCAAGCAGTGTATCCATGTCGGATCCATTCGAGTCACCGCTGCCGAGGATTGAGATGGCTCCGTTGTACAGGCATACGAGAGCCCGATCGCGAAGTTCACTATTGTTTCCAAGCGCCCCGTCCGATGTTATCAACCAAGAAAACACAGCGCGATCCAATTCAGATACAGTCTCGCCAGAAGTATGAGCCCCGTGATACTCCAGAACCGAAGCAGTTATTTGCTCAGCATCGAATGTCATCAGCTGGGAATTCCAATCGGCTTCAGGGGTATTCAGGCCCAGACCACACGACAAAGACAGGAGCATGAGCTCCTGAACAACAGTTTCTACGGTTGTATCCCCATGATCACTCAGCAGGGCGCGAAGTCGGCCAACGGATCCTTGCAACAACTGAAACATGTCGTAGTGAAGGCTCCCAATGCCCCTTTCAGATCCAACGCCACACTGGAAGAAGACAACACTCGCGAGCTCGGCTGCGCAGGATCTCCAGGGAGTTGAAGAAAAGGATTCCTTGTTGAGAGCAGGAACAATCATTTTCGCTATTCTTTCTCGATCAAATTCCTCCGAGGCATCTTCGGCGTCATCTTCTTCGGGATTGAAGACATCTCGTGGCTTGACTCTGTCGACCATGAGATCACAAAGCTGCGATGCAAGAGCTACGGCCTTCCGGACGCCGCTTAAGTCTTGAGCTTGCAAGAATGCTCTGAGTTCGGATGTAGCCGCAATTAGCCAACTTTCCAGCGTTTTCCTACGTAGACTCGTCTTTCCCCCGAGTACTGCCAAAAGTTGAGCACAATGATCCTTTCGTTGCGCTGCACGAATTGAGCCGGCCCCGCCGACGCTTGCCTCTGATAAGGACATCAAGAGTTGCACAACGAACGGAGTATCGTTCTGAGCACCGCAGCTTTGAAGGAGCTCAAGTCTCTCCGCAGTTAAGATCTCAGAGAAGATGTTCATCAGACAGCAGAAAAGGAAATCTCTGCTCATAGAAGACTGCCATAATGAGATATCCCCGAGTGCAACCAACTCCAACAATGACATTGCGCCCTTTTCTTGCTTGCCGAATCGCATCAAACGACGAGCCATGTCAGACCACAGCTCCACATCTTTCTGGGCGTTTGATTCCCTGGCCTTTGATGCCTTGGCTACCAAAGCAGAGCGAAGGATAGTGGAGCTCTTCGCAATGACGGTTGACAAGTGATTTGCGTCATTTAGCAGCAATTCTACTGCCAGTTCATCCCATTCGTGCCCACCTTGACACCATGATCGCAACGCAATTCGATGGATCTCGTCCGCCTGAAGCGACGAGGCATTAGATGATAGAACCAAAAGAGTTTCGAGGATCGGACCAGGGACGGTATTTGCAACGACAGGAGCGTCGTCACTTCCTGAACTCGGACAAGCCTCGTCCACCCACGCTTGGAGGACGGATTGTCGTACCAGAGCCGGAGTGCCTTTAAGCCCAGCGCAGGTCTGGAGAAAAGATTTCACTTCGTTATCTTTCTCCTCCTCATGGCTTTCACCGATTTCCATCGCATCCTTCACAACTTGAATGGCAAATTCGTCGAGCAGATTGCATCGAACCCTTTCAACAGGGATCCCACTCTCTAGTAGTGCCAATAGGCCAGCGAGTAGCAGACTTAAGCGGCATTTGGCAGCAATGACCTCTCGTAGCACCGCTTCAAAACGCTGAGCATAGACTTCTTCTGAGAAGTTGGCTGCGCAGATTCCAAACAGCTGAAAGTCCAGCTTTGCAAGGGCCTGTGTCTGCTTTTGAACGGAGATTGAACTGGTGTGAATGACCATCCAGCGAAGGACATCTGACATAAGGAACTTCTCCATTGATATGCCACCGTTGACCTCCTCCTCCTCTCCCATGCCGCAAACTTGGAGAATCGCGATCATCACATGATAAGCATCCACGGTTGGAACATCCCCTGATCGAGTTTGATACGCCGCGAGCACTTTGCGGAACTTTTCTTGAAGGATCGAGGACAGGCGTTTTCGATCGGAGGCCGTTGTTTCGGCTTTGGGTGGCATCCTTAGTTCTTGTACAAGGACAGCCAGGGCCGCGTATCCTTCTGCTTCTAAGATGCAAGGCCGCAGCTGTTCCTGCCAAAACCAATCGCTGATTGTATAAACCGCACATGTGGGTCGATCGTAGCATGCGATTTCCAATTGTCGCAGTTCGGCAGCCATAGCCTTTCCCAGCTGCAGTTGGGCTTGCCGCACTGGCCCCGACTTGGGTGGCAGCTCTGTTTCCAAAAAGTTTTTCAAGCACCCAAGCCACAACTCGGCAAGATCCTTGGAACGAGGATGGTTGTTCTGCTCCTCTTCACTGTTCTTTTTCAAGAGAAAGAAGGCAGCCGATTCGGAAACGGTCCGTGCAATGGCAATTTGATCTCCCAGTCGAATGGCGTGCTCTTTTCCTTTCCAGACTGCTGTCAGTATTTCCACCTGATCTGGAAGCATGGCCAAGAGTGGTAACACAGTGGGTCCCCATTGCGCGGCAGAGGCTCCATAGCAAGATTTTTTGAATATTTTGATCAGGTGCTTTGTGACCGTGGCAGCATTGAGGCCAGGACTATTGCCTGGGCGTTTGTTGTGCGCCGCCAGGAAGGCCAGTAGTGCTTCCAGAAGTGATGTCATGTTTCCTGGTTCCTTTTCCGACGCCAGTGCTTGTGGAAGGGTTTGGGAGAATCCATTCCCACCAGGGGGGTCTAGGATAATTGCAGTGGCATTTTGACAAGAGGTGCTCAGGAGTGCGTAGGTCCGGTTCCGCAAGGACGATTTGGGGCTAGACAGAGTTTTCCACAGTACAGGACTGGGTTGTGTGGTCAGTCTCTGGCATAACTCGTCATTATCTTGATCCCCAATCAGTCCATGCTGTTGGATCCAAACCTGAAGACCACTCAGCGCTGTCCCGACAACCCGTTCAAATGTTTCCTCTAGAAGATCTTTCTGATTCTCACTGAGCTCCCCACTGGTAGTATTGCTACCATTTCCTTTTCCTCCTTTGCCACCGCCCTTGCTATTTGCAGAGCTGTTGCTGTTGGCGCTCTTTAGAGAGGTGGCAAAGAGATCTTCTTGCATTTTGCTGGCTCTTCCATACGACAATATCCGTTCCACATAGTCCCAAATCCCAGCTTGCATGTCTGTTATTGTGTAGGCTTTTGTGTTGCTGTTGTCGTCGTTTTCCTCCTCGGCTTCTTCTACGACGACATATTTGTTGGCCACAGCTCTTACTTCGGCAGCTGGATCACCATGGCAGCAGTACATCATTCCCAGAACCTGTTGATTGTTTTGCTTGGCAAGCGTCGAGAACGCCTTGGGCAATCTTGCAGCTGCCAGTGCCAATACAACCAATGCTTCAGCCCGCACGGTAGACGACGAGTCATAGGTCAGTTTGGAATGGTACAAGAACAGAAAATGAGCCAATGCGTCAACTTGCTGCTTTTTGGGAATATCATCCTGTCGAAAGAAATCTTGCAATTCCTGCAAAGCCTTGGTGCGAGTTGTCGTATCCTTCTTCAACAGACGAGTAAATAACAGTGCCAGAGCTTCGTCTTTCCCCGTGTAAATAGGAGACCATCTCAACGATGCTCCTCCTTGAGGCTTGTTGGAAGACAAAGATGCTGGCTGTGAATTGCTGCTGGTGGCAGTGTCAGCAAACGCCCCAAACCCAAGAAACTCCGTCTTTGTTCCCTGAGTTTTGTTTAACCTGGTTTTTCGCTTCTCCTTCATGATTCTTGGCTCTGTTTGTTTGGCTTGTTCTCTGCTCCTTGATTGATTGACTGACTCAATATATATAACTACCGGTACCAGCTAGAGCCAGCTAGTGGTGTGATACCTTTCAAATAATGGTTGGCAAGAGAGGGCTTTTCCTTTGGCAGGAGTCGAGCCGTTTGACACTGGTATTACTGGTGTGTCTGCTTGTCTGTTTCCGAAGGGAGCCGAACAATCTTCGTCTCCTAGCCAGTCTTTCCCACGGCTCCTTGTGAGGGTTTGATATATTTGGTTTTGTGGACATGTGGACGTCTGGAACGAGCGTCGAGGACGATCGACCAGGCGAGGAAAACACACGAGCGAGAAAGATCGTTTTAGAAGCAAAATAGTAAGCCGGCGAAGCTGTTTGTAACTAAAGTCTGCAAAACCCGACTCTCTCAGGGCAGAGTTGCTCGATGTCCAGGCCCCATTCATTGGTTGCAGCAAATGATGCATAGATACGGCACATGTATGAAAGGATATATATGAAAAGGCGATGTCAGGGTGCATGAAATAGCATCCAACATTGAGGAAACCTAAGCCTGTGTGAAGGAACTGAGCATGATTGCGGTTCCTGTCTGGACGGTAGACCAACTCAAGACTGCTTTCACAAGGAAAGACACGTCTGCGGCTATTGACAGGAAGTCAAACAACAAACTGAAATCAATTTTCCATCGGGCACCCAGATTCATTTGCAAAATGGTGAAGGTACAGCCTCCTTCTAGCAGGTGGACATGGTTCATCCTACGTCTATGAATGTAAAGGAGTGCTGACTTGCCGAGAGCTATTCCTGGGGGTGTGCGTGTAGTCACATTTTTGCTTGGCTTGTTCTAAATCTACGGTATGCTCACACAGCTTCACCACATGCCTCTACAGGATACTGTCCTTCTCTGCGCCTTCACCAACCGGAGAGTGTCTTTTGCGTTTGAGCCCCTGCGGTTTGAAGAAGGAAGTTTTCTCTACCATAGTGAAAATCACTTGGTGCAGGACCTAGTTCCACAGTATTGCAAAAATGATGGCTTCGGTTTTAGGAGGCTGATTGTGGCTTGCACCTTGCACCATCTCCCTGCTTCCCTCGCTCCTTTATTTAGGCACACTCTGGGCAACCATATCCACAGAGCAACCCGGTACAAGTGAAAGATGAACCAAAGTAGCCTTCCAGGCCAAGGTGTGACCCATGCAGGTTCCATTGAGATTCCAAAGGGCATCAGGAGTTGTCCCAGAAAGCAGTGGATTCGCCTCAAAACTCAAGGATTGAAGAGATTGCTGTAGCCGTTACAATACTTGTGGAATGGTTCCAGACAAGGAGCAACTGGCGTGGCTCCATCGGCCCACTGCCCACAAGAGCAGAGCCATACTGGTGGTAGCATGGGGTGGGATGCACCGATGCTGCCTGGGAATGATCGGGTACCAGGTACGGTACTGTACTGTAGTCTCCGACATTGACAAACATCTTCGCTTCTTCTTCGCTTCGGCAGATCGGAAGAACTCCGGATCCTCTTGCGGGCTTGTGAGCGCTGGAAGCAGAACCCTCGGGACCCGTGAAGATTTCTTCCATCATCGAAGACAGCAGTACCATACTGTACCAGACACTGAATGACGAAGAAGATGCTGGATCTGCCTCCACAGGTCCTCACCGGTGGAGGGAGCAACAAGTACAAAAGCCCAATAAGATAAAAAGAAAGGATTGACTACATACATGTACTGTAACTCGAGTAGCTATTGGATACTACACAAAGCATCTATTGCTTGTTGGCGTTCGTCATCTGGAAGGGCTCATCCATGCGTATGCTTGTACGATACTGCTTGAGATGGCGCCGATTGATCTTATTAGCTAGTCAACCTTCAAGTAGGTGTACCGGTAAATACACAGGGCTGCTTGTTGGGCACTACTTTGGGCAATTGCTATCTTGCTTGTAGGTACCGGTACTGTAGCAAGCTTTCCAATCACCCCGGCACGTCAAAAGTCCCAAGCCGACAATAAAGCACGAGACTGTCGTCCTGGCTGGGAAACACAAGGATCAATCATGCACCCACCAGCTACCTACGGGTACGGTACTAGTAGGCAACATGGTACCCTCGCAAAGAATGAGGAGGCCGCTACAGTACTAGTTTCTATATTGCCAGGCAATCATCTTTCTGCCACTACGGGTAGTCCATCTCGTCTCACCTCGCTCAGTTGTGTGGTGGCAACGACTGGCCGAATGAATGAAGGGCTCCACTTCGGCTTGGGTACGAGCTCGCTAGCTAGCTGTCATCGCTTGTTGCAAGTTGGTGTGGTTATGAAAAACGATATATTATTGCGAGCAGTACATAGGACTGCCCGCACGAATACGTACGTGTAGTTCGTTTGATGTATGCGGATTGCTGTCTTGTTTCGTTACAACCATTCCTCCGCCATGAAATTCATGTATCAACCAGTCCTCGGTTCGCTTGCGGCCTGGCCATCTTTGAGCTCGGATTGTTGCAAACGACCTAACAGCTGCTTTCGCTGGTCATGACTCTCGTCGAGGTATCAAAATTTGCTTCAAAAGTGAACGAGACATCATGTGACTGTCTGAGGTAATCGCTGCTGTTGGGGTTGGTAGCTCCCTGCATACGTATCAAAATCTTTCCAATCTTGCTTGAATTTGATGTTTCTTCATCTTCTTCTTGATTGGATTGTGGCGTAACCCATTCCACCACTGGCAAAACTTCTCCATTCTGATTGGGCAACAGCGTCAGTGGCAATTTGTTGTGTCTAGAGATGGATATTTTCCATTGCAGGTCCCCGGGCATGACACTAGTTCCCTCGCAAAACGGTGTCATGCTACCTAGATGTGAGACCATGCGCTTCATGACGGCCGTGTAAAGATTGACATCGTCGTCCCACTCGAGAGGCCAAAGCGTCCTCCACGAAGCCCCCTCCGTTGTAAAGACAGACAAACTGCCCTGAGAGCTGGAATCCACCCATAGTTCCAGCGCGTTCTTTTCCTCTAACCACCGATCGGCGACCGTGACGAGATGTTGCAGTAATTGGTTGGGGACGCCATGTCGCTTCAAAATGTACATCTTCTTGGCCCTCTGGAAACGACCTTCTACGAGTTCTTGACGAATAGTGTTCTTCAGTTCGTTCTTGGCCTTGTACAAACGAATCGCCGCGTCACTGCCATGAAGGGAAGTTCCCACCTTACGCGTGAAGAGGGTCTTGTTCAACAGGGGCGCCACGTCCAATTCCGGAAGCGTCTGAGGAGACATCATCAAAAAGGTCGAACCGACAAAGACTCCGTCCTTGCTAATGCTCGTTGGCTGGAAACCTGCTTTCAGAATAGGGGGCGCCTTGACACGTTGTTTTCGAGGAAGGGAATACCGAAACGATGCCATGGATTCAGATGTACAGCAGTCGTCGCCGATTAAAGAAGAGTTCGCGTTTCCGTTGATGGTCGCGGCAAAACCTGTTGTATCGTTGCTGCTGCTAGATATCATACGAACCAGGGGTCTCCTCCAGGCAACCTGCCGACGACATATCATTCCCGAGGCTGTGTTCATCATCATCTTGGTTTCCTATGGGTTGTTTGTATGTTGTTTTGGAACACGTAAAGTGCAGTGGGTGTGTTGTCAGCGAAATGTTTTTTTTTCTGTGAGAAAGGATTGTTGCATGGTCGTGTCAGCATCAAAACTAGTCAATACCGTACGTCTGATTGATTCACAAGTATAATAATAAATCCGATTTTTCACTGGAAATTGGATCAAAATACTAAAAGAAAAAAGTTTGAAATTATTAATGTTGACCTGTAGGCACCGGCGCGGTACTGGTAGGGCATGTTCTGATGAAAATCAATTATTGAAACAATCAGTTTCTACACAAATTTCCCCGATCAAACCAACCATCGGTACGGTAAACCCCAGTATCAAAAGGGCCTGACACGGAGTGTTCTCTACGCGATGCAACCCCAAGAGCTTCCGCAATTGCAGTTGTGGAACGCTTTTCAGCAGCAGCCAGCGAGGACTGGAGGCAAACAGATGCGTCTTGCAAGGTGCGTGCGAAAGTGCCACGCATTCTCATTGGTCAACGTCAACTCCGAGGACTTTCGGAGTCACGAGGTGCACGTCATCGCCAAATCAATTTGGCGGTTGAGGACCTGTTTCAGTAAAATTTACACAAATCCAGTCAGTTTCTGTTAAAAATCGTAGTAAGTGACAATCATCCTCACTTTTTTCGCAACGTTTCACAAAACATCAAACACTTGCGCTCGTTGTGTCAAGTGTCAAGTGTCAAGTCCACTTACTTGTTTGTGTCAAGGCCACTTTGTGGGGCTATTAAGCACGACATCAGCCAGTTGATCGTTGTTGACATGTTGCTGGCTGCTCCGAGGTTTTAGGGACTGTCGTTGTCAGTTTCCCTTTACCGTAGCCAAACGATAAACATCGTGGGAAGGGATAACCGAGGCGACACGTTCTTACTTTGTCTTCCTAAAAGAAAACCGAGCACAAACTGGGATCAGAGAGCGAAGGAATTGAAAACACAACGACCAAGAGCTTCAAACATTTATTTGCGTTGCGGACTATGAAGATGGAATGATCGAATCAAGCAGAGATGAACAGCTAAAAGTACATAGTGCTAGAAACTTAGTTCGCTTATAGGAACGACCATACCACGATGACAGCACCGCTTCCCGTCTGCTCAGCGAAGTTAAGCATCGTCGGGCCAGGTTAGTACTACGGTGGGGGACCACGTTGGAATCCCTGGCGTTGTTCTTTTTTGATGGTTTTGGCATTGTGGAGAGTTGATTTATCCGTGTGGACTGTCGAAACTTCGTTGCTATGCCACCAACCTTCCTGTCTGAAGTAGAGGGCACCAAACTTCGATTGATTCGATTAGCTGCAGGCGCCGTTGTAACTCAAAAAATACCCAGCACGGAACCTGCCCAAGATTCCAAGGAGAAGGGAAGGGGGAGGAAGCTGGCGTCAGTTGCTTCCTCTAGAGATCAATACAATGCGTTGTTGCATGTTTCCTTAGAGCTAATAAGAGCAAGATGTCTAATGAGTAACTTGCCATCTGGTCACGATGGATGCTGGTATCCAAGTCTAGCTACTAGTACCAGCTAGTAGCTATTTTATTATTAGCTAGATTGACCTGGCTACCGGACCTACGGTATGCATAGTAACTAGCTAAAGTGGGTACTAGTACATCAAAGTCAATGACCCTTGCCTTATCGATGCATTATTATTGCTGTTCCAACTGTTCCGACGTTCCGAATGTCATCAGGCCCGAGGATCACTTCGAGGGCAGTCAACGCCACCGTCACACCCACCTCACCCGTTGAGCCCATTCACATATTTGTTCTCTCATCTATTGTATTTACTCGACACATCACCATGAAGTTCAATTGCTGTGGCGGTAGCGATTACTTTTTGTATTCGTCTCCCCGTCGAAGCTTGATAATCGATTTGGACGGCGCCATGATAATTCCTCAATACAAGTATGTCCCTCGAGCGGCTTGTCGCATGCTGTGTTGCGCATGGGAACGTCGTTGGGAGGAATTAGTCCGACGGTGTGAAGTCAAACCCGATGAAGCCTTTGCCAAGACGGAGCATTCGGGTCGAACTGCCTTGCATTTGGCCACCTTTAACGAAGGATGTCCTCTCGACGTGGCCGTGGCGCTACTCAAGGCCAATCGACATGCCATTTTGGTAGAAGACCGAAACAGTTATACGCCTCTGCATAATCTCGGATTGTTCCGTGGAGGCGATGAACTCATGTCGTTGTTTTGTGACACGGCCATCATGGTAGAACAAGAATTGCAGGGACGAGGCAAGCTACCCACGCCCTCCAGAACATCGCCCTTGTATTTGGCCGCCAAACGCGATGCCCCCACCACCACATTGCGATTACTCTTGCAAACACGACCTCGATCTCAATGGATTGCTCCCTTTACAGGCGGAGAATCCTACTGGGATCCTCAACAAACACTCGACAAATTCTCGTCTCCCTTGGAGATTCTCATGAGAGGACGATCCGCCTGTTTTGTGGGCTTGTCCACAGAAACCAAACAACAAATGAAAGACATGGTACAGAGAAACTTTTCATTGAATCAAGAGGATGATACTACCAATACTACATGTACTACTCCAACCAACAACGACAACAACAATCAATCGTTGATGACAGATACATGTTCTGAGATTTCGATAGACCAGCATGACCAAAATGCCATTACTATTTGGGAAAAGTGTTTCTTGTTGCTACAGGAAAATTTCAGAACCATTATTACTACAACAAACACCAAGTGTACCGAAATGGAAAAGGATGCATCAGAAGACACCACAAGAATACCCAAGCCAACAACTCCAAGTCTTGTTCATACAGTGGCCAGTCTAAAGGTGCCCATGCCAATCCTACTACAATTAGCCATGGAACTGTTTCCCGAGCAACTTTGGCTACGTGATGATACTGGTAATTACCCATTGGTTCATGTGCTAGAGAGCAATCATCCCTATGCCACAAAACAGTTGATACACATTCTCCTGGAATGCAAGAACAAAGCAGAAACAACCGAAAGCAAACATACTACCAATATAACGACAACCACGAGCCGAACGAGCAGCCATCCTCCACCAGTATTGTACATTCAAGAATGTCTACAATCCGCACTAGAAATTGGATTGACATGGGACGGTGGAATGAAGGATATTGTCATGGCCAACAGTGAGGTATTATCCCTACCGTATCCTCAAAGCAGACTCGTTCCGGCTTTTTTGGCAGCGGCACAGGATGCCGCACTGGACACAATCTACTTTTTGTTGCATGCCGAGCCTCAAGTGGTGGTGGTTTCACCATCATCATAGCCAAAGGTTATTGACAGGAAATGGAGCGGATGGGCTGAGCTAGCTAGCAAAGAACGTGGCTCGTGTGATTGAGGTATTGGTTACTGGAAGAATGGCACAACGACACAGCGAAAAGTGCCGTGTTGACGAAGGCCATCGTTTTGAGTGGAGCACATCCTTTGGTTTCGTCCTTAGTTGACGTACCGGTGGTATGGTCAGCGATGCAAATGAATGATGGTCTGCGGTTGAGAGGTATTAGACGTGCTACACAGTAATAGAAATATATCCTAACTGAAATATCCTGCCTGTTGTTCCCGCTTCGGTTGTTGTTCTTGGTTTGGTTGTTCTTTAGTAGGCTTGAGGGTTTGTGCGCTGGATGTCATCAATACCAGCCTTGCCGCCTTGGATCCAAAAGATCTTGGATCTTTCGTCGAAGTCCACGTCTAATTTTCCAAGACCTCCGTCGCTGCCATTATAATATTCCAAGTCCGCCCTTTTGACGATGTTGTCTACCCTCTTCAAGAGCAACCGTCTCCTTGCCCTTCATTGCTTTCTTCTTGCATCTCGTTGGAATTCCCTACCGGTTGTTACTGCGTTTAAACGGCCCCTATCCACGGGCAACAGCAGGACCCTTTCCACCAACACCAAAATGTCTGCCGCCAATGTCAAGAGTGCCTTGGAAACTGGTCTGTACATTCGGACTCCCTTGATAAAGTCGGCTCCCCTCTCCAAATTGACTGGCAAGGATGTCTACATCAAGCTGGATTGTCTGCAACCTTCAGGTAGTTTCAAAGACCGAGGAATGGCCAATCTGTGCCAAACCCTCCAGTCCACCAAGGGCACGCAAAAATTGATTGCGTCGTCGGGAGGCAATGCTGGATTGGCCGTTGCCACTGTGGCCCCCAAAAAGGGAATGACTGTCAGTGTTGTGGTACCGGAATCGACCAAGCCCAATGTCATTGAAAGACTCAAGGCATTGGGTGCCGAAGTGACGGTGCATGGGAAGATTTGGAATGAGGTAAGGGTGGTTGGATACGATATCATATAGATATGCTAGCAAGCAAACAACAAGCAATCTCATCTCTTATCCTTGTCTCTGATGTGCGTTAGGCCGATTTATTGGCACGACAACGCGTTGATGAAGATCCTCAAGCCGAATACGTTAGCCCCTACGACAATCAACTCCTTTGGACTGGCCACTCGACTTTGGTAGATGAAGTCATGGAAGATTTGCCCCAAGTAGGAGCCGTCATTGTGGGAGTTGGCGGCGGGGGATTAATGTGTGGCGTCTTGGAAGGTCTTGAGCGACATGGACAAACCTCTTCCAAAGTCATTGCCTGCGAGACAGAAGGAGCCGCCAGTTTTTGCAAGTCTTGGTTAAAGTCGCCACCCGCACTGATTCGGTTGGATACCATTAGTTCCATTGCAACATCGCTTGGGGCCCTGGAAGTTACACAGGTGGCCATTGATCGATCTCTCAAACATCAGGAAAATGGTGGCACGGTACAAGCAGCAATCTGCACCGATAAGGAAGCCGTAGAGGCTTGTCTGCAGTTCTCCTCCGATCATAGAATCATGGTGGAACCAGCCTGTGGGGCAGGTCTCGCGGCTCTGTACTCGGAACGTCTCCGAAAGCAGACTCTGGAAGGAGTGGAAGGGCCGATTGTGGTGGAGATTTGTGGAGGAAGTGGTGTGAATCTCTCATTGCTCAACATGTGGAAGAAAGATCTTGGAATAGAATAGCTTGCTTTAGCAGTATACTATTATAATCAGAATACCACCGTGCATCTTTTGAGAGAACAAATTCTTGGTTTATGCCGTACCTTTTAAAATCTATCATTACTACTGTACCTACTAGCTAGCACATACATTTCATTAGAACTCTGCGGCTGTTGAAGGAAAGCTGTCCGTTGACGCCGAGTGGAGACTGCCAGTGGACGCATTGTCATTCGAGTTTGTACCACAGAGGAATTCTTGTTTGGGTAATACTTCTATTTCACACGCGGCGTCGATGTGTTCACACGCCGTCTCTTGGACTCGAATGACACCATCTCCATCGGGAGTCTCAAAGTCGATGGGAGGGGCATTGAGCCGTGCCAATTCTTGTTGCTGTTGTTGCCAGACGAATGCTTGGAGGTCAAGCAGTCTCGCTCGATCAGAACCTAACCCACCCAAGTTACTAGCCTTGGTCGTATCGACCGAGCTGCACCTCATCAGGTCGGCTGGGTGATAGAGCCTTCCGACACTGCTAGTGTTGGAACCAAGCATGCTACTCCCTTCGTCGCTGCTTCGATGATTGTAGGGATACCGATGATCATAGTAGTGGTGGATCGACGATGTCGATGATGGTGGGGATTCGCCCGACCACGACTGATGGTAATTGGGTGGCTCGTTGGAGCGTGCTTCTTGAATGGGCCAGACATGGCTCCGTTGTTGTTCATTGGAGAATGTTGACAACATGCTGGTGGGACTTGTTGCTCGGCCGGATTGCGATACGGATTCGCTAGACCACTGTTGCAGTGGTTGATCTCCTCGTTCCACCCTGGAGTAGGGCGACGATAGGAACCGATCCACAGTGCATCGCGAATCCTGAGAAGAGGCAACGCTACAGCGGCTCTCTGTGTCTGTTTCATCGGACAGAACACCCGAAAACACATCGTCCTGAGACGCGTCGCTTTGGGTTTCTCCAGATTCTTCCAGTGCAGGGTCGGACGAATTTGTCTTTTTAATCTTCATCTTTTCCGCTAGCATCGGTAGCAACGCGCCTGCTCCATGAGATATACCATGTTGCTTGCCAAGAACAAGTTCAGATTCCGCCCTTTTCCTCAACGAGATATCCAGAGAAGCAAGAATGTCAACGACGTCAGAAGCAGCATCTTCCTCATTGCTACATGTAGCATTCCACATCTCGGTCCGACTACTGGTGGAGGAGGGGGTGACCACAGTCGCTTTGGGACATTCCTCCTCGTCCTCATCCTCAGGGACTCGTGTTTCCTCCATGTCGTAGTCCCTTTGTTGTTTCCGAAAGGTTGAAAACCGAGTACGCCTTAGGAGCTTCATTACTGGGTTCTTTCCTTCCTTCTTGGCAGTGATGGTAGTGGCTGCAGATGATGGTCCCACACTGCTCGCGGTGGAAGCTGTAGCCATGGTTTCAGCTGTCCTTGACCGGGGAAGGAAAATGGGCGGCACGGAGCGAGCCCCCAAAACAGAAGACACAACAGAAGAGGAGGCCGAAGCAAAACTGAATGTGCTTGCACTACTTCGAATCTGGTTATCGTCTGACCGAATGCGTCGGTTCAAGAGTAACCTTTGTCTGAGAGATGAGGATTTCTTTTCTGGAAGTTTGGAGGAGGAAGCATGTTCGGTTTCCAGATATTTACTGGGAGAACTTCTTTGGGGATTGTCCTCTGGCATCATGCCAGGGAATTCTGGGTCTTTTGATATGGAAAGTGTCATTTCATTGCTCGGCTCGGGAAAGGCAGGTTCACCCAATTCTAATTCCAATTCTGCCTCAAAGGGAGACGTCCTGGGAATAGGATCGTCATCGTCACGAGAACTATAGAAGGATGCCATTTCTCGGAGGGATGGAGTTGTCGAGGTGGGTCTAGGGACGTATTGGGGATCATCAACTGTCCCCCCAACAGTGTGATCATCTTCCTCATCAAAGAGTGATCCATAGGAGGAGCTGCTTTCTTCACTTGGAAGAATTGGTAGCAGTGCCAGACTGTTGGAATTTGTTCGATGATGACTATTTCCGTCATGGCTTTTCTCCTGACTTTCCATCGATTCTGCAGGGTGGGGTTGGTGAAACGAGAATATGTCGTCTTCGATGGCTCCTATACCCTGTTGTGTGGACCGCCACATGTACCGACGGGAGCCACCATTGGTGCCTTGTTCTGGCCGATGCAGTTCTAGTCGTGTTCTAGCGCCCGCGACTGCAGCAGCAGGTGATGCAAAGTCATCATGGTCCAACAAAGCCAGCCCATTGTGCTGAAATTCCTTTGGTTCTTTCTGCAGATCATCTCCACAGAGCAGAAAGGTAGAAAAGACCGAGGAGGCGACGGTATCATCGTCAGAATTTTTCTTGTTGTGACGACCCACAATGGCATCCTCATCGCAAATAGAAAAGGAGTCTTCCGTACAAGTGATATCCAGCAAGTCGCCACTCTTGGAGGAGGGAGGAGATGGAGCTCCAAGGTCACAGCAACTCGAACGGTCGGATGTTGCTGATCTCGAGGAAGCAGCAGCCGTCGCCAGCATTATCTTCTCTTCCCTTCATCTACTATTAATATTAGCATGCGATACAGTACAGTAAGGTACGTAACGAATCGAATCAAACAGAGATACCCCTTGCCGATTTTGTCTTGCTATTGAGCTCTATGCATACTGGTAATAGCTGCCGGGAGAAGCTGAAATCGTATGGCGCCAGAACTGGCCGCCACAAACAAGACACACAGTTTCAAAATTGTGAGGAATCCAAAACCAGTTCAAAAAGAGAAGCGTTATTGGGTACACCATTTCAAATCATGTTCATTTTCCTCAAGTGTGCTTTGAAACAATACACGCTATTTTGGGCCACTCCAGGTGCGCGATCCCTTGCTTCGAAATCCCGCGTGGTGTAGATTATCCCGCCCTGCTTGTGCTCATTCTGCTGCCTCCCTTCCCCTTGGCATCGGAAGACGCGTCAAAAGGTCCTCGTTCCATGCATGGTGTTCCATCTGTCCCGATTTAAAGATCCGAGATGACGAGGAGCAGCTACCAAGAATAACCAAAACGCATTGCACCAAGCATAGCAGTGAGTTGAATGCAAGGCTACCGGTACATCGAGTTTCTCTCTACATTGTAGCTGGCCAGCGAGGTAGATACCGTAGTTATTAGAGCCTGAGGCTGGCTATAGTTTTGGTCTTGGTTTTGCTTGGATCAAACCGGGTTCTGGTACCACCTCTGCCGCTGTCACCAGTACTATCCGGGTGTGAACTCCGTTGGAACTGTCCTTTTGCGATTTTTGCAAAGATAAGAGATTCGTGCCAGAAGCGCACTATGTATGTGCCAAGTTGTCAAATTCTTGGATCTGGAGACACTACTGGTACTCCCGCCACAGTTGCAAGTACCGGCTGGTAGTACGAGGAGGCTAAAGAGTCTAGAGTCACAGTCACAGAACTACATGTAATTGGATGGATTGCTTGCTTCCATTCTTGATTGACTCAGCCAAGCAGAGTGCTATTATTTGCAGCCACTTTCATACATGCTTTAGCAGAACAAGGGACGCCAATCTGATGAAGAAGATTGAGGAAAGGGCGGGTTGTTGCGGCGTCTTTCGCTCCTCCCAGTCCCCACAGCCAAAAACCAAGAGGGCTCAGTCTCGGTAATGCAATCTGTACCGTAGTTCATAGCTAGCCCATTGCCTTCAGAAGCAAACAGTCTCTACAGTATTGCTTATTGGCATGCGATGCTGCTCTACGTCTTTTTATATATTATGTCAGTCTATCCTCGTGCAAAGAGACATCATGGATTGAATCGAATCGAATGATTCATGTGAATTTCCTCGTTCCCTTAACTCATACGGGGGACAAACGATGGGATACCGGTAATGGCACGGCCCAAGATGAGGGCATGAATGTCGTGTGTGCCTTCGTAAGTGTTGACTGCTTCTAGGTTCATGACATGCCGAATCACATGGTACTCGTCAGAGATGCCGTTGCCACCAAGCATATCACGTGCTGTTCGTGCCATATCTAGGGCCTTGCCACAACTATTGCGCTTGATCATGGACACCATGTCTGGCTTGGCATTCCCAGCTTCCATCAAACGACCCACCTGGAGACACGCTTGTCGACCCAAAGCAATCTCAGTTGACATGTCTGCCAGTTTCTTTTGGATCAACTGATTCGCCGCCAGAGGAGACCCAAATTGCTTCCGCTCCAAGCAATAGTCACGAGCTGTGTGCATACAGAATTCAGCTGCACCCAGGGCTCCCCATGCGATGCCATACCTGGCATTGTTTAAGCATCCAAATGGTCCTCCAAGTCCTTCCACGAGAGGGAATTCATTTTCCTTGGGAATTCTAACATCTTCCATGAAGATCATGCCTGTAGCAGATGCTCGTAGACTGAATTTGCCTTCAATCTTGGGAGCTTCCAGCCCAGGTGTTCCTTTCTCCACCACGTATCCTCTAATCTTGCCTTGTTCATTCCTGGCCCAGACCACAAAAACGTCTGCGATGGGTGAGTTGGTGATCCAATTCTTGCTACCATTCAGAACAAATTCATTGGTGCCGGCATCAAACCTGGATCTGGTTTCCATGGAGGATGGATCCGACCCATGGTTGGGTTCTGTCAACCCAAAGCACCTGCGGTAAAACAACAACATAAAGACGAATATAAGTAAGGAGAAAGTGATAGCGAATAGTAAAATGGCTCTGATCATGGTATCCTCATGTTTCTCGTATCCAATGCTTACCCAATCATGTCCCCGGAAGCTAGCTCTGGCAAATACTTTCTCTTCATGTCTTCTGAGCCATAGGCAAAAATGGGGTACATTACAAGGGAGGATTGAACCGACATGGCACTGCGATAGGCAGAATCAACTCGTTCCACTTCAGTTGCTAAGAGCCCATAACTGACATATCCAAGTCCAGCTCCACCGTACTGAGGGGGAATCGTAGGTCCCAACATTCCCACCTCTCCCATTTTCTTCATCATGGGTTTATCACATGGAATTTCATGTCGATTGGCTTCGGTAATGCCTGGCATGAGTTCTCCGTCACAAAAGGCTCTGGCTGCATCCCAAACAGCCACTTCTTCGTCGTTTAGCTGATTGCGCAGACGAAACGGATCTTCCCATTGATAGCTGGACCCGCCAAATGCATCTTTCGGCTTGGCGTCATCGTCGTCACTGAGGTCATGATCATCCTTGACGCTGGAAGAAAAGGACAAACAAGGCTGCTGCTGCTTCAATCGAAGCCAAGAGGAGCGTTGCGTTCGCAGCTGCTTGGCCGATAGCGATGCAAGCCGATTAACAAACATGGTGAAAGAGCCGGTAGCAATCAAAGAATTCTTGGGGAGAAAATGGAAGTCTAGTCGTTCCGAAGGATTAAAATTATTCAGCTTCCTGGCACCTTTTGCTTGGTAAAGTAGGACTAATATGTTTCGAGAGAGTGTCAACTTTCTCGTCAATCAAGATCGATCAAGGGTAACTTGTGATGCCTTCCAAAGCGATCCCACAACACTCCAACTACCAGCTAGCTGTCATAGCAAGCGCCACTGTTCTTTACAATGAAAATGACACGATCTTCTTGCTTCTGTCTTCTTGACGCAGGTGCCACCAGAGGTTAGCTCTAGCCTTACGAGTCGTGGGATGGTCGAAGACTGGCCAGCTCTTGAATCCAGGCTCACTTTTTGGACCAGAAGAGGTCGTGACCTTTCCAAGAAGCAACGCATCATTCTCATTTTTCAATCAACATCAGTCTCCAACGTCGAAGCGGGCAGACAAACAAACTTTGCAACGATGAACGCAGCTATGAAGGAGCGCTTGTAGAGAACTTTTCTTGTTATGGTCATGCAAATTACGTTTCGGCTCGTCATATTGTGGTTTGCCCTTCAGAACGACCCATCAACTCAAGGTAAGGAGCCCAACAGAGCTTTTTTGTATTGACAACTTGACTGTCACTGGTCACTCTTCTCTCATCTCCAAATCACTCATGTGCGTCGCCCTTTACCCATTGAACTCTTGCTCTTTCTTCTTCTAGATGGAAGCTTCTTTGTTTTCTGGACCCTCGTTGCTCTTTTTGCGGTTACTACCTTTTTGATGAAGTTACATGGACACACAGCAACGGATGGTGCAGGTGACACCTTTCACAGGCTTCATCGTCGTGACAATGGATGGTACAAAGCACTCCTCCTTTTGTTTGCTGTGACGATGACCCGTCAGATCGCCGTCATCTGGTCTCTGAGTTTCCAGATTATCACAGGTAGGGGACACGAAGGAAGTGATCTGCCTGTTTCACCAAGACAAGCTCACACAGCTCGCGATTTTGATACAAACAGAGGGACTCTACACCTTTTTCTCAGTCTACTTGTTGGTCATATCGGTCTCGATTTCTTCGATGAGTTGGTCTCTGGTTGTCACTGTCATCGTGCGGTCCAATGGTACTGATGCACGTGTGGTTGCGGAGAACCAGGGCCATCAGGGCGGTCGTGCATTCAATCCTAAAAAATTCCAAGCTTTCATCGAACAAGTGCAAGGCGCTATTATTTAATAGCTAGTCAAATTGTTGACGCACGGCGTTACCTGAGAAGAAATAAGAAGACTGGTCAGAGCAACAAATCGAGTCCGATTTTCTGAATGAAGAATACAGTGTACAGTAGTTGTTTTACCAAACTATGCTAAGAAAGTAGCCTCGACTCCATGGTAGCACTACGTACATGTATGTAAACTTTCGTCAGAAGTTTTCTTCCTTGACACTCGTTTCTTCTATTTTAATACTCTAGAGTAAGCGTCGGTTGCTTCGGTTTTCGCCTTGCTCGGACCTCATTTCATCGCATCGCGATACCCCGGAAGCGCCGAGACACGAGTTGTTTTGAATCTTGGATCAAGACCGTTTCTTTTGGCAATTTGCGCTCGAACGATGATCATTCAGAAGTCTCTCTGCAACCTGGTCCCAATTTGTCTCATTTTCCCACGAGACTCGAACGTTGTTGCAATAACAATAGAAGATGTTGACTGCAGATGCCTGGCTTGGTCTTAGCTACATTTTGGGTCCCGTGCTTGGTTGGCTATGCCTTGCAGTATGCCAAGGTGCTGTGGACTGTTGCCAGCGCTGCACTGGGCCGAGCCACGGCGGCGTTGAAGTCGCAAATGCCCGTGCGCATGATATCGATGAAGAGAATGGGGAAGAACCCATCGACAATCACGAAGACGGCCAAGTCCCACAAGTGCAAATAATTGACGGAAACGAGACAAACCGCGCGCCGAATGAGTTGTTCGATGCGGTGAACATACTTATGCCGACCAAACCAGAGACTGACCCATGGTCTCTCAGCGACTCTGACGACGACACTGTAAGTGCGTAAGAGAAATATGTTTTGATGTCCGACGGTGAATGGCGGACGCACGAGACACAAGTATAGTACAGGCACATGTCCAGTCCACAGCAAAAACAACCGACGCCTCGAAAACGCACCCGAATGTTGTAGTCGAGCCATGAGATCGTCCGAGTACATCCTGACGAAACTGTCGAGTACAAAGCCAAGTAAATTCAGAATACTGACTAACTATAGAACAAATATTATAACGGAACCTTGCTTCCCTCAAATCTACACGCTGCGACGTAGGCTGCATAGATCCCTTTCCGCGGTTGCTTTGGCACAGGAATTCTATCAGAGATCAACCACGGACGAAGGCGAGAACTGTGCTCTGCTCCTCGATTTCGACGACGACGGAAATCTCGATTTCGATGGAAACGGCGACTGTCTTCCTTGGACGCCCCAGTTTGTAAAGTTGTTGTCGAAAGAAAGGGGTGAAAAATGCTCCCAATGCTCTTCTGCTGCCTCGGCTGCTTCGGAAAAGTCCCAAGGATCTTTTTGGCTATGCATTTCACTCTTGACTGGGAATGATGGAGGAGCGGGCAATATCGAATCGAGAAAAGTAGCTTTCAAGTCCAGTTGCGGCGGCGAGTTGACAGCTGGTGTCGGCGTGGGACGCGTTTCTTTTTGCTTGGGCGCCGAGGCAGTTTTCCCTGTCAAAGAATGGATGACAAAATTTCGAAAGGTAGAGCTTTCGAATGTCTCCCATTGTGAAGAAGTGGCTGACCCTGGGACGCTTTGGTTGTCATCCTGCTGCGTGCAGATTTTGGTTGCTGAAGTCTTCACAGACGACTTGGGCGCCTGGTTCGACTTCTTGGCCTTGGAATGGGACATTGCCGTACGAATTGCGGTCGGCCTAGCGTGCACAGCTTCGGGGCGACTCGAAACACGAGAGGCAGCTGAAGACCGCGACATGGGTGAAGACTCATGCATGGATTCAGTTTTTGACAGATCAGTACTACTTCGGATTGAGCGGTTCGAGGAGAGCGGAGTTTTGGAACGCTGATTACCAAACTTGCGCCCCTCGGTTGGATGAAACTCTTCATCTTCATCGTAAGGGTTTTGAGTGTGTGCTTTGGGGGGCGGACATGGTGCGTTCTTTGACGGAGACGGCTTCAGTGTAGCTTGAGCCTTGTCTGGGCTTCGCTCCTTATTGAACACTGACACTTGCGAAGAAACCCGTGCGTTGCCCACCTTATCCTGTGTGGGTGGGTCAATGGCGCGCTGCTTCTCCTCTGTGATTGGGTCAATGGCGCGCTGCTTCTCCTCTGTGATCGATGTCTTGGTAAAGAACTCGATTTTCTTGGCAACGTTTCTCTTTGGGTTACCCGGTGATAGATGGGACTTGCTACTTTGGAATGAGACATTTGGTGAGTGTTTGGCTGACTTCTGGGCTGGCGCGAGACTACCCGACTGTCTTCTTCTCAATCTATCTTCCAAAGCATCTGTTCTTGAGATTCTATTGGAAGAGGGACATGGTTGGACTTCGCTAGACTTCTTGTTTTCAACGCTCCCCAGTTCACTTGATTCCTTGGCTGGTTGAACCTCGCTGGATGTCTTGCTGTCGACACTCCCCGGTCCACTTGATTCCATAGCTGCTTTGGGTGTGGGTTCATGACTACCCAAGCTATCGCTTTCCGCTTTGAGCAAGCGTGGTAAAGGGGAGTGCTGGCCCACGCAAGGAGAAGTTGATCGCTCGCGCCCTGGTGTACTGGTGTCCGCCTGAATGGGCGCCACGATAGCGGCAGAAGTGGCCGGCATCTGCATCGCATAACGCAAAGTGTCTTTGTCTTGTGTTACTCCTTCAGGTTGCAGCGACGGACTTGGAGCTTTCTGGAGCGCAAAATCCTGTTCAGTCACCTCCACTTGGCTCCCTTCCACTGTGTCATCGTCCTCGTCTGGGATATTCTTTGCCTTGACGGACATTGTGCGTTTGGTTTCTGAGATAGGGTGGAGTCCAGCCTCTCGCTCGTTGACCTTGTCTAGCAACATGCTATAGAGATTTGGATGCGTCTTGCTGTATTTGGCCAGTTTGGCCCGAAGGGGCTTTGTCATCTTCTTGGGGCCATCGATGAAGCTTTCCATTGTGCTGGCTAAGCTGTCCTTGGCCGAGTTCAACCACTTGAATTCGTCGGCTGACGCAGCCGAGGCTGCCGGGCGAGGTGCTGATTTCTGCGGCGTGAAGGGCGAGCCGTCGAACGTTTCCCACTCTGAAGCAACCGACTTCGGTGCGGAGTTGTTTATCTCAATCTTCACTGACACACAACGTTCTTGGGTCGTCGACTTTGTGTGCCCTGTGTTCAAATCTTCCGCATCGTTGACAGCCTGGGGAGAAGGCGTGCCCACCAGCTGGACACCAGGAGTTGTCGTTGGCCCCGGTTCTTTTGCGGTTTCCCTCAGAATCAAGTCATCTCGGCGGAAGTCAAATTTTCGACCACTCTTCTCTGCGGCTGCCATTTTTGCTAGGAAAACCTTGTAGACTTCTGGTTGAGTCTTTTTGATGTGTTCGAGTTTCGCAGCGATTCGATCATGTACCTTGGATTTCTCCTGGAAGCACTTCCCTGTGGCGCTTTCGAGGTCATCGACAGTGTACTCCAAGCGGTCCCACGCAGCTTCAGTAGAATCTGTGCTAGAATTGAGCATCACTGGGTGAGCCCGCAATATCACAGGTCGTTTGGTTTCTTGCTGCTTGGTGCCCTCCGAAATAGCAGCAGCGGCCATCTTGGCTAGCTCTTGGAAGTCTTCTAGGGTCAAGACACCGCACTCCTGCGATTCCGTTGATGGACTAGTTGATGGCAAGTCGTCCTCTGCTTGACTGCCCTTAGAAATTGACGGTGCTTTCGCCTGAGACGGTGCCTCGTCTTCCCCTACCATGGGCTCCTCCTTTTCCAGCTCATCAACAAAATCGCTCAGAGCTTCTTGGTCTTGGCTACGAGGCTTTGCTTTGTTGACAACAAAATCCTCTTTCGTTTTTATAACTTTCCCGGCGACATTCCTTGTGCTGCTAGGCGTTTCTTGGTCTTCCTTGTGTGGCTTATCGGAGGAATTCCTTGAGCTGGTGGAGGCATTTTCTTGGCCTTTGTTGTGAGGCCTTGCAGTTACTTTCTTGGTCTGGCCCGACAAGGTGAAATCTGCGGCTACCTTCACCAACTCTTCCAGTTTGGGCGCCGAGGGTATAGCGATGTCTTCGCACCATTTCGACAAGGTTTCCAACGTTTCGGTCTGAGTATCTGGGTCGACGAAAAAGGCTGTAAAATAGTTCAGGGACTTCGTATCGTCCTCGTCATCGGTATAGTCTGAATCGTAGTAGGATGAGTCACTATCGCTTTCTTCTGCGTAGCGGTTCGCTTTTGGTCGCCGTCGACGTGAAAACTCCGTGATAGAAGTGTCTCCATCGTCGACAGTTTCCGCCCTCGCCTCCAGAGTAATAAACGATGATTCAACAGATGAGCACATTGTGTTTGGGTCAAGTTCCCTTGGGATCTCGTCGTAAAGATGACTCGGATCCTCCTCGCCTTCGCCATAGTCCATCATTCTTCGTTTCAAATAAGCTGCGAACCTCGAGCGCTTTTCCTTTTCGGAACGTGCTGTTTGACGCGGCTCCCCATCGCGTTCAGGCGATAGAAAGCGATCGGGCCTTTCATAGTGGGGTCCCTTGTGCATTGCAGCAAAGCTTACTCTTGGCCTGGGACGATCATACTGTCTTGAACTCGAATGCTTCTTGAGGCCACCTGTAGTACTCGAATCGAGCTCTTGAATCTGTGATCCATCTGCGTCAGACTGCGGGTATTCTCCATAGTGCTGCTTCCGAGAGAGGCGCATTCGTGCCACGGGAGTGTTGGCATCATCATCGACATTGTAGCGGCCACTTTGAAGCATTTCAGCTCTTGAGTAGTCTCGTTCAGATCGCGTTGAACAGTTCCTAGACTTCTTGGACAGCCGGGATATAAGAGGGTCATCCAGATCTGGTTGCTTTCGATTGGCTCCAAAGAGGTTTGTCGAAGATCGATAGTCTCCAGTTGTCAAGGTTGGATCGAACAGCGTCGCCTTTCGAGGAACTTCAGCACTGGACTCCGCAGTTGATTGTGACTCATCTGCGTAGGGCTCCCTCGGAGACGAGGGCGCACGGATCAATTCGATGCACTCCCAGCTTTGTTCAGCCGAGATGAAACTAGGAAGGGAAGCACCACTTACATCATGACCCCTTTCCGTACGGGTTTCATCCATGTCATCATCGCCATCGTCACTGCTTTCATCATACGTGCTATCAACCAGCTCCTCTGATTCCTCCAGTGGCAAGCTAGCAGAGCGGTTCTTCGACGGTTCCCCTTCGTTGGTTTTGAGAAGTAGCAGCGAATGATCTGTCGTGACCTTGCTCTCGTCACGCAGAACTTCCCCAGGTGCATCGTCCCCATTATCATGGAGAAGCACTTCTTGGCTCTCAGGCTGCTCCGGCATTACGCTCGTGGTGAAAGAAGGTAGTTCTTCAGTGCCACATGATTCCGAGTACTGCATGGAAGTGTCAATTGCTGAGATGTTCAACGTTCGGTGGAGAAAATCGGAGTCGCCTTCGGGTTCATGCTGCTGCTTGAAAGAATCACTTGACGTGGACAACGCATCCGAGGAACGAGAACGGAACAGCTCCACTGGTGCCATGATACCGTGGGTGGCCGGAGGTCCTGCATCATCACGATCGTCCGGTTGAAGGTTGTCCAGGTCAATTTTTGGTAGCAAGTTTGATGAACCATAGATGTCTGGCCCATTACTTATGTCAGCCGAATCATCTTTCAAAACAGGAAAATCATGTGCTGTAGCCACTGAATCCTCCACTGCTACTGATACATTGGCTTCTACTGGTTCTGACTCATTGGCGTCTTCGGTAACAACCGGGGTGGTGGTATCCTCGCTAGCTTCTTTGATTTCAGTACAAGGTGAATACCCTGCGCGGAGATCAACCTTGCCGCTGGGATTCGCTGAGCATGCCATCGTCATTACCTCAGCGCCATCATCGTTTTCCCTTAGTTTACAAGATGGCGGTAAGGGCGCGGCCATCACTGCGCAGTCTTGATCAATAGCATCCTCTCGAGAGGTAGCTGCAGCACCTTCGTCGACGTTTCCACTTGGCTCGTCCTTCAAGGTTTCCTCGTCGGTAGAGGACTCTATGTTTTCACTTGATTGGTCCCCTGTGGCAATCTCGCCGCCAGTGGTCGCTGTGGGTCTATTGGACGAATTGTCCAACGGAAGTTTTGCTTCAGAGGGTTCCTGCACCGGGATATCAGCATGAAAGGGCCCTGTGGTTTCACTAGCCGTAAGTTGCTTACTTGGTGGATCCTTCAGAAGACTTCCAGTAGAAGCTGTTTCTGAGGGGTGTTCAAATAGTTGCTCGTTAAGTTGGACGTCGCCATCAGACACTTCCTTGGGTTGTTCGGCTGGTGGATCATTAACTTGGCCAGCACTGTCTGAGCTTTCTGTAAGTTGCTCACTTGGTGGATCCTTCAGAAGACTTTCAGTAGAAGCTGTTTCTGAGGGATGTTCAAATAGTTGCTCCTTAAGTTGGATGTCGCCATCAGACACTTCCTTGGGTTGTTCGGCTGGTGGATCATTAACTTGGCCCGCACTGTCTGAGCTTTCTGTAAGTTGCTCGCTTGATGGATCCATCAGAAGGCTTTCCGTAGAAGCTGTTCCTGAGGGATGCTCAAATGGTTGCTCATTAAGTTGGATGTCACCATCAGACACTTCCTTGGGTTGTTCAGCTGGTGGATCCTTAACTTGGCCGGCACTGTCTGAGCTTTCTGTGAGTTGCTCACTTGATGGATCCTTCAGAAGGCTTTCCATAGAAGCTGTTCCTGAGGGATGTTCAAATGGTTGCTCATTAAGTTGGATGTCGCCATCAGACACTTCCTTGGGTTGTTCAGTTGGTGGATCCTTAACTTGGTCCGCACAGTCTGAGCTTTCTGTTGGTTGGTTAACTGTTTGCTCATCAAGTTGGCTTGCACTGTCTGAGGCTTCTGTTGGTTGGTTAACTGGTTGCTCCTCAAGTTGGCTCTTGCTTTCAGAGGCTTCTGTGGGTGGTTTGACCGGATGCTCCTCAAGTTGGCTCTCACTTTCAGATGCTTCTGTGGTTTCGTTAACTGGTTGCTCCTCAAGTTGGCTCTCACTTTCAGATGCTTCTGTGGTTTCGTTCACTGGTTGCTCGTCAAGTTGGCTCTCACTTTCAGAGGCTTCAACTGGTTGCTCCTCAAGTTGGCTCTCTCCATCGGAGTTTTCTGTGGGTTGTTCGCTTTTCTGCTCCCTAAGTTGGCCCTCATTATCGGAGGCTTCATTGGGATGTTCGCTTGGTAGCTCCGTGAGTTGGCTCTCGCAATCAGAGGGATGTTCGCTTTGTTGATCCTTAAGTTGGATCTTGCAATCAGCGGCGTCTGTGGGGTCTGGTTCATCTTTCATCAGGCTGTCGCGATCAGTGGACACGGCCGGTTCACGCTGCTTGTTGGGTTGCTCCTTGGTTGCATCGGAAACTGTTTCCACTAACTCGGCGGTTTCGTCTGCATCTTCTAATGGGTCAGGATCCAACGACTCGATATTCTTGTCCACCGGGTTTAACGAGTCAGGTGGAAGTGGTGCGTCTTCTGGATCCTCGCTTTCCATCCTTTCAGGTGGATCCTGTGGATCTCCCGTGTGGCGTTCATCAGGAGTTGCAATGGGGTCTTCGTGTCCTTCCTTCTGGTCAACTGGAGGAGATTCAGCATCATGATCAGACTCTTCATTATCCTCCTCGTTTCCAAGATTCCCCAGCAATTGCGAAGGATTAACTTGTTCACAATTTTCTGCATCGGTGCTGTCCAGGGTATCGTCTTGTGTCTGCAGTACATTTTCAGGAGTTTGTTTGAGTTCAGCAATATAGTTTGGTAAAGAAGTTGTTGAGGCAAAAACATCAATTTCCGAGCAGGACCCAACACTACAGGTACCGCCAACGCTCTTTTCATCGTCTGGACTTGAGGTGGTAGACTTAAACGATGCCGAGCTCAAAGAGCCTGCAATGCTTTCAGAGTCATCTTTGTCGGGTACAAGTTCGTCTTCTTTCTCGTCTTCTTTCTCATCTTCTTTCGTGCCTTCTGAAACTTCCTGGTTGGAAAAGATGCTTGGCTCTAGAGGTGGATCGCATTGGGATGACAGATCATCCAAGCAAATGCCTGTGTCATCCTTCGCATCATCCTCTACAACTAGTGTTTGATCAGGGGAAGGTGTCGAAAAGATTGACTGGTCAACCTGCTTGATGCCGTCTGGCTCTGCCATTTCGCCATCGACTGCGACAGAGAATTTTTTCTTGGAGGATTGGAGCTGGAGGTAATAGTATTATTTGACTTGGAGGTCGTGTTCCAGAAAGCTACCACTACTACTAGCTAGCTAGGATTGCATGGATGGAGAGCGCCTGTGGTGTTGTGGAGTTTGCAAATGGCGGCAATTTTCTTCGTGAGGGAAGAAATTCTGGGCCATTCGAAATTGAAATGCTGGCATGCGAAACGGCTTTGGCTTTTCAGGTAAAGCAACGGTTTTGTGCTATTGGACGCACAGCTCCCCTGCAGGCCGGAGCAATATTATGAGGACAAGAGGGGGGGTTGTGACGGTACATGTAGGAGTCATGTAGGTGGATTATCTACCGAAGGCAATAAGCGGTTGGAGCTCTGCTGCTGGCAAAAAGAGGCAAAGAGTAGGTCGTACTAGCTAGCTAGAAGTAGGGGGTTTGAGCGTACTGTACTGTAGGGAAGATATCCACGGAAGCCGGCTTGGGGCAAGTTTGTTTGTGTTGACATGTAAGCCGAGAAGTAGCTCTGCAGCCAGAAGCCTTGGATGCCGATCAGCTAAGTACCAGTAATGTAGATCAGCTTAGAACAAGGGTTGGTATGGTACGCACTTCATCATAGACTTGCAAGCAGGGGCTTCAGAGGGCTGCTCGGGATCTGTGCTTCTCGGATGGGATGGGATATCTGAACCCCTGAAACGCTGCTTTTCAGTCTTCATAAAAATATATTTACTAGTACTGTACTTATAGAAGTGTATAGCTTTCCTTTTCAAGCATCACTTACTTTTGATAACGTCGAGCAAGAGACAGAGCGAAGACGGCGTCAAGGATGCAATAGGCAACGTTTCTTGCCACGGTTTTTAAATGATGCCGTGCGGGTTGGTGCTGATAGGACAGAGAATCAGTAAGTTCACTAAGCAATTCCTTCAAGCAGAAGCTTCTCAAGCTCCGAATCCAGCAGCTGGGCCAATTCTTCGCTTGTCAACTTTTCCAGTTCCTGTTCAAACAAAAGAGCTTCCAGTGACGCAGCCGACTGATCACTGTCATTCACCGAACACAAAAAGTCTTCAAGGGAGGAAACACTGGGAATGCTCTCATTATGAGAGGCAATGGAAGGATCACGCTCATGTCCAGACATGACAGAGAATTGGTTGGAGACGGAAGGAATGAAGAGGGATGGGGCTTCCAAGAAGGAAGCACTGAACATGGGAGCTCGACTGTCTTGAGCCGACATGGGGGTATTGGGAGCATTATGGGATGATCGAGAACGAATGCGTTCTTGGAGACAAAAAAGTCCCTCTTCCACGTCGAGGCTCGCATTTTCGTCGCTAACTTTAACCAAGCGATCGATCAACTCTTCGTCATTGCGAAAGTTCTGTTGAGGGCAGTCCTGGCTGTCCTTTTCATCGACTCGGTCATCGTTGTGGTCATCTTCTTCGTCCCAGAATGAAATGCTACGGGTCCTTTCTTGATACAGATCGAGATCGGGGTACTGATCAGCAACATAACTAGTTTGATTCATGTTGATCAGGGGACGGCGGCGCTGCAACAATCGCTGTAGCAAGTGATGTCTCTTGCGCTGTTTCGTCTTGGACAGATTGCGCGTACCTTGAAGATCTTTTGTACTGGACTTGCTTTGGCTTGGATCATCTGATGGACCCCACTCACTGTCCTTGAAATGGTTGGGTATCAGCATCACTTGATCTCCAGCTGGTCTCTTCTTTTTCTTGTTTCGCTTGCGTCGGCGACCCATGCGAAAGATACAAGTCCATGCCGATTTGGGTCCCGCGGTTGATGTTTCGATTGTTGGTGCTACCGGCGGCGCATCTGTGTTCTCAGACTCCGTGGTGAGCGTTTTGTCTAAAGCCTTGTCTGGTTCTGGTTGCTTGTCGAGGCCACCACTAGCTCCTTTAGAATACTTCTGGATGCGGTTCATGACTCCCTTCAAACCGGATAGACGAGAAACGCAGGGATTCTTGTCCGACGAAAGTGCTTCAACCTCATCGTCCAGGGCCTTTTCTAGGTTTTCGATGATTGCCAGGACCTCTCGGCTGGGTGTACGAGAAGCGCTTCGAGACAACGATGTTGGCTTCTGAAGCAACAGCACATCGTTGTTCATACTGTCGTTTGGTTCATCTTCAATGTCATCGTCTGGCTCAAAACACACCTCCTCGTCTCCATCATCGTCGATAATCAGAGGTGAATGAAACAACCTGATCTCATCACGCCTAGCGTCTTCGTAAACGGCTCTGGGGAACGATGTCTCTCGAGTAAGAACTAGATTGCCCAGCATGTCTGACGCCGTTACTTCGATCTCTCCGCTACGATGGCCGAAGCAAACCAATGTGGATGTGGATTTCATATCCAATAAAAATGTACAAGGACGATTCCAGGGATCAAGCCAATGTTGGCGGCATAGTTTGCAGGAAAGCTTCCAATTTGCTTCAAATGAGTTCGACAAGAAGGGTATCCATCCTTATTTCGAGAGGAGTATCACAAGCGTCGGAGCCAAAATTTGCCCAAATCCGAAATTCGAGCCAAATCTTTCTTGCATCCAGAAACCATCTGGGGGGACGCCGCCTCGCGCTCATCATCATTCTCATTTTGCCTCCTGGACAAAACGATACTTTTGACAGCTCTGCAGGGATCAAATGAGCGGGAATGGATCCAAGACTGAGAGCTTCCGTTTCCGTTCGCTTGAAGCTTCCAACGGCTCCGAAGTTCCGAGCTGAAAAGGAGTGCACAATCATAGATCCATCAACAAAGAACACATCCCCACCAACCACAACCAACCAACATCAGGCAGCATCGATCAGAGCGCAAGTTTTAATAAATTGAAATGAATAGCAGCAGCGGAAGCAGATCCAGAGTCCAGCTCGGTATTCAACAAGCTGACGTGGAAGCCCTTGCTTCCGCGATCAGTAAGGATAATGCAATGCATGTTCCCATGGTTCCTGATGCCGTAGAAAAAGTTGTTTATCAATCTGCCATCAAGCTGACCTTTAATCTCTTCTACAAGGGAATCTCAGGGCTGGATGGTTTGGGGCTGGTACCTTCTTCTTCCTCTAATGGGAGAGAACTCCACTTGGATCGGATGCATCTAGATAGGGGAGGACAAGGCAGCATGAGTGAAGTGCAGTATCGACAATGGAAGTCTTTTGCAACCAAGCTGGATCTGGTTCCTCTGGAACGATTGGCATCAGCTTTGATTGATAACGAGGCAGTGAATCTCACTGTCGTCCCGGACAACATTGAAAAGGAAATCTACTTCAACTGCCTCAAAATCATTTTCTGGGTGATTGATATTATGAGTTCCAACATCAAAGTTACCCTGTGCGGGCACACCATATCCATGAACTTTGCCCCTGCTACATCTTCCTATTTGGGTTCTCGGGGTGGTAATGGTGCCGCCGTCTCTCAGTTGGTGAGTCAAATCAACGCTTTCATGGTCAACCCGCAAACAATCAAAGACTTTCAGAATCAAGCCAAGGCTCTCCTCCAAATGGACGGGAAGAGTCCAGGATCCAAGAAGGGAAATGGTTCCAATTCGGTCAAGAGTGGGCTTGCCTGGATGAAGTCCTCCTTGAACAAGATCCAACAAGAGATGATTCAACAGTTGAATGTTTCGCTTTATGGTCTGATTCTTGCCATTGTGGATGACCTGCTCAAGAGCACAAAAATTGAAATCCTCAATGATGAGATCTCTCTTCGGGTGGCGTCTGCAGGTGGAGGCAAGAACCACGGTGCAAGAAAGGACAACAATCTCCGCTCAAGTAACCTGAATGGCACTGGCGTGGATGACGTTGCTTTGGCTGTAGAAGCTAGTCTTGCCTCCTTGGAATTTGATCAAGAGAGGGCTCTCTTACAGCGACGATTTCAGCAATGGTCTCCCGAAGAAAGAGCCCAAATGCTCAGGGATCTTGGTCAGATTTAGGGTACCTGTGGTATTTCTTTTTTTGTGAACGGCCGATGAAAATGACAACCAACATCAATCTTCAAGAAGAACTTAGACCGTTCGCTTATGAAATAAAATATGATGTCTTGACTGCTACTTGCACTACCCCGTACCGGCACAAAGCTACAGGTATACAGCATGTTGCTGGCTGCAGCAATGCTGTGTGCTCGCATCTCTATTGTCCCTGTGAAAGCTACAGTCGTACCCATTTATGTCTCCTCTCCATGGAACCCGCAAAGCCAAACTCTTTGGCCCCCGTAATGGCCCTTAATTTCTCGCCCCTGATCCCATGGAACCCAGCTAGTCCTGAATTTTGACTCTTCTTTGCTTACTGTAAAAAGCCTGGATAATCTCTCTACGACTGTACTCCGAACCCCTGCACCCCTGGTGATGCTTTTTCTCTGCCTGGGGTGCGGAAACCCTGAAGGTGTCTGCCCTGTGCAAACAGCTCTGCAGCATTTGCAAAGTACGATACAGTATCCACGATTGAATATCGTGCTTGAAACCAACCCTCGAAAGATCTGAGAGCAGAGAGGACAGAGAAACCATCTTGGTCCACGACGTTATGTCTGTCTGGTAAGGTAGCTACGGTAGTGGGGTGGCGCAAAGGCACTGGTACGCTCATAATGTCTTCAATTGAGTTGCCTTCTTTCGTCTTCGAAACATGCCGAAACTCGTCCACTTGATCTTGGCCACGGTGATTATTCATCTCCTTCGCGGAGCAGAAAGCCGCAGCGTCCCACGATACCTCCGTTCTCTGCAAAGAGATGATGGCACAATCATGTGCAAGATAAGGGTTGTTGCTGCCATGCTAGATTTCGAAAACGAGGAGTCGTCAACAAACCACGAGGTTTTATGTGTGGAACCAAACGGTGCCAGAGGAGAAGCCTATGTCTATGTCATTGAGGGATCTGACTCTGTTTTGGTTGAATATGCGAACGAACAAGTCAGCCTGACTCATGTGATTGTCGATGACCAACTCATGACGGTAAAAGTTGGCGAGAATGTGACAATCACAAGGCACTCAAGACACCGCAATCTGCAGGAATTACCGTACGCAATTGGCACTCGGACCGTCTTGGCCTTACGGGTATCATTCCTTGACACGGAGCCATCATATTCTGCAGAGTTCTTGGGTCAGACATTGTTTGGAGCCGACAATGGAACCATAACAATGCAAAGTCAATTCGAGGCTTGCTCGTTTGGAAAGCTGCAGTTGACACCTGCCCAAGACGAAGTGCATTCAAATGGAGAATACACTATCGCCAATGGTGTGGCGGAAATCACTGTTCCACGAAACACCACCGAGGTTGGACTTACGCGATGGTACGCAGAACGGGCAGCACGAGCAGAAGCAGAGAGACTGTTCGGTGACCTTGAGCTAGCCTATGATCACGTGCTCTTCTGTATGCCCAATGGGATCCCCTACACAGATGATAGATCCTTCTGGGTGGCGTACGCCTATCTCAGTGCAGGTCTTTCATTCTACAACGACAACAATTGCCTCTATGTTAGCGTTGTATCCCATGAGCTTGGACACAACTTTGGACTGGGGCATTCAAACTATGGTGGGCAATACGGCGACCGTTCAGGGACGATGGGCCTAGGGTACCCCCAAATCGGAGGACCCCGTCGATGCTTCAATGCCGAAAAGAACTACTTGTTGGGTTGGTATTCAGATCGCGCTGTTGCCATCAATGTTTTGGAACAACAGCGGGCTTGGGGAGGGACCTTGGTTGCATTCCCGGACTACAACAAGGCAGACGTCGATGAGGTCGTTGTCATACGAATCGATGGCGCCCTCGACGGGAGGAACAATCCAAATCCGCACTATATTCACTTTAACCGTGCCAAAGGATTCCACAGCGAGACAAAAAGCTTTGCGAATCTCATTGTCACAGTCCAAGGATTTTCCGGCTATCGCGTTGGCGCCGTCGGAAGCTACGTCGTGCCAGCTGATGGTGTCGGAGGGATCGCAATCGACACAGCAGAGCAAAGATACATTCCAGAGCCTGCAATCCAGCAACGCATTTTCAATTTTGCGAATAGCAACTTCGACCTGATCATAGAAGTGTGCTCACAGGAATATGGGGACAAGGATTCTGCAGATATATCAATACACATCGACGACGGGCGCCAACAAAGTGCCTGCCCCCAGGACGGACAACCACCTTCCACTGCCCCTTCACTATTTCCCAGTGTCAGCCCATCATCGAGGCCAACAACCTATTGCGAAGATTCACAGGATGCATGGTTTGATGTTGTGGGATATGGCAATGTAAATTGTTTGTGGCTCAGCCACAATAGGCCTGTCCAGAATCAAATCTGTCGCGAGGGTCACCCGGCATATAGCATCTGCCCGGATACATGCCGCAAGTGCCACGATAACTGCGAAGACGACTACCAAGCAAATTTCTTCGTCAACAGAATCAGGGGAACACAGAACTGTAGATGGCTTAGCGTGAGGCCAGCCTGGCAAACGCTGCTCTGCGACGCCGATGCAGATCATCCAGCCAGAGGAGCGTGTGGAGAGACTTGCAATAGCTGTCCCCATCTCGAGATATCTCCGAACCACCTCTGCGAAGACGACGTGAATACAACCTTCTACGCCAACCATGTCCAAGGGTGGAAGAACTGTGCCTGGCTTGCTGGCACAAGCAACCCTGTGTGGAGATACCATCTTTGTCGACAGGAAGCCCCCAAACGGATTTGTGCCGAAACTTGTGGGGCTTGCCGTGACAACTGCGACGACAGTGCCGAAACTTTTCACGTGGACCGACTGAGCGCGTCGCGTGACTGCTCGTGGCTTGCAGCTCGGCCAGGGTGGCACGCGGAGCTTTGTTCGGATGTTGTTGTCGCAGATCTCTGCAAGGAGACTTGTAACACTTGCTGATTGTCGTCGTCACTTCGGTTGGTAAACAAAGTCCACGCAAACAAAATATTTTTATTTCCTGGTGTTCAGTAATTCATAGCCAAAAGACTTCCTCTTGGTATACCGTCAATGTGTAGACGTCGTTCTATATCACATGTTTCTTCTTGTTCTTCTTTACTTCTGTGTCTGTCTGTAAGTAGTGGTAAGCTTCCAATAGCGTATTTGAAACCTCCCTGGACGATGACCTTTCTTTGGGATCCTTCTTGAAGCACATTTCCATTGCTTTGCGGAAGGCTGCAACCGCCGGGTCCTTGGACGTTGCAAACTCCTTTGGCAATGCAGGTGGAATTCCTTGCAAGACATCCTGTCTCACTGCTTCCATACGATATGGCTTCATCTTGCCACGAGGTGAGTGTGTGGTAAGGATATGAAACAGAAGATTTCCCAGCGACCAAACGTCGACAGCTTCAGTCAGAGTCTGAGTAGCGTTCAATGAGACCTCCTCAGGAGCTCTCCACCAAGGCTCATGGAGCCTACTTTCAAAGCCACATGTTTGGTTGGTGCGGACATTCCATTTCAAAAAGTGAGCCACATTGAAGTCGTTGAGCTTTGGCATGCCTCCTTTCACAATTGCTACATTCCTGCATGCAAACGTAGATTGCTCTCAGTTAGATGCATGCAATGTGAGAAAACGAAGAGCTCCTGGCGTGACAAACTGTTACTGACCTTGGATTGATGTCATAGTGCGCCATGGTTGCATGATTACCGTCCGATGTAACCAAGTCGGCAGGCACCTCATGCAAATGAGCCACTCCTGTCGCCACACCAATAGCCAGTTTCAATTTCATTTGGTTGATCCGCGGGAAGTTTTTCCCTCTGAGCTGGCGGTCAAATTTCTCCAAACTACTCAGTTCAGGAATGCGGAAATTGGCATATTCGTTGAGTGCAGATTGGCCACAGTATCCGTACACGTCTAGCACGAATTTCGAATGGCTGAGCCTCTCCATTGCAACGGCATCAATTCTATGCAATTCATAGAATTCGGCCGTGAAGTCCCGCTCAGGCCGAAGCATCTTCAACACAAGTGTTTCACCCAAAGAATCCTTCTCGTCCTGAAATTGCTCAGGCAGTTGACGATCAAGTTTCCAGGCAGCCCGAAACCAGCCCTGTCCAAGGAACTTCAGTTGAGATTCATTCCAAGTCTGGTTTCTGATTGCCCCATGGCCAAGACTGCGACTGAAGACAGGTATATTGTTTGATGTGTTGGGATCTTGTTGAGTAACGTTTGTGGTAAGCCTATGCTTCTTTCCATTGCTATTTCCCTGGGCATTGATAATGGATGCTAGCATGTCCAGTTCATGCATAGCGTTGCAGTTAACCGGGAGAGATTTCTGCCATTCAGCCATGGGTACGCACTCTTGTGTACCCGTTTCTTCAGTTGTTTTTGAGATTCCATCTGATTCCACGGCGTCTTTGTCTTCTACGCCGCCATCCTCATCGTCTTGAGTAGTATTTGTCGTGTTCCTAACCTGGTTTTGAATTTGACGATCTTTTAAAGATAATTTTCCCAAAATGGTTTCTCCTGTATCCTCTTGGTTGTCTAGCAGTATTAACTTGGTCCGCCTCAATTCCATCCTGGGAGGTACATCGTAGTCAACAACTCTGGGAGGGAATTTTTCTGGTGTGTTGCCATAGGGAGCTCTTATCACTCTTGGCGGCTCAATTTCCGAGGGGATACGAGGCTTGTCATCGGGTAATGATTTTGTGGGAAGAGGCAGGTGGCTTGCAAACAGTTTGGGTTCTCCCTCTTGAACTGTGGAGGCATAGAGTCTGGTTTCGATGATGAGAAACAGAAGAGCAGCAATCGTGCACCCTGCAAAGATGGTGGAAGGGGAAAAGAAGCTGCCGTGGGCATGGTTTCGTTTCTTGTTGCTGCCTTTGGGGGTATTGACGCTTGACTGGGGAACGAGTGGCCTTGTACTAATCGAGGATTTCCTGCTGCCTTCGCTGAAGGACCGCCGTTGCATGGCCAAGGCAAAGACGATGAAAGCCTGTCAGATTTATAACTACCTATAGCAAATTAGAGCGTGAATACTCGATAAGAGCAAGAGGCTCTTCCACTTCAGTTTTGAAGTTGGTTGGACGCCAGTTCAGAGCGAAATGAAGAGCACCGAAATAAGTTGGAAAAAATGAATCGAATCGAATCGAATCGAATCGAATCCAAATTTTTAATCGTTCTTATCCCCCCTACATTTCGGTACCGCATGTACCACAGCGTAATGGTGCTTCCGTCGACTTTTAGTTAGGACTACGAGTCTTCCTCGACTCCCAGCCACCGCCTCAGCCGTCCGCACTCCGGATGACATGGGCAGTTCACTAGGACTATTTAGGGACGACTAAATACACCTGTGTGTGCAGTGTCGAAACGATAGTGCTAGAGTTTGGGAAACGGTGCTATCTAGTGCACCAATCCAAAACCGTTGGGATCCAAAACCGTTGGAAGGTGCAATCTGGTGCACCTAGCCAAAACCGTTGGAAACCGACATTGAACTGAGTAGCCCCTTAAAAGAAAAGGACGCCATTGTCCTCTTCGATTGGTGGCTACTAGCAATGTGAGGCTTGGATTGGCTCCTGCTGCGACTGTTCTCCTGATAACCCTAACCCTATCTACGGTGACGTACCAGTCCAGGCAGGAGCAAATGTGCTTCCACATTGCTCTGCTTAGAGTCATGGCGATAGGAGTCTTCCTCGACTCCCAGCCACCGCCTCAGCCGTCCGCACTCCGGATGACATGGGCAGTTCACTAGGACTATTTAGGGACGACTAAATACACCTGTGTGTGCAGTGTCGAAACGATAGTGCTAGAGTTTGGGAAACGGTGCTATCTAGTGCACCAATACAAAACCGTTGGGATCCAAAACCGTTGGAAGGTGCAATCTGGTGCACCTAGCCAAAACCGTGGAAACCGACATTGAACTGAGTAGCCCATGTCCAGCTGACGAAGCAGCGTGTCGTAGACACAGCTGCCGGAAGCCCATGTCAACTGAGTCAGCGGACGGCTGGAGTGGGAGAAAACCACCTACTCTAGAGGGGAAAACCCACGAAGGCAAAGCTTTGCACACGAAAGGGGAATATGCAAAGCTATTTGTTTAGACCACTGAATAGCAGTGGGGGGATGATTGCCAGCGAACGACATAAGGTCAGGCATAGAGTCGCCAGGACCGAATGTCTTCTGGCGCAGAATATCGGCGTGGCGACGAGCCAGGCCCAGTGTATTGCGCAAGTAATCCATAAAGGCGTTGGATTTCCAGCGCAGGAGCCATTGGATTTGGATCTCGTTATAACCGGCTTCGAAGAGAACACGCAAGCGCCCACTCGGAGAGAGTGGGAATCCAACGACGAAGTTTCGTCTTATCTTTGCTCGGGGAAAACCCAAACTGAGATGCAGCAATGGCACGCATAGACTTGAGGATAGCCTGGGGATGAACTGAATGGACATGGCCATATCGATTGTAGACAAACACCGACAAAGGGGTTTTCACATCCTCAAGGCTTCGAAGACGGATAAAGCGCCGCAGGATTCGAAACATGGCGCAGACCATACAGAGGTGGGGGTACCCGAACAAAGCAACAAAGAGTCGCCACTGCCCATTTCTCCATTCTTCTGCTGGCGGAAGCACAGCCAAAGTTCAGCCACCATTGACACGTCAATGGGGTTGTCAGCAGTGCCAAGAATAGCGGCACCTTCCAGGATTGTGCCGTTGTAAAGCTTGACTTGGACGTCACCCAAGCAGAAAGCGTAAGGATCACCATAGATGTTCCGATAGGGAAAATCAGGATCAATGTGGGTCGATTCGGGCTGAGCCCACTCAACCTTTCGGAGTCCAGCGCGAAGAGCAACAACATACCAATCGGCCAAGACTTCGTCAATGTGGTCAGACCAAGGAGCTACCTTGGCTCGCGCAATAGCATCGTACAACATTGGGAGCGTGAAAGCTTCGCGCCGCTGGATGGCCTTCTCATACTTGTCGATATTATCGTAAATCGATTTCAGATTGATGGCCCATGGATTCCGAGAAATGAGAATCTTTGCGGTAGTCGCAAAAGGTTTGGGATGCCTTCAGGAGAAGGGACAGCTGCATTACGGATATAGGTTTTGATAGTACTCCCCTTGATGCGCCGACAATACAGACTGCCGTCGGACCAGAGATGCTCGGCATACATACACAAAGCCAGTTGGATGGCTTCGGGATCGGCGTCTTTGATCTCCAAAATTGGAGGGGAGATTGGGACTGGAGTGGTCCAGTCTAAATCATAAGCGAACCGATGAAATGCATTGGTGGGAACGAGCTGTCCCAGCTCGCTGGAAGACTTGGTACCTCCATTGGAGATCTGGAGAATAGACTCCAAGAGAGGAGCTGTAGCAAGGCGGGACTTGGGCGGAAAGAATTCCAGCTTCGCATGAAGCTGAACTTCTGGTACAGCTGCTCAGCCCGTTCAGATGAGAGAGGTCAAAATGGTGGGACGTGAGATAAAATCAGCCAGGATATTTTCAACGCCGGCAATATGCTGAGCAGTGATACTGATGCCAGATGTTCGCAACAATTCACAGTAAACCCAGCAAACGCTGACCCTGGGGGGACTTGGTGGTGGCACGATTCGCCCAAGAAACAGACGACGTGTTGTCGGACCAAGACAACACCACCGGATTTCGGCCTCCCCATAAGGAAAACTAGCTTTCTCCTGGGGAGAGAGAGAACGGAGGGCAACGATGGAGCCAGCCAGTTCCAGAATGATCGTCAAGAACTCCAACTGATTGATGTGGATGAAGTTGGGCGAAGAGGGTTCCAGCTTCAGGCATCGACGAACACGGTCACTCCAAACAATGTCAAACCAGAACTTGAGTTGGGGGCTGTAACCACCAGCGCCATATATTCACTGGCATCGCCCCAGGCGAGTAGCGTGGGGGTCTCTGGGAATGATGGTTCCGATCTTGGCCTCAACGGAATAGGATCCGACTTCAAGTAATGGAGAATGTTGGACAAGGAACTGCGAAGGGACGAATCGACGTTTGGGTTCCTTTGTTGCGCCAAATCAGGAGGGCTTTCTCCGTGCCAAGATGTTTTTGACACGTTTCCAGAGAGCCTCAGGTAGCTCTGCATGCAAGTCGGCTGCTTCTGCTTCCAATTCGTTCCCAGGTTTCGCTGGGTGAAATAGAGGCGCTGCAACAAGGTACGCATCCGATTCTGGAGGGCAAAGAACACAAGGGCGTGCCCACACCACATAGCGTGTGTGGTTTTCCAAGACGCCTAGGAGCTCAGCACCCTCGAGCAATGAGAACCGATCCTTCTGTAGCCAATCCTCGAGGCGGGAAATGAGTTCAGTTTTCTTGTGCTCCAACATGGAGATAGACAATCGCCGAGTGTCCCAATGGCGGCCAACAATCTGGCGCAAATGGCCATGGAGGGGAT